AAATCGCGGATGAATGGCGATATATGCATGAAGACCAGGCCTAAATTAGAAAGCGAAAAGAAAGGTTTTGCATTTACTCAAAAGTTATAGAGAACAATACAACAGAACATGAAGAGTGTTGAATGAAAATTGAAGCTAACCAAGGCCGTAATTTTATATAGCTCAGTCTTCTCTAAGCCTAAGAGTTCAGTGTTTTCTGTATAGTATTCATCTACTTCAGTCCTCAGAATTTTTTTGCACAAATATATAGCAGGAAAAATGGACCGTCTTACGTGGACTATATAGCTGGCTTGGCTTAACATAAATTAAGATTGACATGCACATATATGCATGCAGATGAATGCATGCAGTATCTATATATTCATAATAACTTAAATTAAAATCTCTTGGAGTAATTTACAGATCGCATTATTTATATTCCGTATAAAACTAATTTATCCTTATTATATTATTGTCGCCAATCCTCGATTGCTCTGTTTTTGCATGCGACTTTAAACCCGCAGGCTACACTTTTAATATATTGGGCTACCGCATGCACCTCTTGTTTTTTAAGGGTATAATATAACGTAACAGTTACATCTACATTTAGTAATTTTCAATTACGATGCCTTAAATTGCCTTTTTAATACGACGGATGTCGATTGAAAATTACAATACCAGGTGACTAACAGAAATAGCCCCATTTTAATTAGCGAACATCAAACAATTTACAATTTTGTATAAGTTTTGTATGAACGATATATGCATTTAATTTGATCATATTCCAAATAACATTTGATGTTGTAGTATGGATATATGAATAGTTTTATGGTACACGTAATAAGGCGTGATTAGCATGATTTATGAGTTTGCCATGCATCACGCTATCACGCCATCAGTATGACTGTGTTCCTAGCTTGTGGTTTCTTAAACTCTAGGCCGAAACTTCACCAGCTTAATATTTCACCGGAATTAATAAGTTTGTAAAATTTCTGTCCTAACTGACTTTGTTAAAACAATAATGTAAGATGGACATATAGACATAGTTATTGTCGTTGCACATGAAAATAAATATTTAATCCTTTAAACGGCGCAAATTTGAAGAGAACAATTTTGTATATTTTAATTATTCTTCATATCAACTTCCCACGCATGGGGCCGACTGATTATCACTGACAGTGGCAGTGGTGATATATATATCTTTATACGAATTTCATTTCAGTGTGTCCGGCTAATATTAGGAGCATGCAGAATTCTACTTTGAATGCTCTATAACTCAAACACTTCAGTTTCAATTTAAAAAAAATATTAAGTGCACTGGAATATGAATTTGGGAAATAATATGTACCTGACCAAAAGATATTGGAGGTAGGAGTTTAAATTTTTCAACGTAAAATGTATAAATATATATTTGCACACGCATTGAAAAACATACGCATTGAAAAACATTTGCTTAATAATATATACTAATTTCAAACGTCCGATCATAGTTTTGACATATTTTCCATTGCTTATAAAAACTGAGGGGTGTATTGCCAAAATTTTTACAAAGGGGGGCTCTGGGATATATGTTATTAAAGTAAAAGGAAAGTCGAACATTATACTAGAATGCCGGTTTCTAAAACTTTAATACAAAACTTTAATACAAACGTTGTATTAAACAATTCAAGTGGCTATAGAACTTCTATATAAAACTGTATTAAAACGTTTGGTAAAGATTGTCTGGACGGAGTTTAAACTAGAAAGTGACGTTTTCAGTCGTTTTGCCTTCGTGTATGTGTTGCGGCGCATCTGTGTTTTGTTATTAAGGAGCCAATTTGGCGCTGAGATTCTACGTTCCATTTTGGTAGATTAAGATCATAAATTACTTACAATGAACGGTTAAAAAATTGAAGCCATGAAATCCTGAAAGGGGAGCTTGACATTGAATTTTAACAAGGTGGGCTGAGTCCCCCAGATTCCCCCCTCCAATACACTATAGTCTATACAGTTACTCTTGTAGTTTTTCAATTTTTTACAAATTTTCATATATTTCAGTTACTATTTACTAGTCGCTGTCATTATGGCGTCTGTGATATTCAAAGACAAATGCCTGACAGCAGCACAATTCACAATTAAAGCAGAAAAAAACAAGGGGTTTAAAAATGATTCCTGTCTTATTGAAACGTTCGAGGTTAAAAGTGGAGACATGGCAGATTGTTTGAGCCTCTGTCTTAAGGACTGCCGATGTCAGTCGTTTCAAATTTGTCAAAATACAAAATGTCAACTGTGTTCAAGTCACAAGGAGGAAAACAGTTCACTTCTGCAAGACCAAGATGGCTGCATCTATTCTGTGTTCGAGATGCAAAACTTTACAGAGACGTTTACGTTTCAGGTAAAGGTGGTCAAATCATTTTTAATGTGACGACAACAAAAACCTATATTCAGCTATACAGTAGAAGTTGTTTTAGTATAAAGCTAGGCTAGGCCTTGGCTCGTAATGGGAAGGGGCTGTAGCATAGTTCAGTTAACTGTTTATGCGTGAAATAACCTTGTTAAAAAACCTCTTGATGAAAAACCATTTTGATTTTTGGTGCCTTATTGGCAAGGCAATATATTTTTTGTAAGAATTAGTTTTGCGGGTTCTATTGCAGCTACCATAATATTTTTAATGTACTTTATAGAAACTGGAAAACCAGTGTTCAGGCATCAGTTGTTATATGAAATACAACTGTTGTCAACAATCAGAAATTTGTCCAAAAAACAAAATATGCAAACCAAGTTACTCTCTCCAACAGCCCTGGAAACGTTTTACGTGCGAATGTCAGAGTGGTTTCCATGGATACAAATGTGACCAACCAAACACGTTGTGTCCAGATGGTTACCATGGTGACAACTGTAGTGAACTCATCAAATCGTGCCAAGGGTATGCCAATAGTTCTCGGATATCGGGCATGTATAAAGTACTGGGTTCTGACAAGTCAGTGTATGAAGTATATTGTCATTTTGATTCTGATGGCGCTTGGACTCTGGTGCAATCTTTCAGCTTGGCAAATGGATCTGTTGGCACCAAATTTACTCAATTTCGAAAACCGATATCGTCCGATACTCCTGTCAGCGAAAACAACCTTGTTTGGACGGGGTATCGCCTTCGAAAAGCTAGGATGCAATCTATTAAAGAACATTCTGCTCTTCTGCGGTTCACCTGTGACTATGTGAAAACGCGTAAAGTAGAAGAATCTGATTATCTTCAAATATCGTTTCAAGATATAACGGAGGATATTTTTGTTTTGCATGGAACCTCTGATACGCCTATACAACGCGGCATAATTGGAGGACAGAAATTACGCGAAAAATGTAATGTTGACCTGGGTCAACACCACACCAGTAACCTGTATGTGTCACAGTACCTTTATACTTGTGGTATTACTCCACTGTCCAAATCAGCATCTTGTTATTACAACTCATATTATTCAGTTTTTGGCAATTACGATACTGCTCATACTTGTTTTGAACAAAACCATCAATGTGTGAATAATCCCGAATCTACAACTCAACTATGGTTTTATTAAATTCTGCATGGGGCAGCATAGGGCTGAGTATAGTGAATCTCTTAACAATCAAATTACAAGTTTCACGTAAATTTCGCACAAGTTATTTTACCTTAACCGCAACATTTTTATATAACCAGTGTGACGAGCCACTTATGCTTCGCTTATGCTTAGTTCACCATAAGTTTAAAATTAAAAACCAAATTAATTTAAAGACACATACTGAAGTTTGCATGGTTGCGAAAATGTAGACAATATAGCCTAATAAAGCTAGAAAATTTTGTATTACTTTTGATCACTTGCGAAAAAGCGATACTTCTTTTGAGAAGGATACCTCTTTCGAGATCAATTTCTTTCACGTTTGTAGTTTGTACTTAGATTTTTCAACTTTCAAAAAGGAAATTTTCTCATTCACTGACTGGGGGGAGGATTTCGTCCCCTGGTGTAAAATGCTTTGGATAGTTGATGGCCTTAAAACTCATGAAAAGTACAAGATAAGCGTCAATCTGTTTTAGATTGGTGGGAATGGTGACAAATAAGTAATTGTGTTGTTATTATTATCATTCATTTGACAATTGTCTGTAGCGACCTAAAGTTCGTCCTTTTTAGAGAAAAGATTTTTCGTTACATTTGCTTTTTCATGCACTGCAAATTGTAGCAATAAATGAATAATATACCAACTATCTTTATTCAAAGCGAAAATAAGAAATTTTCACTACGTTTAGTCTGTTTAGGATTTAATAGGACGTTCGGTATTACACATAAATAAATGATCTGAAAATTAACGGTTTTTAATTTTAACATGTCCTTTGAAGTTAAGTAGAAAATATTATTAATAAAAAAATGCGGATAAAGTTAATCATAAGGTAGCTTCAGCCAAGTCTTGATTTCGGCGTCTTTGCCTTTGGCGTCTTGATTGAGACGCGCCTAAAATATCATCACATTCGCTTGCATAATGGCTTAATGCATATTCAAATCAGTCTGCAAAAAGGTGGCCGGTTGTGTGAAAGCCGGATGTTATTTACCGGATAGTGTTTTTTCAATCGCTCTTAAAATAGCCCGTTGTTGGCTGAAACTTGGATTAAACCTTAAATTGAGGATCCTCTTTAATAATTGTTGCCTTGTTGGTTCCTAAGCTGAAATCCTATTGATTTTCAAGCATTTTTAGAAAGGTTGAAAAAATCACTATCCGATCGATGGATAGCGCTATCCAGCCTTCGTACAACAAGACTTGTTCGCACTGTTTGATATATGCTGTCGACCAATATATATAGGACAATTTTTTGAATCGTCCAACTTGTAACTTGTTACAAGGCTATCCCAACAAGTCCAGCTTCAAAATAACTAAGTTCTAAGCCTAGAAGAAAATGTTTGAGATTTCATTTTATTACAACAACATTTCCGACATTTTATGTACTTTGTTATTGTAACTTTACCATGGCAAGCAGTAACTTGAAATCGAGGCAGGCATGTTCCTGTTGTTCTTGTGATTGTCACGAGGTCACACGATCACGGAAAATTCGGAATTGCAACTTGCAAGAGCGCAGTTATAGTACCAAACTAACCAAAGTTAGCACATTCGTTTATATAGTCAGTACTGTACCTTCGAGTACTGAGCCCTCTTAGGTAGACATAAACGTCTCATTACAATGTCGTATTCTAGAGCTTTGTCATCTAAAACGTTGCCATTCTTGGAGAAACAACTTGCGTATATTGGTGGCGAGTGGTGCAAAGCGGCAGATAATGCGACTTTTGAAGTAAAAAATCCTGCCAATGGCGAAGTGCTTGGAAGTGTGGCCAATGTCGGTAAAGCTGAGGCTCAAGAAGCTGTGTCGAAAGCCAGTAATGCGTATCATACTTGGAAAAAAACAACAGTGAAGGTTTGAGTTGATATTTTAACTTCTGTTGTTATAATAATAATATTAATAATAAAGATAATAAAGATTTATTAGCATATTCCACAAAGTGGCTCTTCTTTAATACAAGTATAACTAACTATAACTATATGTATATATACAATTTAATAGACTAAACGCATGGATTGACTTTACTAAACAGTGAGTTTTTCTGCCGCTGTATTGTTAAAATGAGCCTTAGCTAATCTTATAAAACTAGAATAATTATCACATTATTTGACATCCTCTGACATCTTGTGTTCATTTGATGAACGGAGTGTCCTGTTCCGTGAATATGTTTCAAGTTTCAAATATGTTAAGTAGGAAGGCCACTGTATCACGACTATAGTAGGAAAGGAGACCTGTCTGTGCATCACTTGTTTTATTTCCATCAAAGTACATGTAAGCTCCTATCAGCCTTATCTGGTCTTGGGACCATAAATTAAATGTCATGTATACATAATCGTTGATTACACAGAATTTTACAGTAATTTTTTTGTCATTTGTCACAAATTTTTATTACATTGTAGATAGATCATGCAAGGAATAGTGAATGAGAATAGTATTTTGTTACTCTGTAGGAAAGATGTTTGCTGATGAAAAAATGGTACAGATTACTTATGGAGAATATAGAAGATATTGCTAAGCTAATAACATTGGAAGCAGTATGTTGAAAACTTGTTACCATATTTTAAGATAAATCTTTATGGTTTATTTTAAAATATGCTAGTTTGGATATTTTAAAAGGCGATACGCCTTATACATTTTGGTGATTTTGTTTTGTTACATGCAGTCCCTATAAAGTTTATAGCAAGGTCATGATCTTGGTGAATTTTAATAGCATATATTAGGCTCACAATGTTTTCATATTAGGGTAAACCTGTTGCACAAGCTCGTGGTGAAATTGCTTATGGAGGTTCATTCATTGACTGGTTTGCTGAAGAAGCGAAAAGAACATATGGTGATATTATTCCAACCCATGTTGCTGGACGAAGACTTCTTGTGGTCAAGGAAGCCTGTGGAGTGGCTGCATTATGGGTGCCGGTAAGCATGAAGGTCTTCAACATATGATAGGTAATCCATCCAGTATCTTGCTTTATACCTAACCTTCTCTATATTATAACCTTGCACATCTCCTCTATGCCACACCCCTTTCTATTAACCTTTCTATTCGATCTACATTATAAAGGTCCTGTCTTGTATGCTCCTGTCTAATAAGCCCTTTTCTATGACACCAACACCTTAACTAATCCTTTTCCATCTTGCTTTCTCATTTTATGAGGCTCCTCTGTACTTAGCTTCATTTGTTTACCCTTTCTCTACCGATTGCTTTCTAACACCAGATTACAGAATCATATCTCCATTGTAGTGGAATTTTCCATTAGCAATGTTAACCCGTAAAGCAGCTCCTGCATTAGCAGCTGGTTGTACAGTGATTTGTAAACCATCCGAGGACACCCCATTTACAGCTTTGGCACTTGCACAGGTACAGTAGTGTTTTATACACAAGCTTTTGTTTGAATAGGTGATTCTCTCTGTGTGAGAGAATTTTGCTGTTTCCTTTATTGTATATTTGTCTAAGATATATATTCCTCTCTTCAAATTCTCACTGAAATTAAATAATTTGAAGTATAGGAAAACTGGAAAACATTTTCAAACAGTAAAGAAAATAATGAAAAGAATATAATGGGTCATCACACACATGCATAAGGGTGAAAGATTTAAACTGTATTGATGCAATAGATTGAAGTTATTTGCCAATTATTTTAGTTGGCAGAGGAAGCAGGTATCCCACCTGGTGTGTTCAACGTTCTGCCTTGTTCGCGTAGCAATGCACCAGAAGTAACTGATGTAATCATGAACAGTGCCCTGGTAACAAATTTCTCATTTACAGGATCAACAGAAACTGGACAGGTTAGAAGTACATATTTCAAATATATCAGAGCACAGTCAATGCAGTGCTCTCTAAATGCATGTTAACAGCTGTTTAGGAAAACAAATTATTACCCGCACGCCAATTGGATTTATGCCTAATCTCTCACAAGTATATACACAAGTATATCTGTAGCTTAGTTGTAAGAGCACTGCTCTGAAATTGCACAGATGTCATGGTTGCATTTTGACTATGATCCAGATAATATTGTCTTAATGTGTTTATATCTCTGTTGCCCTAAACCACTATCAACATGTTTTTTTGTGTTCAGCTGATGTTGGAGAAATGTGCAAAAACTGTTAAGAAGACATCAATGGAACTGGGAGGAAATGCTGCCTTCATTGTGTTTGATAGTGCTGATGTTGAGGCTGCAGCAAGGAATGCTGCTGCATCAAAATTTAGAAACAGTGGACAGGTACAGTATATACATGTTGAAAAACTATGTGTGGTATATTTGTGGTGTATGTCTGTAGATATGGTGTGATAATGTATGCAATATATATGGTATACATATAGTATACATATAGTATATGTGTGCTGTAAGGTATACAGTATGTATGTGTGGTTTAATATATGTAGGTATGTTACAGTATGGTATAATATATATTTATTGTACATACTGTGTAATAAATGTGTCCTGTATGTATGGCCTTATATTGTAAATGTATGGTACTGTTTTATGTAATACGTGGTTCTAACAGTGAGCTATAACAGACTTATTTTTTTGCCCAAGTACGGTCTTATAGCAAGACTTTTTTTGGTGTCAAAACCCTCGACTACACCATTTGTTGGGTGTGATTGGTATTCTGCGTAAAGAGTTCATGTGTTTTGTAATCCTCAGGCTTGTGTGGCAACAAACAGAATATTTGTTCACGATACCGTATACGAAGAATTCGTTGGGAAATTTGTAGAAAACGTAAAAAAGTTGGTGGTTGCAAATGGAATGGACGAGGACTCGGATGTTGGTCCTTTGATTAATGCTAAGGCTATTGAAAAAGTAATGTAAATAAATAGAAAGGGTGGAAAGTTACTCGGTTTGGCTGGTTTTTAGGCAGTCTACACGCACATAGTTTAGAGCATAGTTTTCCAGCGTTTTTAAAATCGTTTTAGTCTTATATCAGTTCAGTGGGTCAACATGGCTCCGCTAAAGAGTGTATAGGTTTTCTTACACAAACTTCCTTACCCTTGTCCTTACCTATACCTATACCTATACGAATATACATAGATAGAAAAAGTATCTTCTCTTTCTATTACAGGTAGAACGCCATGTGAGCGAGGCAATACAGCTTGGTGCAAAAGTTGTGTGTGGAGGAAAGAAGAGTAATTTAGGTGGATCATTCTTTGAGCCAACTGTACTAGCGGATGCTACTAATGATATGTCTGTAAGTCAAGAGGAGACATTTGGACCAATAGCTCCCGTTATTAGGTATGTTGGTTACCATTTTACGATCTTGCCCGATAGGCCTCATAAGATAGCCAGGTCTGCCAGGATAGGCCCGATCAATGGTTAAGCTGAGCGAGCACAAGTAAACATGGAGGGGTGGAGAGGAAGGTTGTCACCATTGTCACATCACTTTATTCTGAAATTCTGGAAAGACGTAAAATGAGGTAGCTAAATTTCAATTCATAGGTTTAAAACGGAAGAAGAGGCAATCAAAATGGCAAACGGTACAAAATTTGGCCTTGCAGGTATAGTTTATAGTCATTTTAATGATCATTTCGTTTCTCCACTGGGATATCCAATCCCCAAAGGCCCCTTGGTCTCCCTGAGACGAGAGGAATCTTATTACCGGCACGTGACATGTCACACAAGAAAATCACAATGAAAATCCACCGTGTTACCACTCCACGTCTGTTTTTTCCGATTCGCACAATAACAAGAGACTGAGTTGAGTGTAACAACCCCCCTGGGTATGAAGTAGCATGCTGTAATGCTTTTTTTAACGTATTTTTGTATTTTATCTATATTTTTCAGGGTATGTATTTACTCAAAACATTAGCCAAGCGTGGCGAGTCATGGAGGCATTGGAGGTGGGGATGGTAGGTGTAAACGAAGGATTGATAAGTACAGAAGGAGCTTTATTTGGAGGAGTAAAACAATCTGGTTTAGGACGTGAGGGATCAAAATATGGCATCGAAGAGTTTATTGAGACCAAGTACGTTTGCCTAGGAGGAATTAGTCCTTAATATATAAAAATTGCAAGATCGGATTGATTTAAAAAATAATTTCACAATACAAACCTTCATAGTGTAAGAATACTCTTTTTTCCCACTTTATAAAAGTACACCGGCAATGCCAATGTTTTGATAGCTTAAAGCTTGTTAATAAATTGAGAACGAAGTATTAAATACTAAATTTACAACAATTTTTTTTATAAATATCGCACGTATATTGCTTAATAATAGTATAATGACATACAGTCCGGAAACTAGTGCAGTAAATTTCTAGATATTTTCAAGGATGCATGCTGAGAATTGAAAAAATAAACTCCTTGATATAATGCATAGTAAAAAAGAAAACTTGTCGTAAGGTAAAAATTGTACGAAGTACTGGCATAATAAAATATTAAGACATGGCTTTATTCTGGAAGAGTTCTGCCGAACAGATTTGAAAATTGTTGCGGCGGAAATGCAAAGTCAGGCGTAGACAATGTTTCGTTACATTAGTGGGATTCAAAATAAAATTCATTTTAGTTCATCAACTCCTGCATAGTATTAGCTGATGTCGGCGTTGAAGAATTGACGTTGTAGTCTTGTAGATCTTAAGATCTCTATTGGCAAAAAGGAAGTGGTGACGTATATCATGATATCATCCGTCCTGTAGTTTGAAGATCAAACGACAAGACAAACTAAAACTATAGTAAGAAGATTAATACTGGCTAATTGACATTGAAAAATAATTTTCAGTGGAGGTATATTGTTCAGCTTAAAACTTCTCAGACTTCTTCTCAGACTTTGCTTTGAACCTTGATAAAATGAATGGTACAGCGGCAGCTGCCAGTAAAGCACAGCCAAGCATAGGGCGGAATCTTATCCAGCCAATAGCAATAACAACCAATGAGAATGACGTTGCCATAGCGACACAGGCTAAGGTAACGCCAAGTCCAATGATATCACGAACGATTGGGATCCAAGATACTAAACAAAAAAGTTTATTGTATTCTCATACGGCATTGCTCGATACTAAACAAAAAAGTTTATTATATTCTCATACAGCATTGCTCAGTGTATCAGTGTGAACTGTTTATTAGTGTGAACTCGGTGAGTATCCCGAAAGCATAAGCCGTTTATGGTGTTGGAAACAAGCTATTTAGGAACCGACAAGCCCAAACATGGCATGTGCATGTAAATTCAGCTTTTGCATTGGTGTAAATCATGACTAAGGCTAAGGCCCCGTTTCCACTTAGCCATATACAAGTGTATCAACTTTGTTCAGGTCGTTTTGTTTTAACGTATCTAGCGGAACGCACAAAATGTAATCTTTGCCACAGGTAGATATTTTGGAAAGAAAACTCTCAACCATCCGCGAAATATTTGCCGGTTACACTTGTATCCCGATATGTGGACACACAGTGGAAACGGGGCCTAAAGTAACCAGTTATTACCTAATGTTGTTAGGATACTTGTCATCATGATAAATCCCAGGAAAAACATTAGCCAACCAACACCACGCAGGAGCCATGTCATTGTCACGTTCGATGCATGCTCAGCTTCAAATATTGCCTAGAGATAAATTGAACGGTTATTAATCTGCTTATTTTTCTCTTGTTGATAACCTAACGATTTTATTACATATTCACCTTTGCAGACAACTTTCCAGGGTAGAGTAATTCCAATGGATAACCAGAATCAGTTTCGTAGGCTCCTAACTTATGTCCAGTTTGTTTGGCAACTATGCTCACCTGAATATGGAACCAAGTAAGTGATAATGACTGTATATAAATATATAATATAGAAAACAGCATGTACACATTTGGTTGAAATCTTACAGTCATAGGTTCACCATGTGGCGTGCCTGCCTTTCCACAGTATCCTGCATAACTGAAGCTCACCTTTAGGTCACCAATCTGCAAAAGAACAAAAACGGTTGCTGCGTTACCAAATTGCATGGTCTTAAAAAACTTTTGAAACAAGACTTTTATTTTTGCGAGTTGTGGAAAGAAAGGAACTGAAGCTAACGACGTGAAGTTAACAAACTATATCACCTCTGGTCTCATAGGATCTCGGGAATGATACAATATCCCATCGCGCAACTTGGGCGGACGTAACTGTTTGTCATGGGTCGCTGGTATCTCATTAAGGCGAAATGGCTTGAAATTATTTACTCCGTTTACAAGCCCTAAAGACAACAAGATGTAGAATTGAGAAGAAACGAATGGAATAGAGATGATCGAGATAATTTTTCTTCAAAACATATTCTCGACAAATTTCATGACTGGGAAACTTCTAATTCTTTCGCTCTGAACTAACCTTCAGAAAGTTCAAATGCCCCAAGGTAAACATGATCAACTTCGTATAGTTTAGATGTGATTATCATAGAACTAGTTGGAAGAGGAACATACAGGTTATAAACTGGTGGATGGATCGTAGACGTATTTATTATTCGAAAAAGGCTTGCTAGATAGCCAGTGGTCATCGTGTATATATAGCAAAAAGATGGTTGGTGTAGTTGCTGTGCACAAACATAGACTCAACTAGGAAAGGTGCTTATAGGTTGGCAGAAACAACGACTCGTATAGTTCATAGCATACAAATACCTTGGGTTCTCATGAAGGTGACTTCTATCAAATAGTGCACTATTTACCAGACCCGATCGCCATTCTTTTTCTAAAGAAACCTCTCAGTGAGTGGTACAGAATAACAGCGGTCAGAGGCTCTTTCTAATATAATACTAACTGTATGAAATGTTGTTTCCACTCTTGTTTCCCCTCCCTCTTGGATTTTCCTGTTAAATATTTAAAAAAAGAAAAACGTCCCACTTTAAGCCACAAATCTGGATTAGTTTAGACGTCGGATGTTTAACAGGGAACAAAACCTTCAAGCAATCTTTAGCGTTTGTCTTTAGCGTATAAATGGCGTACGGGGTGAAGGGGCCGCTGCGCCTCCCTTGATGGCACAGAAATGGCGGGAAGTCGTCGTTAATTGGCACGTTGCTACACTGTTGTGCATTTCAAAATTATAATTGAATTTTTGCAACAATGCCTTTACCTTTCACTTTTATGTTCAACCCACTGAAACATTTCAACTTGTCTTTTCAGCTTCACAGCTTTCATCGCAACCATATATTCTGGGTCTGATACAACCTTAATTAAAAAAGAACACGCAACTTGGTTGAGGCTCGTCATACAAGATTCTGATAAAGGTAGTGCACATTGCCTTGGGTACGGTCGTTGTTAAGACTTGAATACGCTCACTTGATCAGTTTGCAGAACCCCTGTTACGTGAATCAGTTTTCCATCTTCTGTTCTGCTAATCTGTCGAGGATTGTCGACATGGATGACGTATTTTAGACCTTCGTCCAACGCTGCGGCCGTTTTCACCGCACGACCCTAGAAAAGTATAGAGTAACATATTCTGAAAAAGAAAGAACAATCGAGGTTCCACGTTTGATTTTTTACATTGAGGAGAATACTATACTCACTAGACTGAGGCTTGACTGATGTTTAGTACAGCCGAAAGTTTAATTTAGGGCACTTCATCTTAAACGCCGCTTTGCACAAGGAAAGGGCAATGTTACTTACTGGTCGACTTACCTCGTTCCAGTAAAGAAGCGGAAAGGCACCAAGGACTATAAAAACCCCCAACACTGCTGCACAAATACTGCTTTCACTCTACAAGGATCACGATGGATTGCGTGTGTAGCTTACTCTAGTATGTCGATCTGGACTGTGGCCATAGTCTATGTCAGAAGAACGACCAGCCTACAAATCAAAATTCACATGCGTTGTCATCAGCAGTGACTTGTGTGGACGAAGTTAGTTTCTCCTGGAATTCAAAATGATTTTTTTTCCAATTTGGACTTGAGAAGACCTTAAGAAAATTCATAATGGTTTGGAAGACCGAAGACGTCTGACTAACCTTGTTATTATGCACCTTGCAATTTATGAAGAGAAATTCAAGAGCTATAAGGTGCATTCATTCAAGCAGTGCTGATTAAGTACTGAAATTTGCTTTTGCAATGAAGTAAATTTATTTGCTTATTAGATTTATTTAGCATGATAATTTTTCTTTTAACTATGCAGTGCTTGATTGTGGGTGCCTATTTACTACAGACCTTCTATATGATGATTTTATGAAATGAATATATAATGAAGGGCAATACAAATTATGGGTTTGAGTTCTGTTATCCACCGTAATTATGATAAATAATAAAATATACCTATAGTAAAGATTGGTCAGAAGGGTCAAGTACAGTTTTTTGTATCCAATCATATCCTTTTTAGTAAAATTTGTCATCCATTATTATCAGATAGTAATAAATACAATTACCAATATATTACCTCATTGTACGTATATACATCATTTCTTGAAAAATTCCGAAACATATTCCACATTCTATTCATAACTTGTTAACATGAAACATTTTTGATATTTTTATATTTTATTTTAGTCTTTTAAGTAGTAATATATAGTAACAATCAAGAAAAAACAAGAATATACCACAGCAGCAGGTCTGCAATAAGCGTAGGTGGCCAATGTGTAATGGAGCAGGTCAACATTCAAATAGTCATGTACAATAAAATAGTAAGGTTAAATATCAACCAAAATAAACCTTTTTTGAAAAAGGAATTTTTTGGGCTTGTTGTAAAGGCTAAACATTCCCTAATTGACACAATAGTAAATAAACAATCTATACAATTATGTACATAAGTCATGATATGATTTTTGGAAATTGATGATAAATATGCTTACTCTGAAGAACAAAAGCACTTCAAAACTAACAGCAATGAATTTGACTTTTATTATAATATTAAGATACTTACTGGGGCACAATTTTCGCCTAGCTAGCTAAAGCCTAAATGTACTAAATTGCCAGCGGAAAAGGTTTGATTTATCTCAATTAGCTTTGATTAAAATATATACACAAATTTTCGAATACGTATTTCAACTGTATAGACCCATATAAAGTGTGTTTAAACTTTAAAGGGGTTCACCAAAATTTAGTAAAAAATATTTATTAACAAATCAGAAGTCAGAACGCTTGCAATCAGTTCTGGAACTTGGTCATTGAACTTACATGACTAGAACCTCCACGATACATGATTTGAAGACAAAATCCTCTTCTAATATTGCAATATAAAAAATTCGCCTGGGTTGCCTCCTAAATATTGTAGTGTTCTTCACCTTATGTAATATAACAGGTGAATAAATAATGTTTATCCTGCCAAAATAATTTGTAACAATTGTAACATTTTGTCACAATTTTGAAGACTTCCGCCTACATATGCTTCCGCTCAATCAACTCTAAATTTCCAGAGTATTTCCGGCCATGAAGCTCGCAAGCTCACCAAAAACCGTTGCCTGTTTAGGCTGTTTTTTAGTATCAGTATCCTGGTTTGGGATTGTTTCGTGTTTCTTATTCTGTGGTATAATCAAAAGCGATAAACAATAAAAAATAACAAATTAAAAGTCTATATTGTTTCAATTATCTCCGAAATTTCCCGCAAGTTTCCAGCAGAATTCTACAAAAATGGTCAGTGGCTGCGAACGTTGATTGAAGGATATAGTTTAGCGCACGTGCTCTTTGTTTTGTATATTTTTACAATTTTAGAACTGTTTTTGCAATTTTTGTAAAATAAAACCACTAGAAGTGAGAAATCTTAGAAAAATATGAATGCAGATGGTGAAGAAAATGACGAGGAATGGGAGGAGGAGGTATTTTTTTATTTCAGATTGTCACGTTATTAATATCTTAGCTGGGAGCCTGGGCCTGCTGGCTACTGGGGTAATGACTAATGAGTGTAGTTTAATGTAGCTTAGGAACAAGATGGGTAAGTTCCAGAAAAATTATATTCAGGGACTCTCAACTCCTGGACGATTCAACAGGATTGGAATTGCTACACAATTTTTACTGACCTTCTAGGCTGTGTTCTGGAACCCACATTCTTGACAATGCATTTCCAAGTTAACCATGATAAACATACAGCCCTTCAAACTTTAGTTGTGACCAAAAAATATGTGGGGTAAGGTTGTCTAACACAAAATTGAATTAAGGGTCACTGAAATGCTATTTGCAACAATTTCAATAGCCACTCAGTCAACATAATTCTAAATGCACAAAAAATGTCTAAATATCTTAGAAGCAACACTTTTGGAGTGTATGGAATATAAGACTGTAGCACAAAGTATTTTTTACTCAGGAGCAGCTGGTGGTTGTTCATCTCTCTGGCATAATTGACAATGAATATTTGAAAAAGTGCAATGCAGCAAACTGTAAAGTCTTGGTAAGTACTAGTACTATTGTTCTGTTTTTTGCTCACATTATCTCTTTCAAATCAAATTCTCTATATTTAGATGCCAAATTATTATTGCATTGTTTCAACATTATGCAATTTTCAGTTGGTAAGATCTTATCATGTTGTTTCATTGGCATGATTTTGTAGGGTATTGATACAGATGAACCTGCAATGCAGATAGATAGAATGGTTTTCAGTGGAAGTTACAATGGTAATGCCTATGTGTATGGAAATCGTTAATTTATTTCAACCTTGGCTTATGTAGCTTTATTAGTCAAATCTATATTTAGGTAGCTTATAAGAGCTTATATTTAGGTATTTCAGTAAAATTATGTTGTATTATTTTGACTTACTAATGACAGAATGTTTTGATTGTGTTTAGAATCTATTGGCACAAACATTATTTTTGAAGAAAACTGTAAGCGTTAAATCTCTGTTATAGGAAGTTAAATATGTAAAGTTATTTAAATATGAATTTAGAGTTATGTACTAAACTTTTTGTGTATCAAGTTGCCCTGACTTTTTCAGGTGAAATGGTGCATGGTGAGACTGAAAAGAATTCAAAATACATGTGTCATACCACCAAAAACCTTGACATGATTCGAGTGTTTTTGAAGAATACCCAAAATGAAAAAAATTCTGAATTGGGTACTGTATGCTAGTATATAGCCATGTCAGTTATATCACAATCATACTGTTCCAGGTGAGATATTCAAAATGCCACTTTTTTATCCTGTTTATTTTTCTGGTGCAGGAGAAGAATCTGGAGAAATAAAAGCCACACATGGCACAGAGGAGGAAAGAACTCAGGACATGATAGGATCACAAGAACATAGCTCGATTTTGGAGTGATCCTCATATATGTCAATAAGAAATCAACTAGTACTTGTGAATACATGGATTTTAGCGGATCACTAGTGGTACATCAGTATATACCCAGGTGTGTGGCAGCGTGACCAGATCTGATAAATTTTATAACCATATACGGTTGGCCGGGTTGGATGCACAAATTTATACTGGGAAGGGAAAGCCTAACTAGATTTGAGCAGCTATATTGTTTTAAAATTATTCATATATGGTCACACTGCTATGTGGACACGAGGTTTGAGTTGGCTGAGTAAATATGGATGAAATCACATGCATGTTGAATATTGCCCAGTGAAATGAGATGCACGCTGCATGCGTGCACTAGAAAAGTATACTAGTTAATACTGAAAAGTAGTTACATATAGTTATGTTGCTAAACACATCTCTGAAAACTTCAATTCCTAAGTTGTCCAAACCATAGTTGTGTTGTAGAATTTACATTTTGGGAGCAACGATGAGTTTCCATCAAACAACCCGCGTCAGGAAAGTAGCTAAAATAATAAAATTTGTCGCAGCCACTTGGGTTTGTAGGATTAAACACACAATTTTCTTTGCTTTCCAGATGTACATGTAAGCCGCTGTCACTCTGGTGAAGCTTTACTTTACATCCCGTTAAACTTTTTTCATTAATCCTACCCTCGAAAGTTAACACTTCCTTGTTTGGATTTTTTGTTGTGATATCTTTATTTTTAAGGTCATCGAGTGATATTTGAAGATAATCCAAACTGTTGACTTCGTCTTCCTTCTTGTAGTCACAAGTGAACGCGATATAATTTGAATCCAGATTAATCGACTGCATTCGTGCTTTGCTGAGTCGATAACCGCTCCATTGTAGTTCATTTTCACTGACAGGATGGTCTGCACTTAATTTTTCTTGAAAAACGCTATTTGTGACTGCTCGCCGTGCGAAGCTAAACGACTGCACCAGCGTCCAAGCACGGCCATCAGAATCAAAATGACAGTATACTTCATACAATGAATTGCTAGAATCAAACACTTTATACATGCCTGATTGTCGGGGGCGATCCAAATACCCGGCACACGATCTGATTGTCTGGTCACAGTTGTCTCCATTGTAGCCAACTTGGCATTCGCAGGTGAATCGTTTCCAGGGTTGTTCAGTGGAGTTCTGTGGTTTGCATATTTTCTTGCCTGGACAGAGCTCTGATCGTTGACAACAGTTGTATTTCATATAACAACTCAATCCAGTGCATTGATCGTCGAATTCCTGAGGTTGGAAGGGTAGATATTTATTAGTAGTGGTTTTGGTGGTGATTATATAGTTATGAAAACTTCTTTCTTTTATCTCCCATTATAATTATTTTAGGCAGATTACATCACTGCGCAAGTAAGCGCAAACAACGGTAAGATTTAGTAAAAGTAACCGATTGTTTTAAAAAACCTCCAGTTGGCGAAGAATAACACTCGTTCCGAACATAGGGAAAACACCTATATAAGAACGAGGTTAGAAAAGTGGTGGTAGTTTGTGATTTGAGTTACCTGGAACTGAAAAACGTCCATTAAATGTCTTAAATCGTAAACAGCATAGACGCAGCCATCTTGATCATGAAGCAATGAACTGTTTTCTTCTTTGTGACTTGAACATAGTTGACATTCTGTATTTTGGCAAATTTGAAACGACTGACATCGACAGTCCTCAAGACAGTGGCTCAAACAATCTGCTATGTTTTCCTTATTTATCTCGAACTTTTTAATTAGACAGGATTCGTCGAATGCCTTATTTCTCTCAGCTTTTATAGTGAGTTGGGGCTCCCCGTTGAACATGGATGTGGTGTGCGCGAGTGTTGACAACATGACAGTGACTAAACTATAAAGTAAAAATGGTCGACAATTAGCATACTAAAGACCCCGATGGCCGTTCTGCTTTTGCTTGTGTTGTTAACGGGCAAGTTTTCCTTCACAAATCTTCTTGACCAACTCACTTGCTCGTGTGTCTGGGCTATGGCGAACAAATTTTCCTTGCAAAGTTTTATTTGCTCGTGTTTACGCAAGAAATATGACAAGTTTTACGATAATATGAGCGATGATAAAATGAGTATACCACCGAACTTCAAAACATACAAAAAATGATAAAATTTCATAAACCCGCTCGATTGGCTCAAATATATTGTTGCGCAAGTTTTCCTTTAAAAATTTTCTTGATTGGCTGTACACACGAGCATTTTTCCTTGTTGAAAAGCTGCTGACATGACTAACTTTTGAGGTTTGAACAAAGCTCCTTGTCAAGGAAAACTTGTCAACTTTTTCGCGTACACACGAGCAGGTAAAATTTGGCCGCATGAAAACTTGTCAAGGAAAACTTGCCCGTCTGTACGGGGCTTAAGAGATTGCGCTAAGCTACGGGCATGGGTTTATTAGCAATGTCATCTTCATGCTGTCCGAAGAAGGTCTATATAATATAATAATAATAACTATTTACAATTATACGGGTTGACTTCTTCAGAAGTTATTTTCTGGTATCAATGAAGGACCTGTGTTACTGTATGAGAAGCCATTTACTGTCATCAGATCTCGTTTTCATTAGTTTTAATTTATTTCAGTTCTTATGCTTCTGAAAACGCCGCGTTGTCGCTTTGCGTCTAGTTTGTGTCGACCTTTATTCTTATCAGTTCGCAAAAGAGGGGGCCTAAAAGTGATCAGCATGTAGTAATTCGTTAAACAAAAAAAAGGCTGCTACAAAACAATTCATACAATTTCGCAAGATAAGTCTAACATGACTTTGATCGCACACATGCAGAGTTTCTTCATATTATTATTAAACTCTGACACTTTAAATGGTTAAAGTGTTATCGTAAATTAATTCGCTGATGTCCTACCTCAAACCTCTTGCGAACATTATCTTATTTCCTGCATCGAAATTACTTCTTAACTCGCGTGTTAATATGTTGTTTTTCTTGATACCAGCTGTTGCCGTTCGCGTACCTTTCAACGTGACGAAATTATGTTATGGCTCAGTGTCCATCTGGCGTTACACGTAGGTCGCGTTTTAGGCCAAGGAGAGTTCATTATTCAAAAATGACCAATTTTAACCATGCATGCACGCACGCATTATCCAAAATAGTGAGTTTCAATTGGTATTCACGAATATAGACACGAAGTCACAAACACATGCAAGTCAGTCGAATCACTAGCTTTTGCATGCCATCTGGCTTTAAATTCTTTCTTTTATCATAAGAGGGGGCCCGGGTATTTTTCTCTATGTCTGTGTTTGTCGCGTAATATGTGCTCAAAATGTTATAGCGGCATCCAACAATACTAAAATTTTATGCATTAAAAATCTACAGCGTAAAAATGAAGATATTTCTTGGGTATACGCCGAAAAGAAAATGCATCACACTTGATTAAAAGCTGTTTTTTATTTATTTTAGTGCTAATTGCGTTGTCATTTATGAAACAATAATTAATGAAACTCTCCATTAATAATTTAAACACCTAAGGCTAAGCTTTCGATATGCCTTATGAGAGACTGCACGCAGTTCTTGGCTTATGGAAGTGGCATACCGTTCATCTGACGATGAATGACTGAATGACTTTGTAATTTAGCCGGATATTTGGACTGAGAAGTCTGTTAAAAGCCACTCTTAAATGTCTGTTAGAAGCCATTTCACTTTCATAGTTTTAAGTATATTTCATTTTTTTGCTATGAGAACAAAAAATTAAGACCAACTTTCTCAAGGTTATGAGGCTCCTGAAATGGTCGTTTTATAATACTCTTTACTGCCATACTATTTACATTTACAATTATTTATTAATGTATATTTATTTAACGAGCAACTATAGTGAAACTTTTGAAACTGAAGACTAAATTCCTACTTTCCTTTAGGCCTTTTGCAGGCACTTATATGAGATTGATTATAGCTAGTGCAGGCGGTAATTTTAAATCTATTCCAAACTAAAGTTTTTTTCACAAATGTGTTGGTAGTATGAGTAAGTGCCGGTGTAACACAAAAACGAGTCCGATGAGCCAAACAATAAACAAAGAAGTTTACTGAGGAGCAAAACGTAATTATTTGAATTTCATATACAAAGTTGTCAAATATTTTTCAGTACTTTGGCAACAACAGAACTAGGATTAAGACATTCAAATTATTCACTTATATATAGTCGATAGGAAAAAACCCATTTAGAAATCAGTACAAAATCAAGTAATAAAACAGACGATGCATGATATCTGGAAATATATCCATCACGGCTGTCACATCTAATGCATTTCAGATGCTTGAAATGGAAAACATTGGTTCTTCCATAGTAGGAAGCCAACTAAAAACAGCTAAGGTTTGCTGATACAACCAAATTGAAAGAAGGTACCCTGGGATTAACTGCAGAAAAAGGTTCCACGGTAAAACTTATGTGACACACAAGAATTCATCACCACGCATAACTAAGAGAAGGCCGTTTTTTAATAGGAAAGAGCTGTCCACAATGAAATCATTTATTCTCACGGTGCATCGGAGCTGCTGTAAGCGAACTTACAAGGAAGTTTGAGGAAGATTGAAAAACAGAATCACATTATGGCACGTTCTTCAAGGACAAGGAGATCAATCATTACTCGAGGCACACTATTTCTACATAGGAAACTCGAATCATTATTGATTCGTCAATGCTATATCATATAGAGCGCACCCACCTTATAAGTTCTTTGGACAACATTATCTTTGCCTCTCAAATTACTTATGACTTGCAGTTGCAGTGTCTTGACGAAAGCTGCTGCATGTGTACTTACTTGGTATAACTATAAGTCTAAGACTAAGTTCTTCAACGTCACGCTAGCATGCAGTAAAGCTTTTTTAATATTATTATTTGACGTTTTTATGCTAAATAGCGTTTAATGTATTATTGAAAAACTAATTGCGCATATATCCGTAAAATAGCGTTTTTTTATTCACGATTCACGTCGAAAGATCCTGGGCACGAAAGTTTCAAAATCTCACCTGCGGAAAATCTAGCAGATTTCATGATTCCGCTGAGCTTATATTGAAATTGCACTACAATGTAAAGCACTATAGCCTACAGTGCAATGTACTTCTCTTGATCTCTTCAGACAGCATTAAGACTGAAATGTTTGCATTTATGTCATTGGCGTCATAGTTACATTATAAATAAACAATAACCAAGTTGAGCAGCTGGTCCAGTTAAAAATTGGTTAAGTACAGCTGGGTCTTTGCTGTAATTGAGACTTGTAGATTTGAGTCTAGCGTAAAATATTATCGAAACGATGTTTCAACTCCCTTGGCTCAGACATCCGTGTTTGTATTATAGACATCCTGATTCTCTAAAGAAAGACGTAAAAGATGAGAGGAAAAATAGAAATTCAAACTTTTTTCACCTTATTGTAGATACAAAAATTATATTTGACAATACCTCTCGTGTTGAGCGGTATTTGGGGAATGTACCCACATGGTCGTGCAGTTCAGCTCAATTAGCCTTTCTCACGATGACGAATATGCCGCCATTTTTGGAGTACTTTTTTCAAAAACCGTGAGCGTAAGACTTGGTAACGGCGACTGTCTTTAATTTTAGGCTGAATTTATTCTTCAAATGGTCTGTTTATTAAAAAAAAAAATGCTTTTGATGTTTAAACATAATTTTTAAACCCATTTCAGAAAATTGAAAGTACCCCAAAACGTCATCGTGAGAAAGGCTAATTCAAGACGGTGTAAAAATTAGAAACAGTACGAAACCTAAGGCCGTGCTACACGACGCAATTTTTCTTGCAACTTGCAATGCAATTGTAGTTTTGAGTTTTGAGGGATGTAAATTAGTGAAGAATCTTCAAATGTAAGTGTAAGAAACGCCATGGATTGTAATAAAGACAAATTAAGTTCGGTAGATGCCAAATTTACATCTCTCAATTCACTTTTGATGGATGTTTTAAAGTCTGTAGACTTGCAAAGTATATGAGCAGCAAAATCCAACAAAATTGGATCTTCTGAACAGACCTTAACAGGGCCTTTACTGACAAGATTTTTTTGGCTACGGTGGTGGTCGGACTATGTCCCAGTCTTAACAGGAAAAAAGGGCAACATATTTCTAATTACTTTGAGATACACTATGATATTCAAAGATATTTATTCATTTTAATGTCAAAGACTTATATAATATTAAAACGTGCATAGACGGCACTCGGGCTTTTAATTAAATTATTAATTAAATAGATAATTTTTAATTAAAGTCAGTTCAATGTAATTATACTAATTAAATACTACTTTGATGTGATTAAGCATCGTCTGTTTGAAGCTTGGGTGATGTTCGCAAAATTTTTTTAGGGAAAATCTGAATACGCAATACGTAGTTCCTTCGTTTTGGGGATAAGATTTTTCACAAAATCTCATATTTTCACACGTACTAATACACTGCAATACTCCGAGTATAAAAGCCTCAAAATCTCTTTTGAAAACAGGACTAGACATTTCCAGCAATACTTTATTTCTATTCCTGTATTCCTACCCCCCTGGGCAATGGGCAGACGATTTAGTAGCAGCCAGTATTGTGGGATCAGGCGATCAGCTAGTACTGGTAGTATACATTACACAACGTACGAAAACACTCTTGCACAGCCAACGTGCTTGGGTTTGCTGTGCACTTGAAAAGAACACTACATCCGTAATACATGTGCATATATTTTGAACATCCTTGACAGGTGTAAATAGTCAGTATATTGAAATGTCTGTGGCTTAAACCTTGATCCGTTTTCATCAAATTGTGCAAATTACAATATGATCGTGTATACGTTTGCTACTTCTGAAGGCATATTCGATTATTCGCGAAAGAAACAGCGTGGATCATACTAAATGTGTTCTAATTACCACTGGTAATTCTATGTTTTGACGGTGTGTCGGTGTCTCACCGAACACATCCATTAATTATTTTTAATACGAGATAATTTTTTTGTATAAAGTCAAACAAATCTGGCCAGTAAAGCAGAGTAGTTGAGAGAAAGAGGAGCTTTATGTCTGCTGGACGATCGACAAAAACCGAGCAATGTGAGTTCTTGATATTGTGTGTTTCTCGTTTTTTTTTTGATCCTACGATATTTGGCTATAATTTCAAAATAAATGATGCAAAGTCCTGTTTCGGCAGGTGCTAGAGTCACGCAAAATAGCTGGATTAGGGATTTATAGCAGGATTGTAAAGGCGAAAAGTGTGATGATAGCTGGTCCTTTCCAGATTCGAATTCATTCCTGTTCAATTTCCGATAGCGATAGTACGTACGTGACGTAAAGTATTTTGTCCAACTTCATACCCTTGGATGGAGTTTGGGAAATAACACTGTCACATTCAGTGAGGGGCATAGTAACCTGGGGCATTAGGATCAATCAATTGGCTCCCCCAGCCATGTAAAGCATGACAGCTTTTTCCTGAAGATCTCTTGTACCTACACAGACAATGAAGCAAAAGCAATGGAATATAATGCTCATTTGCTGCAGTAATCTCAAAAATCCTGTTTATATTTTCTTTTAAATATAGTTGGAGGTAGAGTCCATGGCCTTCGTCAGATATATAAACGTATTGAAGAGAAGACGTACCCATTACCTTCTTCATATGATGTGACCAATTACCTCAAGTATTTTCACCAAATATTACTTGGGTATGTTGGAAGTGATTTTATCGATTTTCGTTTGCACTGTGTTGTGGTTACAAAATGAGATTAGTTGGATGAAGTGGGCACAGCATGCTATATCAAGCAGGTTATAGACTAGTCTTTGAGGAAATAATTGCTTTTAATTTGACTGCAAATCCAAATGTCTATGGTTTAACTACATATTAGACCTTACTGATATGAAATATGTATCTCACTCATAATATGTGCCATATCTGTAGTTTAGTGAAGGAAACAGCCCCAGAAATATCCGAGGATGGAAGTTCATTTGATCATGAAGATATTGTTAATTTGGACTACACAGGATTGTTTACAACGCTTTTTGATTTAATTCATGTGATAGACCATGTTGGCGAGGGACATGAAGGTTTGTCAAACACTATGAAACACCACAAAACCTTGACAGTTTACATGCTGATATCTGGCTTTTACTTTAAAGATTGTGGCCTCACAATTCTTCATATTATGGTGGCCCTTGTACCATTCCTGCCAGCGAACTGGCTTAATGACCTTCCAATTACCTTGACAACAATCATGGTGAAAATTAACAGCAGTCTCCATGGTTATATCATGAATGTTTTGTGTGGTTATCTTCTGCCTTTGCTGTTGGGTAAGTAAAGTACATGAATGAAAATAACTTTTTGTGCTTTGTATTCACTGGGCTGATAATGGTTGCATGTTTGCAAATATTACCATAATCATCATTCACAAAATTACATTGTGTGTTGCGAAAAACATAATTAATAATTGTTGTGAAGATGTAGGCAAATAAAAAGCAGCAATAATCACATCAAGGGCAAAAACAACACGAGTAAGAAACTTTTAGTATTTTGAATGTTGAAATGATTCCATTGGAATCACTAAATTATGTTACATTGATTAAATTATAAACTTCATTAGATACAGTGACTTATGAAGAGTTCAACTATACAAATATACATATGTATGATAAACAAAAAAATGTACAGTAACTCTTGAAAGTAATTAGTTTTTCTGTGTTGTCAAATCTTCGTTCACCATAATACACTGGAAGACCTTGGAACAATTTCAATGACTTCAGGGGATGGAATGAACAAAGTGTTGATGCTAATACCATCATCATCTATGTAAGAATGATTTTTAGCCTGATGTGATGTTTCTTGCAAAATTTCGTTGGGTATTTCAAGAGCTACACTAGCAAAGGAAGAGTTTGGAGCAGAGATGTCTTCATGACTGTGTACCCCACGACGGAGCTCTTTCCTACAGCAACAGTACCTGTTGTGTAAATTGTACAAGAAATATTCTGTTTGAAATTTGACCTATAAATTCCCCGTCCTCTGTCCGAAAAAACAAGTCCTTTATAACAAGCAAGTTCAAACGCCTTATTTTATAAAGTGCAACATAAAAGACAAAATTACAACAAAGGTTACCGTCTGATAGAAACGATTTTAAGATGGAAATTTCGTCAAATGAAAAGTGAAATTGTAAAAAGAGCGCTTCAAAAATTTTTATGTGAGATATGTCTCGTCACATTTCCGATTCGCACAAAATATTTCAAGTCAAATTACCACGGTTTTCGCAGGTAGAAAGTGTTCTTGTTTCGGATGATGTATAAAAGTAGAGAAAATCAAAAAGCAAACGTTTCAAACTAGAGAAAGACAATAGTTTCAGACTGACAATTTAATCACCTGATTGCCACAACGACAAAATATATCCAAGAAACGATTGCCAGTGTCCCAATTATTCCAGTTATTACACCAATAACAAACCCCTTCTTAAAACAAAATGTGTTATAGTCTTCAAAAAAGTTCATGAAGCCAAGATTCTCTCCTGAAATACAACAAAGAGAGAATGATGATCCAAAAATACTTTTACAGCGAACTATCCACATTTTTCTTGTTGTTTTTGTGTCGTTTTAGTTCGAATTTGTTTGAAAAAAGGTGAAAAGAAAGCATTGATAGTTATGATGCTGCATGTTGTTGATATGTGGCATTATGTGCAAATGACAAGTTTTACTACAGTAGTTCACCTACCCAATACAATTAAAGGCGGGTCAATTAAAATCCCTGTTGTTCTGTTTTTGTCATTGTTAATTATCTCGCAGGAAAGTTTAGTCCAGCACAGTTCATTTTAAGACACTTTTTTAACTTTTAAGACTATCCTTTTGAAAACTGTGTCAATATTATAAATCAATATACGATTAAATCGCGTGCGTTGAGTGAGACTGGTGACTACGTAAGATTTGACTGTTCGTGACCATTCAGTGTTTGTGACTCACCAATTTCAGCCGAAATTTCTAGCTTGAACTAGAGTGAGTATGTAACGATCGTTAAAATCAGGTGTCATTCCTCAATTTTAGGTAATTTTTCAAGTGGCGAGAATAGTGACAGTTATTTTGCACTGTCATGTTCATCCTTGATTATGTCTGTGTTACTGTACTGCAACGATCCCAAAGAACATGCAAAGTTCCTTGAAACTATGATGCGCTTCAAAAAGAATGTCTGTCTTGATCTGCTTGCTGTCATGGCGTACGGTCCAACCGAAGTTCTCCAACCTTCTGTTCAGCTTTTATTCCATTACTATCCATCCATTGATGTTGGTAAGCATGTATTCTAATAATGGGTTATTATATAGATATTACCATACCAGATAGTTATCGTACCAGATAATTAGAGACGCCCAAAGAGGATCGCGAAGAGCTGCATATCTGTTTAAAACCATATCGAATATTAGTTGGGCTTTAGCCCGAGCATGATCATGCCTGATTTATATTTTTATGGGCAGGCCTTTCCAAAGTTTGGGTGGTTGGGCATCTGGACAGTCTCAAGGTCCCTCTTGCTCCAGTGTTCTAATTACGATCCTCCATTTTGTTGTGTATGCAGTCATTAACGAATAATCACCCCTCGCTTTTGGTTGAAGATGTAGTCCAGATCCTAAGATGTAAAGTTATTTTTTTATTTAGCGTACATATTCTTTTCGTTTGCTGGTGCCATGGATGATAGTCAGTTTTACTATGACGAATGGAACGACAGTCAATGTAATTGTCCGGGATGTGATGGCACTACAACTAAACTCTGTATTGACGCTCAGTTTGCATCCAGTCATTGTGGTATTGAACCCCCCGTATTCGTTTGTGATAATTGCGCGAGTGACGTGAGAGCGGAGTTCCTACTCGATATCGTTCAGCCAATAGGAGAAGTGGCTGCATCTTGTGAGAATAAGCCTTGTAAAGGCGATGACAGGACGGCGAAGTATACTTGCTTTTCCGAAAATTGCATTAAGAAACAAAGGTAGGGAAGGGGACTAACCCTCGGGACACATCTGCAAAGTCATTTTTTAACAATGATTGTAAGGCTTACCAGAGCCGCTATCTTTTTGGGCTTTTAGGTTATAACATCTGATTATTAAAGCCATATAACTTAATTCATATGTCGTATGCACCTTTACTCACTTGAAATTACACTTTTCACTGTCTTAGGTACCGACCACTGGCCCAGTGCCGCATCTGTACACGTATCAACCACGACGAAGGCGAAGGTCAAGATCACGTGGTGCAAGGGGCGTTACCCGACCCTTGGTGTGACGAGGGTATTGAACAAACTTATCTAGTGGATGCGATTGTGAGATTATTGCAACAAGCTCCTCCAGATCAAACAACGAGGTTGAGGAAAATTGGGTATGTAGGTACTGCGTGGCTTGTTTATCAATCAGCCTTCCTCCATGATGATATTATTGTTGGTCATTGAGCGTAACCGGCTATATAACAATTCTAAAGTACAGTAATCTTCAGTGAAATACCTTAATGTACTTCACTAACTCGTGTAGGCTGAGATTGGATAAGAAAATGATCGTAGAATAGACAAGTGAGTTTGTACCAAAGGCCTCCTTCAGTGCCGTAAGCAAAGGAAGGTCATTGGGTACGAGATTGGGAGAACCCCATCCTCTTGCTAACCCCACCCCCTTAAAGTCCAATACTAAGAAGTAAGACCGGCAATTATAAATTTATAATACTCCCTGTTTTCAGATATGATATTGAACCAGATTTTGTTGAAGTTGTCAACCAAGATGAAAACCTCGACGTGTCTGAAGAAGATTTAAATCGTGGTTTGCTGCTAAGTCGTTTCGGTGTATGGATTTTAGCATCGCAATGCCGAACAGTATCGTTGTGCAAGAGCGATGAACGATTAGGGTATCTAATCTCTGTAGTTTTAGATTGGATGACGGCAACTGCTGCCATTTCTGACAAAGGAGTGCGGGCGAAGATTGAAACTTTAAAAAAAGAATATATAAGTAACTGGATTAATGTTGTTAAAAAAGCAAATCTGGACTTGTATTGTACGTGCTTGTTACCAGACCCTCCGGCGTATGTACAAATGCAAGGAACGTCGGATATGTTGGCTGATAGGATCAGGTTGCTAAAGGAAGGATTGTATAGGATATGTTGTCTGATTCCGTATAACTTGGTGCCGCAAGAGGTAATATTTTGTGAATTGATACAAAAACATAACTTGCTTCACCCATATCCTTCATAACGAATTCGCGCGTAATTACAAACTCGTTCATCTAAAAATAGGATTATCACAATGAAATTTTGAATTTTCAGGTCTGGGAGCGTATCATGCCAGAGTGGATGAACGCAATCCGAAGTAATGTACCTCCGGAACGACTCCGTGAATTTAAGAGCTTGCTGAGGTAAGTGTAGATCGTATGACACATAATTTTCATGAAAACAGTGCAGTCTACAGATTATAATTTCTTGATATGATTTATACGTTAGTGCTTATGTGTTTGCATGTCCGCGTGCTTGGCAATGGTATTTTTTACAGGCTAGCGAGAGAGGTTAGCGCACAGGATGGCAATTATGTGAATGTACCTCTTATCCTTTGATATTCCTTAGTGATATGTTTGATCCTGTTGTATCACCGTTCAAAGTACCCATGGATGCAGTTATGGCATTTATCAAAAATGGGTTTGAATCTGGTTCAGAAAGCTTGCAAAGGCAAACACTTACATGGTTGCAGGTTTGTGATGTAGCTATATACCCACGTGATCTGAAAAGGCAGCAAAGGACTGGGACTAGTTGTCCCATAAAAATCCATTTCTCGATCGGTTGAAACTACCTAATAACTCTTGAAATATACTTTTCATTTTAATATTTATGTCAGAGCTATATACATATAGTTCTTATCACTATAAACATAATCGTAAAATTTCTATTGGTTTCATAAAAAACAACAACTACAGAATGACGTCTGTTTCGACAGCCATTTTGAGCGCTGTGCGCGCCTGTTCACCTGGATGTGTTAAGCAGGTTTTCCAGTATTGCGATATTTTTCGCGCGAAGTGACATTTTACTTTTGCTCCAGAGCTCTCAACTGCAACCATCTGGAACAAATTGATTAAATATAAAGGAATAAAGTCGCTTCGCGCGAAAAATATCGCTAGTGGAAAATCGGCTTTAACGTACACTGCGCTCAAATCCAACGATATCATTAGCATTTTTCTAGTTGCTACAAACTATATAATAACCGTTGTTCTCAGACGGCGCCATAGATGTACCGTAGTTACCTAAACTGCCAATATAAGAAATGAAGAAGTTGAAGAAGTAAAGTTGTAAAAGTATCAAGTGTTTATTTCTTTCTTTGCTGTACGTTTCATATAGATTCTATCAGAACTGGATATTATCATCAAGATTCACATGTTGGTAAATATGTTCCAATTAGCGATGGACTCCTTGCAAAACCCTAGTTTGGAAGACCCCCATAGTGAGCCTCCTTCACCTGTACAACAAGGGGACACATTAAGTACAGGACAGTGGTCTGCAGTTTTGGAAAGCGACTCCACTCTGGCTTCTTTCATCATGATGCTGGATATTATTGCAAAGCAGGTATGCAAGATGTGTTTTATACGTGTAGCATTGTATGCGAGAGAATGCACATTGGCAATTGTGTTATCTGTTTAAAACTCTTCATGCTCGTGGACTTATTGGCTGTTAATGAAGTGGGAGTGCATGGAGGCCATTTAAGTCTCAGGGAAATCAGGGAACTGATTTAATTGCTGATAATTTAACAGCTTATAATGAATTTATTTCAGAAAGATGTATGTTGTAGCTACGTCTGTGTGCGTTATATATACAGTAGGAGGTAAAAGTTTGAGTCCAGTGACTGTATTTCTTTGTTTCAGCAGCATATATTAATATTCTACAGAAAACCTTACCGATAAGTGAACTAGAAAAAAGTAAACAAGTAAACAGAAAAATACATGCTGTACAACAACTATGAGATGTTATGATATTCATTTTTACGTATTTTAATGTGCAAACATGCATTTACATGTCATTGCTTAGTTCCCTCTTTTTTGCTCTTGAAATGACCTTTATTCTTGCTCGCATAGATTCCATAGGTTTTTTAATGTCACACGTTCAATACCTTGCCAGCATTCGTTGACCACTTGCCTCAAGTCAGCCTGGCTGGCGGGTCTGTGCCTCGCCCTCTTCCGGTTAAAACGGTTCTACAAGTGCTCCATAGGTTTTAGATCTGGAATATGAGGTGGAAAGCCATGACAACGAGATCACCAGAATGAGTTTGCTTCTAAACGATTTCTGGCACATAGAAGATGTGCATGTGCTTAGGGTGATTATCATGTAGTTAGACGTGCGATCACTCTTGTACCAGATGAAATTCCATGTCCTTGAAGAATTGGATGATACTTTTCTTTAATTAGGATCCTATTATATCTTTCAATATTGCCAAACCGAGCATGACCAAAGCAGCTAAAAGTTTGCTTGAGTAGGATTTAGTTTCTTCGAACCTCTCCAAGGTTAGTTGCATACCACCTTTTTAAATTCTCACTTCTTCTGCGATCTTACGAGGAAAGAATCCTTCAATACTTAATGGAACTATTTGTCCTTGTGCACCATCACTTTGCCCTTTTTCCTACCCATCTTGGGCAGTGTAAAGGAATGAGAACTTTATTTTGTTATAATTTAGATCATTAGGACCAAAACAGTGTGCAATTAATATAGTTTACAGTACTGAAACACTAGCACGCATGTCTTAACTCCAATACGCTGCCAGGATTTAATACTGGAATTCTACAACGACTGGACTCAAACTTTTGCCTCCTACTGTATATATATATATATTCACTGTCCATATATATTCACTGTCCTGTGTGTTTTATATATACACTGTCCTTATATTCACTGTCCTGTGTGTTTTATATATACACTGTCCTAGTGTGTGTGCTAGTCTATATAAATACACTGTCCTGTGTGTGTTATATTACTTATATATATATATATACTGTCCTGTGTATGTGCTATACATACACTGTCTTGTGTGTGCGCTATATAATTATACACTGTCTTGTGTGTGCTATATATACACTGCTCTGTGTGTGTGTTGTATATCTACACTGTCCTGTGTGTGTTATATAATTATACACTGTCTTGTGTGCGTGTGTGTTATATATATATATACACTGTTCTGTGCATGTGTGTTATATTTACACTATTCTGTGTGCGTAATTTAAACATATCAATGGGATTAAGTGAAAAACTTCAATTGGCCAAACCATAGTTGTGTTGTAGAATTAACATTTTGCGTACAATGATGTGTTGGCATCAAACAACTTGATTCAGGAAAGTAGCCAAAATAATGAAATTTTCCGCTGCAGACATTTGGTCTTTCGGGGGAAAACGGACAATTTTCGAGATGATCCAGATGTACATGTAAACCTTTACTGTCCTGGTGAAGCTTTACTTTACACCCGGTTAAACTTTTTTCATTAATCCTACCCTCGAAAGTTAACACTTCCTGGTTTGGATCATTTGTTGTGATATCTTTATCATTTCCAAGGTCATCGAGTGATATTTGAAGATAATCCAAACTGTTGACTTCGTCTTCCTTCTTGTAGTTACAAGTGAACGCGATATAATTTGAATCTAGATTAATCGAGTGCATTCGTGCTTTGCTGAGTCGATAACCGCTCCATTGTAGTTGATTTTCACTGACGGGATGGTCTGCACTTAATGTTTTTTGAAAAACGCTACCTGTAATTGTTCGCCGTGCGAAGCTAAACGATTGCACCAGCGTCCAAGCACGGCCATCAGAATCAAAATGACAGTATACTTCATACAATGAATTGCCAGAATCAAACACTTTATACATGCCTGATTGTCGGGGGCGATCCAAATACCCGGCACACGATCTGATTGTCTCATCACAGTTGTCTCCACTGTAGCCAACTTGGCATTCGCAGGTGAATCGTTTCCAGGGTTGTTCGACGGAGTTCTGTGGCTTGCATATTTTCTTGCCTGGACAGAGACCTGGTCGTTGACAACAGTTGGCATTGGAACAACCTATGCTTGAACATTGGCCGTCTATATTCTATTAAGATAGAAATGGTTTTGATATTCCTCTTTGAGGTGCAGGGAAGTCTCATGCATTATTAAGAATCCTGGAATTGCGTTGTATTTTGCAATGTGAAATGGAAAAGTAGAAAATTCTATTATCTTTGCCGCTTACGATTTAACAAACGCTTGAAGGAGTTAACTTATAATGCCCTCGAAATTTTCATTACCTGAGCCTGATGACTTCCCAAAGAATGTCTTAAATCGTACACAGCATAAATGCAGCCATCTTGATCATGAAGCAATGAACTGTTTTCTTCCTTGTGACTTGAACACAGTTGACATTCTGTATTTTGGCAAATTTGAAACGACTGACATCGGCAGTCCTCAAGACAGTGGCTCAAACAATCTGCTATGTTTGCTGCACCTTTCTTGTTAAACGTTTTAATGAGGCAGGATTTGTCAAATGCCTTGTTTTCCACAGCTTTTATGGTGATTTGTGATTGATTGCTGGAAATTACGATGTTGTATGACAAGAGTGTTGACAAAAGGATAACGTGAAAGCTGCATGTGAAATTAGAAACGTTAGGTTAGTTACAATCGGTAGTTGGTATTAAGATTTTTTTCGTGAGAGTTTAAAGTAAGAAATAGGAATATAGACCTGTATAACATCTTTATTTGATTCGGCTGTATAACTATTAACTTTTTCTATCTACCACAATGTGATTAACTTTAAAAAATGTTGCGGCGAACATCTTTATGATATTTTGGACGATTTGAGGAAGCCGCGGTTTAGCATAAGAAACGACAATCATTTTGCAACTTTGTCATCAGCCGATTCTAACCTCGCGTCGCGTGACGCATGAATTCCTGATGTATAAATTAGCTTTTCTCACGATGGCGAATGTGCCGCCATTTTTGGGATACTTTTTTTTAAATTGTGATCGCAAGACCTTGTCAGGGCGGCTGTCTTTAATTTTAGGCTTAATTTATTGTTCAAATGGTCTATATGGACTCTTAAAAAGTGCTTCTTACATTGCTATTATTGTTCAAATTAACGCATTTACGAAAATTGAGAGTACCCCAAAAATGACGGATATTCGTCATCGTGAGAAAGGCTATTTCCCGAATAGGGCAGCATGAGTCTGCATGACTATAATTGCAATGGACCAAATGGCTATAAAGCCGTAAAGGAGACATTAATAATTAATGTGTATTAATTATATAATCATTAATAATTGCCATGACTACTATTGTAAACGCCGATCTTTCTATCGCTTTTGATTTCTGTAGATACTTTTCATTTCTTATTTCATAAAATGGATATCAAACAATTTAGGTCTGTACTACCGCTCCATTCATCGATAAGAAGCGATAAAAAACCCCTGAACGAATACTTCTTAGCAATGCAAAAGAGTTAGCTACATGCACGCACATTCGATTTAACACGTTCTTTTGGCCAAAAATTATAAAGCTATTCACCTGCATGTGAACTATAGATATATACTCCAATTTAAGTGTTGCAACCCAAATCATTTTATTATATCTATAATATCAATCTTCTACAATTGCATGTTGCGAACACATCTTTTTATATATATATGTAAAAATATATATATATATATATATGAAAAAACGTCATGAGATTCTTAATTGTGTAGAAAATATCTTGTTGTCAATGTTTTGCAACCTTACCTCAAGTGTCTTTGGCACATACTTCTTTGAAACTTTTTGCTGTTCGGTTTAATAAAAAACGCGTTCTTGTGTTGCATGAGCCGTAGAAACTAGAGTACAATATGTGTTACTGCATGTATGCGTTAGGTATATATATATTGAAACTGACGCGTTTAATATCATTAACAGACAGCTTTGTGTGACGAAAATAATTAGTCCAAGGCCCCTCACTAGGTATGATATAAAAATTATTTATATGAAACAATTTCGTCTTTTTTTCCTACAGCATAGTGTTTTTATTTAAAGTTATGATTCCCGCGCGAAAATGTATTCATTGTATCAGAAACGGTATATAGTTTGATGCCAGCCAGCCATATCTCGTTTACAAAAGAAGAAGAAATTAAATGTTTCATACGATAAATATTTAATGAAATTAAAATTAGTTGGGCAATGTATAATAGAGTTATAGCTAATATACGCTATATGTATAGTGTGATCGACATATAGACATAGATGCTATATAGCTATATATACTAAAACTGCATGTTTCCATTTTCTTTAATTTAATGATTAATGGGAGTTTGTCATATGCCATTGGTGCATGCATCGCATCTATATACTCACAGCAAAGCAGCCATTGTATATTTTAGCGGTTCCGTACTTATATTTATCATGCTGCATGCATGCATTTATCCAGAAAGAGTGCAATTTTCTGCTTAAAGAAAAAATACATGCAGCTGTTTGGTGGTTGTCACTCGTTTCATATATATAGCTTCATGGATGAGATTCCCCAGACTCAAGGCTTGAATTAATATTAACAAATACTCATATTAATAATAAGTCTCTCAAGCTATGGAGAGAAACATAACTAACAACTGGTTATTTTTGAAATATTAACAATATGTCAATAACAATTGCAAGCAATATGTTAGTTAAGAAATATATTCTTTGACAATTTGTCAAAACCTAGAAAAAACCTTGCATTTATGCGCGTGATTAAAAATGTACACTAATTCGCAAAATATATTATTGGTGTAGCATGAACAAGCCTTACCATTTAAAGTCTTTCATTTTCTACTTTCTTTACTTCTTCACAGCCCCTTCACTGTTCTTCAAGCGAAAATACAGGGATTTGTAGTTACAATGACAATGTGTCAGTTTTGAATATGGAGATTGTCATATCAATTATTTTAAACCCCCATTTTCATTGTTATGTATATGAGTTACGCATGCGGTTATGTTTTGACGTGAAAACTGTCAAACACTTTTTGTTAACTTTGCATATGAAAAATGTAATTAAATTAGTTTTCCCTTCAGAAATTTCCCCTCCAATCAACTCCAAGCTTGACACGTATATCTTTTATTCATAATGTCATTATATTAGCTAAGGGTGATTTATTGATTATTGCAGGTGTCATTATTCAAACTCTTCCTAAAATAGTAAAGACAAAACGATTTTCAAATATTTTTTGCTTATTTAGAGACCAATCAGGGATTCTATATTGTTTTTTACAAACAGTTATGTCACATGCAATGACCTCAAACTTAGTGACTATAGGCTTTGTCTGATGATAAGGACTCGCTACTTTTATTGCTATTTGTTCCTGTTACATTTCTGTACCATGTCAATAAATTCTATTCGACAAACATCGTATGGATGTTACAAATATTTACCAAGTTCTAAAAAAATTACGAGATAAGGATTCTTTGAAATTTCTGACAGATCTATTTGCAAAACTATAAGACTGCATCAAGCGTCATCAGAATCAAATGACAGTAAACTTCATATAGGCTGACAAGTCAAGGCTTAATACTTCATACAAGCCTGATTGTCGGTCACCATTGATGTACGTACCCATAACATGACATGATGGTTCGTTACAGATGGGTTGTTTAAGTCAGTGTTGCCAATGTGACTTCGGTTGACTGAAAAAAAAGATTCTTTTTAATTTCGTCCCAGCTCGTATGAGCATTCATGCATGGAAGAATTTTGTATTCATTATAAGAACCATAACTCTAACTGGGATTTTTTGTTTACAGATTAAACTACAATACGAAGGTGAAGAGAGAGTTTCAAACGCCTTGGAACGGCAGGGTGTTAAACGTCTCTTGGAGTACATGTTAGACGTGCCTTGGGTTGGCACCCACGATCATACTGGACCATGCAGCCATTGCCAGATGACAGCCATGTGGTTTCAACTTGCTCATTCCCTTATGGACAGGGTATTTGCTAAGCAACGTGTGCTGAATCCTGTCGAAGCTGGACGGAGTTTTGGTAGTGTGGCTCGAAATGAAAGCTTGATGCACAACAGGAGCTCAATAAGAAGTGGTATAAGAATTTAGTTCAAAAGTTTCTCTGTAATATAAATACTCTTATAGTCTACATATTTATCTACTGATATACGATGGTTTTTACTGTGTATAATGGGACCATCAGCTCACGAGATATGAATTATGAAATGATCATGCATATTTAGAGAGAAACAATATTCGATCAGACGTCGAGGATGCGGACACAGTCGCGTCAGAACAAGGGGGAAGTGTCAGGACAAACGGACAAGGTTTGTACACCACTGTGATTACTAAAATGGAATAAACCAATTTGCACGTATATATTGGGCTTTAATGAATTTATAGTACATATATTTTTACCTCACAGTGGATGAAACGTTGTCCCAGATGACAGACAGTGTCTTTGAGGCAGGGGGTAGCGTGCACACTAAAGGATCAAATAGGAGCTCAAGTGCTAGCATGGGATCATCAATTTCATTTGAAAGTGCTGTAGATAGGGGTCCTCACATTCGATTTTTGCTTGGAGTTTTAAAGGTTAGTGACAATACAGCCAATTCGGTAGCAGTTGCCTTTCTAAAACAAACAAAGTAAGAGTTTTAAGTTTGATTTTCAAAGTCTTGAGCTGTGGTGGATTGTTGGGAAACATTTAATAACAATTTTTCTCACATATTTAGTCGAACAAGCTTAATGCCATGAATTGCTAGTGAAACGCAAAGTCAATTCCTATATGAACTGTTGGTTCTATCTGTTCCATTTTCAGGAGCTTCCTAAGCAAGAGGACTTAGTGGTTGTGTTACATCTGGTAAAATGTTTGTATGTGATGTGTTTACATGGCGATTATTTAAGAATCGCTGCAGAGGAAGATGGAGATATATTACCTTATTTACAAGAAGTTTTTCTTATTCCAAAGTAATTGAACTATTTTCATGTATTCATTCTTAAGTTAATTAGTTCAATTTGCAACTCTACAGTTTTCACCGATGATTGTAGAATATGAGTCATACGTCACTCCAGATATATATGAGCTCACCTGTCCAAACATGTCGTCACGTAACTACATTTCTCTTTTCCTAAGTCTCTGGAGGTTATTAAAATGTGATCGTTCTGAGTTATGTGAGGTTTGCGTTCCATTACTGCTTCACTGCATCTGTCTGCCGTGTGGTGCTGAGTCTTTGGTCAATGAAGTTGAATCCACTTTTGCCAACAAGGACTGGAGGATACGATTTGACGGTGTATCAAAGGTATTTGTCTCTATTTGTCATCCAAAGTATTTCTAACCTCGTACCCAGGGTCTTTCTCCGTGCTCAGACTCTGGGGGGGGAGACTCGAGGATAACTGCGAGATTTCATTTGATAATGTTTTTATTTGCTAGACTTTTCGCTGAACTTTTCTTACTGCTTTAGGTGGTAGTGATTGCACGATATATCCAAAATGAAATTCTCTTCAACGATCTTGCCCGCTCATCTCTGGCCCTCAGCTTCGCCTATCTCGTTGGTGCTATAGAAGACCTCTCAAACTCAGTCTCCCTTCACGTGACTGTGATGCTCGAGACAATTCATCCTGATAGTTTATTAGTCATGTATGAAAGCCTTGTGACGCAATTTGACAAGTTTCCCACCGACAGACTTCTCATAATACACACGTTCAGGCTGCTACACAATGCTCTTCCCAAGCGGACGCCTTTATCAGGGCATTTTTTTCTACGACGATTCACGCAACTATTCGTGGAAAAGACGTCATTAGTTGCCAGTCCTCATCCCGCACGGTCGCTGAGCAGACAGGGAAATATGAGTGATAAGTCTCACACTTCCATGACGTCAAACATTGAACAGACCAGGAAAATTGGAAAAGGTGGAAATTTCGAATTTACTTTTTTTGCTTTTAAATCGGATATATTTATTCATGTTTTACAACACTTATTTACAGGTAATCCTGGCGTTAATCGTTACATGCCTACTCCGACGTCCACTAGCGCAGGCAATACTATTACAATATGTCCCAATGTTGGTCGATTAGCTTATGGTCGATCCAATTCATTGCCTGTCAACCGCTGTGGCTACTCTCTCAACTACGAAAGATGCACTTTGACTAGGCAACTCTCAAGCCCATTAGAAGGTACCGTATTTGACATAATGTGATAGTAATTGTGTAGTAGAGATGATGTAAGTGGGTGAGGAAATTGGACCGAGATTCAGATGTGGCCTTAGTGCCCCTGACTTATCGCGCACGTGATTGGTTAATCGGCATGGTAGAATAATAGCATTTGATTGGTTTCGCTATTGAATGGAGTGTATTGATGCAGCACGATTCAAAATTAAACAAATAGGACGTTTTTACATTGTACATTTTTCCATCGGTATTTTTTAGACCCTAGGCGGTTCAAGTTTGATCCATCCCAGATTGAATCTGTTGATCAGATGTTACTGGGCGCGAAGATTGCTCAAACCAGCCTTTCTCCTGTTGCTGAAGAAAGTGTAGATGGTGCAGAACAACAGTCTACGTTCCCTGAACATGCCGATAAAACTCTGGAAAGGTATATGACTTACTACGTTACAAATACGACGAATGTCTTAAGTATATATAGGATCTATGATGGCTTCTTATGGTTCAGATGGTTTCTTAAGACGAGTCAGAATTGATTTCCATGTGTAAAAACAGGCTTGGGTCAAGAATTAGCGTAATGCATGGTCGGAATTGGGGCTGCCTCTACCTCGAGGGGCAAGGGCGACATGCGAGAATGCAGTGCAATCTTCGGACGAAGAACATTCAAATAGTCCTACAATCAAACAAGAGGGAACATGATGAAACGAAATACATCTAGCGTGTTTTGCAAACACTCTTTAATATGTGCCAACAAAGAAGTGCATGCCCTTATCTTTGGTATTCTTTACACGGTGTCATTATGACACTCTACGACAAAAATCGAATTACCTAAATACCTTTTCCCATTTTCTCGCTATTTTTAGGAGCTCATCTGGTGCGAGCGAGGACGAGGTCATTCATCAACTTGTTACGTTACTTTGCGAGTTCATGAGTAATCCCAGGAATGATAACGAGTTTGGTCGGACTCAAGAATACGTCATCAGCCAAATAAAACATCATGTTGGACTACAAATGGGGTATAATGTCACCGCTATAGGAGAATTTACTGGTAGTCCCGGGAGATTGAGGTATAGTTTGTGTAATGGCCTTGATTTCGACAGAGTTGCCTAAAAGACCTTGAATTTCTACGCAACGTGCGTTGTTGTTTTCTGGTGTGCATGCAGTGTTGTAGAACTAAAACTTTTCCAAAATGAAAGCAAACTACTGTCGTTGATCGTTCATCATAATATGAAATTCTTGAAGCCATTTAACCATGGCCTGGTCAATCGTTTTTTCATCATGAGAATTTTAGAATGTGTTTTTGACCTGTTGTCAAACAATTTGCGAAACGGTCATCTTCTGTGTTTTATGCTTATGTCTTCTATATATTGTTTTCTTTCTTCAGATCTACCCCAGTATTTAGTGCATTTATAGCTGGCATTCCTCACGTATTAGACAGAAATCCTGATTGGGGCAAGGAGTTACTGCCCTTAACACTTCAACTGTTGTTGTTCTGCCCTGCTCCGGAGGTTGTCAACAAAAGTCGTAAACCGAACTACACCTTGGGCATACTGGAAACGCATGTCAGACATTCATGGCTTATGACATTATTGATATATTTGTACAAGGTAAGACACTAATCGACTTGCTGTTCACAGCTCAGAACGTTACTACATATCGTGCAACTCTGGCAAGATTTCTTTAATTAATATCTTTGAGCAGTAGTTGTTAAAAGTTACCATGGCTTTTCCTCCATGGTTTATGTGGAAGTTTTCGTTATATTTTTCAAACATCTTTTGGACGCTACTTAAACATTTGCTCGCCTTTGAATCGGATATTATATGATTAAAAAATTCGTTGCCATCATGTTTCTATGCTAAATGTGTGTTTTTTCTTTAAAGTACGAGATCGATAATCACAAAGAGCTCACTAAGAATCTTGTTCAAATTGTTATGAACACAGTGAACGTTCAAAATCACGAATGCTCTGACGAGTATGCGCAAAAAGTCGGTCGCAGCTTATCTGGCGCTGATGAGGACGACCTACCCGCACCCAGGCACCAACCGTCAGCACGACGCGGAACATTAGCTGCGATATTTGGATCAGGGGGGAGCGAAACAAGCGCAACTGTTTCGCCCTCGGAGAGCGAGCCTATAAATGGAGTGCGGCGAAAAGGTTTGACAAATCGCAGTTTCGAATTATTAGCTAATTCCAAAACTAGTATTCATTTCTTCAATGAAAAATACTTGAGATTTGAATTAGTTGGGTTTTTTTTATCTGCAGAACATGAACTCCGATCATCAAGCTCCAGCTCACTGCAGGCTCAAATGTCTGTAGCCTCCCCAGACCCCTCGTCATTTGGTATTGGTCAATTGATGTACAATCTGAACAAGCAATCTTTAGGGGAAGACGATTCACAATCAGATGCAAGCCCAATCTTAGGTTCAGGCAACGAGGACTCGCCTTTCATCCAAACACCGGTATTCGGTGACCAATCAAAAAGGTATGGAGTAAACTTTACCAGTAAGTCATATTGCATATTACTACCGAAAGTTTTAAATAATATGTAGCAGAAAATCGTGTGGAAAAAGGCTAAAATTATCAGAATGGGTTACTTTTTTAACGGTTTATAATTTACTCCAGAGGGGCTGTGGAGACAGAGATCAATAAGGTTGCTTCAGAGATTACGAAAGAGTTTGAAGTCCCGAGCGGTCAAGAAGACGCAGTTAATTCGCCTTCAGCCAGCGGTTCCACGCCTAACGCTGCCGCCGGAAATGTTGCTGAGCCGCTGGATACTTTTAACGTATTCGAATTTTGTCCCGAATGTGGTCTGCGCCTGGAACAATTTGACGAGGAGACTATCAACATGTGTATTATTGTGCTATCCACGTTTGTACATAGATATCCATCTGTATCCACTCCTTGGTTGTTGAAGATATTACTTTGTGTGGGAAGGTCAGCATTTTCAGCATTATGAATGATATACCATTCGAATTATAAAGTCTGACCAGTAAACATGAGTATTTCATGTAGAATTCTATAGAAAACATTGCAAAGGGGAAAAACATGATTTTAACAAGATTTTAACGTTTCACTGGGTTGTATTTTATTTCCACTGGCATTTACAAGTGGCATTGTGTTCGCTATATTGTATTTGCCCCCTATTAATGCACCATTACGAACTTCAGTCATGTTAGTCATTCTTTCTTTCAAAGGAAAGTGGTGAAACCAGTTTATCATTGGCAAGCTAAAAGGTTTGTCGTGGAACAGTTTAATTTTTTCTAATTTATATAATACATTTTGTGACCAGTGTTTGTTTAAAATGATTTCTCCGGTAAGTCAGATATGCCGTTTTAATATTTTTTCGTCTCGGTGAATGTTCCCCGATAATCACCTTCGGCGAATAATTGTTAAATATTGTCTCAATCAGGTTAATGATCAGGTTTTTTTCGTTAGGAACACCATCACACCTTTATCGAGCGTGGAGATTGCAAAACAATTTTTGCGATGCGTATTGATCCAGTTTGCACCAAATGGACTATTTGCTGAGTTTTTTAGAACGCCAATTGAAGGCAAGTATTTGCAAGCATGTTGCAGCAAAAGTCGACTCACCAAGTAAACGTTACCTCGCAAATTTCCAAAACTGTGGCCCAAACTTCGACGTTTATATTGTATCTCGATTTCACCAGAGTATAAAAGATATTCAGCAAATTTGAAATTTTATGGAATGTATCGTGAACAAAAGCTTATTCCATGATTCTGTGTCTGTAGCATTTTCTAAAGCAAATTTATAACCGAATCGCAGGGGCTACGCGACCCTGGTGGCCTCCATTCCACTGTCCCAGCTCGTGAAACCCATTCGGACGTCATAATCATTGTAACGATTTATTTCCTTTGACAGATCCAACAATATTTCCTGCCATTGCAACAGCTTTGAGTGATTTCCCGCAGTTCAATCAAATGGGACCAATTGCCTATCTCTTGATGGTATGTTTTAACGTAAATTGAAACCAGTGATTGAAGCAACCTCGTACCCAGGGTCTTTACTCGTAGACCCTGGGTACGAGGTTGTGATTGAAGTTGTCCTAAGAAGGAAACCCGACTCGCAAGTAGCCTTCCGTTGATTGGCGTCGATCTTGCACTTATAATATTGCTGTGCGCACTTTGGTTCCCTAAAAAAGTGTAGATTGCGCATGCGCGGTGACATTATTTGTAATTTTGAATGTGAAGAAATGTTAACTTTTATGCAACGCCCTCTGAAGTGTTTGCTATTGCAATGCTAAAGGCAAGACACTACAGCATTGTTCACCATCCCAAAAACCCTAAAAAAATATTTCCTTCTCTTCCCACAATTATTGGAGGAAGTTCTGTGTGATATAATGAAAAAGTTAAAGGTTCGTTGTTATCATCAGTAGGGTGATCCTTACCTGTTGTCCTACGGGACACAGTGAGGACACATGATGAAGCATGAGAGTAATGATCAGTCATGACTTACTTTCTCTGGCTTAGACAGGAATGCAACACCTGCTAAGACCTCTTCTGATCCCCTCTGATGATCACGTTCCTTTAATAATACATTACTAGCCTACCAGGTTAACCACCCATGGGTATAAATGCTGCGCCTGAAAGCATGATGTCAGCGATCGGGTTGCCAATTTTGTTCCCACAGGAATTCTCTATGAGGGATCTGTACCAAGGCTGTTTAGCTTAACCTAGTTCCTAGTTGAATGTTTAAATATCACCTCTGATGATCACTTTCCCTAGAATAATACATTATTACACTACGGATTTGCATGTTTTTCCAAACTGAATTAGAAATTATGATATTTTTAAAGATCTAGCAATATAACATGCCTAGCGAAATAAGTCTTTAAAAATTCGCTTATATTTACAGGGTATCTGTTCAAAAACCATACCAGATCGTCTTCAAATTTTGTTGCCCAATATGGCGGCCTATTTGGGCAATGTCAATAAACAACCTGTGGAAATGTGGAAGGGACAACTTTCAAAGTTTATCAGATTTTTCCAAAAACTTCCACCATTTCTTCCCAAGAATGTACGTCAACTATCAGTCAGTAATAAAATTAATGTCTATGAAATTCTATTAAATCAATATGTTATGCTTGGGGCTTATAATATTACATCATCATTGGGATAAAAAAGTTCTACTTTTTTCTGGATAGTATATGTAAACCTGTTCTTGATTGAAACAGAAGTTTTATGTTGACTTCTATGGCTGAAAAGATCAGACACATCTAATGATGAAAAACAGCTCCATCATGACTGAGGCTGGAAAATCCGCCATAAATGAATAGGAAACGCTTCCAGTGAAGCCAAATTGAATCTAGGATCTATCCAGATCTTATAGTTTTTGTACTTCCTCGTCTGTTATCTACAGTCCCATCTACACTGCAGTTTCTTCAAGATCGAAATATTCATGCTTTTGCATTTTTCAACCTTTAGTATGATGCTACCCCAGTGTTGTGTATAATGTTGTCATTTATTAGTGCCGCTAATTCATCATTTAAGGTGAGTGGAGTTCTCTCTTTTTTTTTTTACCGATCTATAAAGTAAGTTAGCACGATGTTAAAGAAAACTGTTTAAGATTTTGACATAGTTAGGACTTATAACAACATTGGAACTTTCCAGGAGCTCCTCGAACCATTTGGTAACGTGTTGCTGAAAATTCTGCGGGATTGTTCATTTGAGTTAACACGGCTGATGGAACTTTGTGCCAAGTGTAATGATGTATTCAGCAAGGTAAGTGTAGTCCAAATTGGAAGAAAAATATTTTTACAGTTAAAACCCTGTTACACGGTGCAATTTTTTTGCAACTTGCAATGCAATTCTACTTTTTCAGATATCTAAATTTGTGAACAGTCTACAAAATTCGAGTGTGGGAAACGTCCATGGAATGTAAAATAAATACAAAGGCCTCGTTTTTGCAAATTTACATCTTTCAAAAGTAGAATTGTATTGCGAATTGAAAGAAAAATTGCACCGTGTTGCAGAGGCCTTAATTCATAATCCATACTTTTTAATTTTATGCTTTTATAGGAACGGAATAAGCTGTACCTTACCAAGTTGATTTTGCAAGAGATTTTCCTAGTTTTTAGATTCAAGTCCTCTCTACCTGAAAAAACCATCCGATATTTAATGCAGGTATATGCATATGAAAACAGAACCAACTAGCAAGTGTCAAAAGAACGTGCCATTTTTCTTTGCATGCTGATTTTATGCTCAGGTCTTACTTGGTTAGATATATAAATAAGCACATTGGAATTATCTTTATACTATGCAATACTGATTGACTGTAAAAACATATTGAGCGTGCATGTTATTTGTGTTATATAGTTTCTTTGTTTTGATGCTGGTACACGTTTTTTGTATCCTGTTGAAGGCGATGATCTGTACATTGATCTTCCACCATCGGTATGAAATAGTTATCCGCCAGTACCTTGCGGGTACATGCGCACAATCTACATTGTTTTAATGATCAAAATTACTGTAGGCATGCAAATATTGTGTCTTTTATGGGTCGAAATTTCACACAGTGTACCGTTAAACCTAGTGGCTAGTTTTTTACTTAACTTCTGCCATTAAAGATCGTAGTCAGGTTTATCAAGATCTTGATAAAATAATTGGGAATGAACTGAACACAATATTCCATATTCTAGTTCTGTTTTCATGAATTTAAAACATGCCCTCGTATAAAATTAATTGTAAACAACATTTAGATAATTTTTTTCCACAACAGGCACGAACTCATGCAATGGATAATTTTCAACATCACATTATTGAAGCCTTGGATTTTATTAAAGATTGGAATTTTACAGGACGAAAGAGAAAGGTATGCCGTTTAGCTCTTTGTGAGTTCCAGGGTGAGTATAGTGCATATAAAGAATTTAGACAGGAGATACAATAAATGATTCCTCGGGTAATTTCATGCATGATAATTAGGATGTTCACAATGATTGGGAAGAACCAGATCTTGGCATGGGATGCTTAGGAGTCCATCTCAAAGCAACAATCTCTCAGTTGTGGGCAATTACATTAACTGAACCGTCGAAAGCAAATAAAATGTACAATAAAACGTTAGCTTGGTTAAAGGCACCTCCTTCCGCCACTCAACTTAGGTAAGTAAGATATTATTGCTTAATGTCATGATTGCTTTACCCCTACTCCCTGGATAGGATGATTTTTCAACAAAACGTTTTCAATGTCTATTTTTTCTAGTCGTGTGACACTCCACGAATGTGATACAAATATTCGTCTTCTCTCTTGGCTTCTCATTGGTTCCCTTTCTCATGCAATCAATTTCCCGGATGCCTATATAAAATCATGCCCTGTGAAGATGAATGAAAGTTCCCATATCACAGACTTTGTTTTGATTATTCTTGCCAATTTTGCTGACAATTCGCAGGTATTCAGTCTGATTTTTACTTTAGAAAAAAAGTTGACTATTTAAATTTGAGCGTGTCTGACATCTTCCGCATTTTCTGAAAGTTTTCAAAAAGATCGCGGAGAAGTCGAATATTATAAAATTTTTAAAATTTTTTATAAAAATTTTGCATGTGTTTTGATGGTTTTTAATTGCACGAGGATCTGCAACAACTCGTAAAAGTATACAGCGATAGTGAAGACAAAGCCAAAGGCATCTTAACTAATATTAAAGATATGAACATCATTAGTTCAACTACATAATTATTCTCACACACGGTCAAAATACAAGATATGATAGATCAGTCCTCTTGTCATCGTTTATAGTCTTATTGTGCAATTGTTTGTGACAGTTTATTGTGTATTACAATTAAATCCTACTATTTGCTCGTTTAAGGATAATACTCTTGGAATCTCAGCTCTGTTTAACGCTTTTAACCTTTGTTTGGTAAGAGATCTGCGTTATATTATATATTTTCTGCATGGTTTTGTGCATTGGTCGTGTCGATATATCTATATGTAAGAGCCAATTCACACGGTTTTAGTTTTTCCTTGCAAACGATGCAAACGACTGGGTAGTTATGAATGTTATGACAGTGTTATGTGTATGATTGCACTTATATTTGAACATCCCGGCCTAATTTATCCACTCCATTACATTTATCAAAGAAGGAAATCGGAGCAAAATCATCGCCCAAATGAACAGGCCATAATATAAAGTATAATATGATAACACGATGTCAATTTTTATTCCTCAGTTATGGACGTTATACTGTGAACATCAGTTTCATAGTGAAGACCAGGAGATGGTGGATAGTTCACTAACTGTTATCATGGAATTCTGGGCAAGAGTGACTCCTGGGATATTGCATCTATTGCAACATACAAAAGAGGTAAGCACTTCATCGAATTAGTTTCCCATTTGTCTCGCCAGTTGTCTAAACTAAAATATTTCATATATTTCTTTTATGAATTTTTCACTATAGTTCAAAAACACAGTTGGGGAACAGTTTTCTCATATCCTCAACACATTAGCGGATTGGAATTCGGCCACTTTACCAAAGGTACTGGCAAACATGAACTGTTGAAAGTGCATGTGCCTGCATTGAATCTTGTCGATCTGATCTGATCGAATGCTCGACGGCAAAACTTTTTTAGTTTCTTAAACCCAGATTGCTTTTGGTTTAGTTGCTTCCACTTTGGTCGTCTGTGTTGAACACATGCGGAGTAAAGGTATGTCCATGCAGTGTGTTTTACCAGTGGACTCTATATGTGAACTGGAACGATTTGAAACTGGATTAGGTATCAGTGCCAGTCTATTTCTATTGTTTTTTTGTCTTCACGGTCAAAGATCAGGCTGATAATAGAAAGAGACGGTCTGGCACTGGTACCCGAATTTGTCTTCGAAGGAAAATTGAACCTCTGTTTCATGTTATTAGGTAAACGATAGAGTATACTCGCGCAGCTATGGACCGCGTGATAAAAAGACGTTGTTTCATTGGCTGAAACAAAACCAGTTGAGTATGGCAAGAACTGAACAGGCAACTGTGTCCAGTTTTCGCGTTTAAAGTAACTTCAAAAATGGATACATGTCGGCTAATAAATATGAACAGTGGTGGGAAGGGGGGGGGGGCTTAGGGGCACAAATATCAAAACAGTTTATATAATCATGTATATAGAATAATAATGGTATATATAAATTTGAAGGAGCTTAAAAAAGTATAATAAGTAATATTATGTTAAAAAGGGTTACAGAAATTAATAAAGTATACATATGTTTACACTATAAGGGTCTGTTTATATAGAGTCGTCAGTCGTTCCTATCCGGGCTTCAAACTAGCCTGCCTATAGATTTCTATCTTTCATCTTCGAAGCTAAATTGAAGTACAATACCAGTCCCTTATTATTGTTTTCAGCTGCGCATTTTTTTAAAGAATGCACCAAAATTCTTCGTTTTACAGAGGAGCATATTAATTTTGCGATGAGCAGCGATTGTTTTGGCAAGCAGCCAGTGTCTTAAGCGAGTCCCATTTTCTCTTCTCATATGTGTTGTTAACCACTTTAATGAGTAAACACATTCAGATGCCGGGCACATTTTTTATGCAATGTTATGTAACGTACAAAAAGATATAAGTTCCAATCAATAGGGGAGCCATTTTAATAAAATTTTTAACCATGAAAAGTTATGCTAAGAGAAGTGGAAATGACTGTAAATTGAGTGAAAACTATTCAACAAAGTCAAAGCTCTACGCCAAAATTCTACGCCGTTTGTTAATAAGTGAATAAGCGAATTTTCACACAATGTGTCAAAACTGATCACGACGAAGTGACTCCTCTACTCGAGTGCCACTGGAACAAAAACGCCGTCTTCGTCAATGTTCCGGTCTTCGTCAATTATGATAGTTATACCGTACATATATTGTTCACTTCAAGATCTTCTTTCACAAAAAAACATCCGATTTCGTTCCAAAACGCTTTTATCCTAAACTTAATAAAAGACACACAGGTTGGGTAAAAAAGTGATGGCCATTCATATGCAAATTTTCTATGAACTTGAATAACTGATCTATTAAATTAGAATTTCTCTTGTGTTCAACAGGACGCAGTTGACTATAGTTTATAGTGATTTCACTATCTCTTGCACGATTAGTATAGAATGATTAAACAAACCGTAAAACTTTGAGTTCAATCAGTATATATAACACGATCCTGACCACCACGTATAGTCATCCTGACATTAGCAAGTTCTCATAAAGACGTATTATGAGACGTATTTTAATACCTCGAATCATCTCGCTTCGTTTAATCTCGGCCAACCGGGATCGTGTATAAACAGCGCTTTTACTTATATGTATTTACTTATATATATAGCCCGGCGTGGTTATACAGCATCGTCTGTATAGATAGGACACGAATTCTAGTTTTGTACAGACATGTTAATTTTACAGGAAAGAAGCGGAAAAGTGGTTAGTGGGCCTAGACAGGAACTTCCTTTTCGTCCAAAAACACATCAAGGGTCAATCGTGGCATTAAGACTTAATCCCGCAAACTTAAAAATCGTTCGACATATATAGGTGTTAAATAAAATCACTGATCTAATTTTTTTACTTGATGAGGGGAATGCAACACGTATGGGCCTTGGACGGTTAAAACTTAAGGGTATCGTGACGTGTTTGTCAATGTGTATTTTTAAAATGCTTGAATTTTCTCTCCAATTGACGTTGTTGAACGCCGCCACTCACAACACCAACGCTCGTTGTTATTACTACACTAACCGTGACCGATCAAGTTTGGTTTCACGCATTTGTGGTGTGAACTCATTTTTCCTGGGATATAAGGTGCAATTTTGTTCTTTTAATACATGTTAAAGAGTGGATAATCCATCATAATGAACAAAATTTGCTCGATCACATCCGCGTCAAACTTGACGGTTGTTAAGTGACATCGGAATGCAGCCGGATGAAGTGTTTTTTAAACCAACCGTGCAACTATGGTGACCAACTTTAATCTGCGCGAAACGACAGATTTAGTCTGAAAAGCTCTATGGTTCTAGTCATCTGGGCGCTCAGTAACTATAAAACATTTTAACATTACTCTTAGGCTCTCACCCACTCATCGCAAAAACTAACGTCAAGCTCGCTGTGAGTAAATTCGTCCAGTCACAACGCAGGCACTCGCAGCGAGCTAACGAGTTGATTTTGCGATGAGTGGGAAAGAAGCTTTAGTCAATAATGACATAGTTGTTTAAATCAGCGGTTTAAAGTTTACCTTTCGCATACGTGTACTAATTTAAATGGTTATGGTCATTATGCAAAATAGGCTGGATTTCGTATTGTTTGCTTATGGAAAACACTGAAGTACGTGCTTTTCACACATTTGTCATAAACATAAAAGAATCAGTTGAGTGGGAGACATCATGAAGCAGTTCAAATAATGTCCTCGCTCGTGGCCAGAATTTAGTCTGTTTTTGGACGAAATAAAGGAAATTTCAATACAATCTGCGTAGTGCATACAGCACTTCAGATCGGTGACGTTCAAAAGAGTTTAAAAGTTGAAGAGGTTGAGAGTGAATTTTTAATTAATTTCTCGTTGAAATATAATTCCGCTGGTTGAGGAGCGGTGGCTCAAAAACAAAGGATGGCCTGATCAAGCAAGATCATGGAAGATGTTGACGTTAACAGTGGGCAAAACAAACTTCAAAAACCTATCTCCTACGGCGACAACGAAAGTGTTATAAGCGATGACAGTTCAAGTCCAAAGAGTATAGACTCAGAATACAGTTTTGAGACCACTGAAAGCTCACTAGAAGACGAGCAATGGCAATATACAAGCGATGATTCAAGGGCATCTAGTCGCTTAAGCCGGCAATCATCGATTGTTGATGGGCTTTTAACCGAGATTTATGATCGTTACCATCATGGATCAAGGTCTGGGGACAGCGACAATGTCACAGAATGCTCTACAACATCATTTTATAGTGGCTCTTTCGAGCTGGACGAACGGACGCAAAGATGGACACGATCACAACTTAATGGCAAAGGTAAATATTATACCGTATAGTCGTATACGACTACAGTAGAAATGTACGATGCTATTTTTGAACACATTTTAGTATTATTTATCGGATGCAACGACGTTCAGTTTTCAAAAAGGCAAGATAACATTTTTGTGGTATTGTGCTAATAAACATTTATTTAAAAATCGCCGCATATTTTTCGAATTATGAAAATTAAAAGGCCATATGAATAAATATTAGTTTATATATGCCATAAATATTATATTAAATATATTCAGTTTGATAATACAAAGAACGTTTTTCCAAATGTATTTGTGTAAATGTGAGTTAAACACAAAATCTTTGTTTAAGATTTCCTTTAATGTTAGAAAGGATGTTTAATCATTCATATATAAAGTGAAATGGGGGGGAAACATATGTAATTAGTTTTGTACAAATATTTCCTCAGTTGTAAACTTTAAAAAATCACAATGTTTTATTGTTAAATGTTTTATAAATCTTTGGGGTGCATTCAACTGTTGTCAAGTAACATATTATTTGCCAATTATTTATTTTACCTCCCCACAGAGGCTGGAAAAAAAACAGGAAATGCAATATTTTATGAAGTTTTATTATCAAAATCCCTTTCTCTGAATTTGGCATTATGTTCAGAATATTTGAACACAACACATGTGTCAGAATTACCTTCATATCATATATTACCAACATATCTTCATGTTAGTATAATTGCAAGGGAGGTTTGAAGGTAGAAAGATGCTAAAATGACATGTGCAAGTACAAATAAGAGAGGCTCTTTCTACTCATCACAAACCCGACTAGCAAGCTCATTGTGAGTTCTTCCATCTGATTAAAAAAATCAACACGAAAGCAATTTCATTGGATAAAAAAATCTTACATGGAGCTTTCGGGTAGGCCATTGTGTGATTGTGATGTTGGACGAGCGTTGAAGCTGGGATTGTGTTTAGCAGAAGGAAACTAGTTCTATGGCATCATGCATGAGTTACATGGCATAACAGCTATCACAATCGGTCATTCATATTGCTATTAAAATTCATTTGTATTTGGATCCCATGAAAGTTTATCCTATGCATTGTGAAAATCAAAATCACAAAGCTCTCTACAAAGTTGCCCCTGAAAGATCTCTGTTTTTGCACCTGTAAGATTGATGTCGAAATGATAACGTAATACTTTTTACTGTATTTAACCGTGTATATAAACATAACCCATCAAACTATTAATCCAGATAGCTAATTGTGATTTAAAGCTAATTCACCAAGAACGAACTTAATTGACCAGGCCGACCCAGTTCTTAGAAGGTTTGATCACATTTCTCTTTAGATCTGAATGAGATTCGTCGTGTTTTGGATGAACTGAATAGCTATGTCACTTTGTTGTCAGGGCGACTTGTTCGACAGTTAAAGCGTCGCGATAAAAATGCATACAAACTACAACGAAATTTTGACATCCTGACGGCTGTTCTCCAAGCTGTTTCTCTCAAAAGACGTAAGTAAGCAGGTGTAACGAAAAACAATATTCCCAATGCAATCCCATTTACACAACACGATATTTCTTCCAACAAATGAGGAGGAGTACCATGTTGCATGTTTGCTTAAAGTTGAAAATATCTATTCCCGGCCTTATTGCTGCTTTTCTTTTCAAGCGACGTTTTTCACACGTGGGTGAACGCATAACTCAAATCATTATATATTTCACTGACAGATAAAATGACAGAATGCCAGTTTCATTTTTTACCTGTTTTCGTTTAACTATTCAACATTATGACACAAAGAATTCAACGTTTCTATGCGTACAGGCACGCATGTGAAAACGCTTAAAGTCATTTTAGCCGAACTATGGTGAAAGCCTTAAGAATCGCGACGGCGTGCAACGAAACAAGATTACAAGAGTGTATAAACTGTATGCTTGGTTAACATGATTTAGATATGATTTTGCGTTCATTAAATGTATCGTAATAATCCTATAGTTTTAATTTTACTTGGGATATAGAAGCGCGCATTCACTATGAGTTTCGGTTTTAAACATTGCTTTGCCAGTTTTAGCCCCATTCACCCCCATTTACCGCGCACTGTTAACTAGCACTGACGACGCGGCTCAAATTTGCCTACCCTAGCTTTCAATTGGTACCGAACTTCCTACATATCGTTACACTCCGACGATATAATTTTTGTCAAGATTTGCAAACCTAAAAATCAATCTCTGGGAGCTCAAGACGCCCTTCATACTTATTGATATTTGATAGTTGCATTTCAGACTCCACCCTAAACAAGCAGGGGTTTTGCGCATATCGGCAGCTTTTGCATATTTTGTTGACGTAAAATGTTCTTTGGTAAAATATTCATTTACAGCAATTCTGTAAAACTGTACAAAAACGTGTACATATGTCGCAATGTTCAATTTAGTTTTTGTTTTTCAATCAGAAACACCATATATGGCTATACATACTGTACAAACGACATTTTTTAAAATATAAAGTTGATCTGAATGTATTAAACAAAATTAGCCGGAAACGGTTTCCATAAAAAAACCCCCCAAATCACACACAACGCCAAATCATACTAATATCCAATTGCAGTGAATCCTCCTAATATGTAATGAATAATATCATTATTAAGACGACTTTATCGCTTCGGTCGAGAGATTTTCGCACTATGAAAGGACGAAACAGATTTGACTAAACAAACCGGCGATTTTGCTCACATGCAGCACGAACGTAGCAACCACTTCACGCCGAGTATTGAATCTAAAAAAAATGCAAAGCATAACGAATAATTTCTGTTGCCTTAGTTGCTCATTCAATCGCCACAATGTCTTAGTACGTTGCTATGCATCTATCGCTACGATGTCCTCAGTTGAGAGCAAGAAACGTAGGCAACCATGAGACATGCAGTGATAATAATTCATTGATAATAACGTGGCTGAAAAGCTTTTTTTTCTGTCATATCTTCTCGTATGCAATAGGAATTTCTTTTGTTGAATGCACGTCATAATGTTATATCATGATTCATGACATGCGTGATGATCTATCGGTTTTTACGCATCACGGTCGATGATCGTCGACTGTCAATTCGCCATGGGAGATTTGAATGATGTTAAACAGGCGAGCTTACTTTCATTTTCATTCACTTTCCGATCTTTCTGACCGAAATTGGTCGTGTTGAGTGTCTTTAATCATCGATATCTTTTTTTGAAAAACACTTTCAATTTAATCGTTCCCATCGTAATCTCAATCCATGAATGAATGCGTTGTTGATTTGAAAAACACTTTCAATTTAATCGTTCCTATCTTAATTTCAATCCATGAATGAATGCGTTGTTGATTGTTTGGTTTACCTTGGATGGTTTTCGATTGCTTAACCCTCCACGGTTTGTTCAGGCTGACTGATTCGCTTTCTGTCTGTGTTTGCTGGAGCTTTCAACAAGGAGTAGCTCGCATTACAATCACCATGCAGTCATTCTGACACAAACCATGATTTATAGACGTGGCTGCCGCGATGTATAATATTTAACATAACGCCACGAGCTCGAGGCTCGTATGAAGGGCATTTTTTTAAGGAATTTTGCCTACTGCGGTGAAGTGAGTATCGATCGGGCCCTTGTGCATGCAAGACAGAAAAAACACAACAGTAGCATGACATATATGCACAACATGCATGCACTCACAGTGTATATTAATGTAGGTTTGACTGTCATAACTACGAGTCTATGACAATGGCATGATAATTAGCCCGCAAGCAGGTTTAGCATATATATAATTGGGCTATTTGCAATTAAGAATCAAGATTGTTATATCAGAGTAAACACAGCTACATATTTAATGAAAAAAGATTATTACGTTCTTTGCTGTGACATAAGGGCCCATGCTATAAGAAAACTAGCTTAACTAGGTTCACTACTCGCGCAAGCGCAGGGCCTACTGGGGTAAATACCCCAGCAGTTAATAAATTAAAAAAATGCCCCGCGCGTATGAGCTGAAACCGGGTTTGCTATCAGCCGTATATGACCCTCGAGCGAATTCTCATGATAAATTCTTAGTTTTTTACTGCAAATTGTTCACACTACTCACCGCATATGAACTGATATACATAGTGAGCAGCTGAGCCAATCAGATTGCGTAATAGCTCATATACGGGGAGTAGCTAAATTATTATAATTTATTTTATATTCAAAGTCTTACCCAGAACCAACGTTAACAAATTGGCAATTACGATTTTAATAAAGATTTTGCGCAATCAAATGTGTCATTCTGCTCAATTTGACCATAGCGAGGTGGTAATAGTAATCAATATTCTTAAATTCAAAATCCAATCCGAATTGGTGCATAGCTAATTCTCTTTTTTAATGTCTTAAATCCGTTATCCTAAATAAAATATCAAAACTATTGGATAATTCTCCAAACTTTTCTCCACAAAGACAAGAGAACTTTAATATACTGCAGTTTATTTAACTCTCCTGACGAAGGCCCTCAGGTCGAAACGTCGAAAAGTGTTTTGTCTATTTTAGGCAGTTGTTATACCACATTTGATATACTCATTACACTGGAATATTGATCAGGGGTCACCCTATATCACTGTAATGATGTCTCTCTGTTATTTAGGTATTGATACAAGAATTAAATTTTCCTTCATTCCTCAAAGTGGAAAAAAAGGCTTTCGTCAGGTATAAGGCCGGCGAAAAGGCAGACTATCTGAAGCAGGTTGTACGAAGCCCGTCGCATGAGCTTGCTCGTTTAATTAAGGCTAAATTCAGGCGCGGTAGAAAGACAGTTTTCGTTGACAGAGGACCGAAGCTGAATACGCTAATGAGGGAAGGGGGGTTTACGTTATCTAATTATGGACACATGCCGTGAAAACTGGCGCTCTCAAAAGGCATTAGTCGGACACAAGGCCGATATACGAATCTTTGAACGTTTTGAAATGAATATCGAACGAAAATCGTTTCTAAACTAACACCTAGTGTAAAATACATGAGTTCACTACCAACAAGAAATTCAAGAGTGTTATTGAGTTTTGACTTCTGTACCTTTGAAAGTAAACAGACTTCGTACAACTGGCCACTTTTCATAATTTATTTACATTTTTTTCCTCTTTTCATTCGTCTTCGCTGGGTTTGTCAATGAACCGAATTTTCGCCAGAACAGAGCAAAACCAATGCATTTGTGTATGTATATTAACCCATACAGTAAAATTGAGTACTTTCTTTCCATTAAAGTGGCTGGATTCATTCAAGGCTATATCAAGACTACCTCAGGGAGTTCCGACTCCTTGGAGAAGACGGGTAAGGGACTAGGGGCTAGTGAATCATCAGGCGCGCACGAGCCATGTTTGTTGTACTAATGTTTTCCGTTTTGTCATGTATAGCTCTGGTTAATATTGGCCGAAAGTAAACTTGGTCATTTAGACTGGAAAAAGACATGTCAATTTTGTTTTAATGAACGAAGTAACCCGGATGATGATAATCTTGGCGCTCAGATTGTCAAGGTTGGTCCAGTCAAAAACAATATAGTTTTGCAGTCAAATTTGTTTGTATTCCATCTATTGTCCCGGAAAAGAGTACTCCCTTACTCCCTGTGATTTAATTTGTAAGAAGTTAAGAACGTCTAATGCGTTAGTATTAATAAATCTGGATCACGCATCCAGTTGAACCGCTAATTGACACTACCAAATAGGATGGCGCTTATGCATCACGGCTACACTCCTTTCCTCAGTGACACATCTAACCAATCAGAACACCGAGTGCCAATTTGGCGAAGGACATGACGTCCATGCATGTCCATGGTCTGATATATAGAAGTAGAGCACGTTTGAAGCCAATTTAAAGATCAAAGATTTTTTATGGAATTTAGCCACTGCGATTTTATTTGTCAGTGGAAGGGTAGTAAATGGCTTGAATGGCCTTATATGTAACCATTTCTAGATACAGAGTTGGCTGTCTCAGTATAGGCATTAATTTCATGGTACGTTAGAAGTTTTACGGGATTCTAGAAGTCGCATTGCGGTTTTTTTTTCAGGATCTTCATCGAACGGGTTGTTCATGGTTCTGTGAATTTGAGACGCCAGAAGAACGCGCCATATTGAAACGTGTTTTGCTAGCTTACGCAAGATGGAATAAAACAGTCGGTTATTGTCAGGGCTTCAATGTCATTGCTGCGCTGATATTGCAAGTCATGGATCGTTCTGAGGAGGAAGCGTTAAAGGTAAAAATTAGCGGGCGGAATACGGATGAGATACTCGTTAGAATATCAACGGGATTGTGTAAAGGCCCTCCATAATCCTGGTTCATGAAACATAACGATAAAACGGATATTTGTGAGTGTTTGATAACCATGTAACAACTTGATAAATGACTTCATGGAGTCATTTATCAAGTTGTTACATGGTTATCAAACACTCACAAATATCCGTTCTATCGTTATGTTTCATGAACCAGGATTATGGAGGGATGATGGGGTAAGGGAATGGGATATGGAGAAATACGCTCTCGTGCAAAATATAGTGATATTCAGTACAGAGATTCCTAACAAGAGGGGGCGATAAAAAGTTGTTAAAATAAGTTGCGAATTGTCATTGTTTTGCAATGATCACTGTGAGATACCCTAATTTTGATGTGAGATTTGCTTGAAAATCAAGTTTTTTCACATCAATTCATATTTACAGCAAAAATATAATTCTATCATTCTTCTGTTCAAGGTGATGGTATATTTAATTGATTTCTTGCTGCCAGCAAACTATTTCTCCAACAACCTTCGCAGCCTTTCTGTTGACATGGCCGTACTTCGTGAACTCATGAAAATCAAGCTGCCTGACCTTTCTGATCATCTTCAGAGCCTTCAACGACAAGCCACTGTCCATGATAATGCTGGCTCGAATTCTTACGAGCCTCCGCTGACCAACGTTTTTACAATGCAATGGTTTCTCACGTTATTTGCAACATGTCTGCCCGAGCAGCTGGTGCTCAGAGTGTGGGATTGCATCTTGCTTGAAGGATCAGAGGTGTTGCTCAGGGTTGCGCTTGCCATCTGGGCCGCTATTGGACTGTAAGTACACATGCATTTTTTCGTCTCTAGAAATTTCTGTTCTTTATACTTTCATCTTAGCGCTAATTAAATCTAGGAAAACGGGTAAGAATAATGTCATATTTTATCCGCATCCTTCTGACACGCTTTATTTCACGTACATCTGGAAGGCGAAGTTCACTATATTATTTTGAGTGAAGAAACTTTTGTTGTACTTTCCTACTACAACTACACTATACTACAAAATTTTGCGGGTAAAATTATTTTTGATACATGTAATAGAAATGAAGTTATATGTCATAACATGTGAGTTAAATTAATATAACTCAGGCTACTTTTGATTCAGCTAAGTCTCAGTTAAAGTTCCGCCGTAAAGACATAACACGCGAAATTATATTCCCAATGTATTCTCCATTTTTCTAAGTGTTTATTGGCAGTACGGCGTTTCTTCGAAAAACTCGATTTCGTAGTTTGTTAAGGTGGCGTTTAAATATCGGATGGTTGGTGGAGTATATGAGAGGGTCAACTGCTGCATTCAATGTAGAAGCAAACAAACACCAAACTATTTTCCGTCGAAATAAGCTCGTTTTTCGGGAAGATATAGTTGGATAGAGATAAAACATGACAATAGTTGGTATATAAGCCCCGAAAAATGTCAGCGCTACAAGAGATAATCGAATCAACATGCGATATTCTTTATTTAATAGTTTATCTTTTGTAGTCAAGACTGCATTTCGTTGTTGTTTGCTATTTTTACGCTTGTCTCTAGCAAGTTTGAACAGATACATATTCCAAATACTTGTGGGTAAAATCAGTATAGTGTAGCACAATGTATAAAGATAAGTTATATATTTGATTCCTGTCTGAAACATAATTCCGAAAACAGCTGTTAGTAGAAATGCGAATGCCCAGGACGCTACAACTAAACCCTTCGCTCTCGTATTGGTCATCAAACCAGGATATCGTAGCGAATTATACACAGATAGAAATCTGTTAAATATCAAATTGAATATATTCCCAGCATTTGCAAAGATGATAAATGTATACCGAAAGCGCCCATGACAACGAAGACGGCGGTTGAGGGAAATGTGCAAGCAGCAAAAATCATTAAAATTGTTGTAAAGCAAAAGAACGCATCTGCAATTGCCAAGCTTAGAACGAACCAGTTTGAAGGGAAATCCAACATTACCCTGTGCTGTAGGATTATCACGACTACACAAAAATTCTCCACAAGTCCCACACTCCCAACGAGAGTAAAAATGCATTTCATCACCAAACATTCAGAATCCGTGAAGTCGCCGTCTTGGTGAATGCTTGTGTTTGAGCGAGTTAAATTGTTACCGCTTAAAAAATTATTTCTCATGCTGTAGAATAATTTCCAAACAGAAGCTTTAGCCGTAGCTTTTGATGTGGTATAAAGTATAGTGAAATTATCATAGTGCTTACCTAAAGGTGCGATATAAGAATAGACAAAGGCAGCCACGCGCATATTGGTCCGTTTTCAGATAATTATACAGGCAGGTGAAAGGTCTGCATGTTTTCTATGTATCAGACCCCACCCATGTCCGTATAGCGCGTTGGCTTGCACGCATTTTAGTCAGACTGTCAATTTCATGTTTTAGCTAATGAGTACGCTAAACATATCACGTCGTATATAAGTAGCCCGGAGCCCAGTATAAAAAACACACAGTAACAGAATCACTCAGCCCTTAAACGCCCTCGCCCCACCTTGATTTTAATGCAAATCGTTGTTGCAAATTAACATGTCACTTATTGGTCAGAGTGTGCGTCATGTGATATGCGTAATTATGGAACTTAAAAGCTTTCGACCGTTTAGACTAAAATTATGAAAAAAATTATGACATTAGTGTAGTGGAGGGAGAGTGTTGGGCAGGTGTGTGTTACAAAATTATTTGTTACAAATATACACACGCTATTTTAAAGGGTTCACCTATAGTTGCTCAATAGCGCAATTCATGCTAGATTTTCATTTTATTTTCATGTTACTTCATAACGTTTTCAACTTTTACAGGTAAGAAAAAATGTAATTTTGCTTATATTTTTTCTACTTTTATAACAGGCAATTGGAAGACCTGGAAAGTGCAGATGAGTTTTATGGAGCGATGGGAAGAATTTTACCTCAGATCCAGGAAGGATTACTTATTAACGACTCTTCCTTGATGTCCGTAAGTTGTATTTTTTGACTATTATATTCTTCTTATGAATTCACTTTATAAAGGTTTGTTCAGTTGAGCCATATTATTTATCAGGAAAACCTGACTCAAGAATCAGTTGACCTAATAAAACGCAGGTCTCAGGATTCTTGATAGAATAAAAACCCTCTAAAATTGACCCGATGTGCTTCATTTGTTCAAGTTAATAGTTCGTGCCTTAGCAACCGAACCGAATCATGCATTTCTTGTTAAAATCAACCAAATATTAAAACAGAGATAACAGATGTAGAAAACCCCCAATACAATTGTAAATGGAGTTGTAAATGGTATTACAGAAAGTTTATAATAAATACAAGCAAACCCAGCGGTTTAAAATGTACGAATATCAATAAAAACGTTAGGCAGCTGGACCGCCCCCATATTACACATTTTCATAGTCAAATGGAATTATCGTTTCGGTATATTGCATTGTAGATGGTTTACAACATGGCGCCTTTTCCTTACCCAAAAATCGTAGAACTTCGTGAAAAATTCACGTACAATATTCATCCCCTTGCAAGTAACGTCTCACCAGAGAGGAAAGTAAAACCCAAAACAAAAGATGCTTATACATCAAGTGATGACGAAGATGACGACATCAATCAATTGAATATAGGCTGTCTTGGGCTACTCTCTCCCCAGGCTGCTTTAGAAGGCAACGCGCCGAGAACCCGCGTCTCTGGCGGATATCCCTTTGCGATGGATTTTAGTAAATCAAGAAAGGATTCACAAAATGCAGCAAAGTCCCGACCACCATTTGGTGTATCCGATTTAGAGAAAGAGTATAATAGGACTAGAAAGATGCAGCAACAAGCTGTAGTTGTATTTTCTCAAAGTAACACGAGTAAGTCTCAAGATTTACGAGAGGTGCCACCAGCTATTAATCACCTGTTTGTTGTGACACGCGCAAGACGGAATAAATGGAAAGAACAATTGCAAAAGGAACGACAGCGGCAAGAGAAATTACTTCCCGTGCGCGAAGAGGATGAAATCCGGGAACGTGGTCACGTGGAAAAGAACGTGAACGATCATGTGACTGACGCAACCGAACATTTAGTCGGGTTGTTTAAAGGCTCCAATACAGACGATAGCCCATCAGGTGAAAAAGATCATGAAAAAGAGCGTAGCTCGGTAAATTCAGACTTGACGCAAATCTCAGCTAACCAAAACCCGTCAGTCAGAATATCCAAAGGCTCGAAGGATACGAACACTTTCAAGGTTTCTAAAAGTTCACATATCTCCGGCAGTTCGAAACCTGTGAGGGACATAAGCCGAAGAAAAGCGGTTAAGACATCACTAAGTATATCGCCTGTTGATCCCTCGCTTGTTTTACCCGACAAAAAGTGCATATACCCGGCAAAGTTTTCCCCTTTTCCCGGGACGAGGACAAGTGTTTCTAATAAAAAAGGGTTGCTATACAGTAAGAAGACGGATACCGAGGCGCCTAAGAGACAGTCATTCATCAGTGGACCACCTTTACCATATCAGACAAGGACGAATAAATTATAGTGGAGGTCCGAATTCATTTTTCCATCATGATATGGCCCCAACTGGCAATGCATGTTGGTTAATTTTATCGGGTAGAGTCTATACACAATAAGCTTTTAGCATAGAATGAGAGGACGGAAGGGCCACTTCATTTGGAAATTTTGGATGTGAATGCGCATATCGCATGTGTTCCGCTAGTCCTCTGATTATTCTATGCTCCAATTTAAGTCACAAAACAAAAGACGAAATTCTCATGCCCGTCACACTCGCCAAGCCAGTAGCTAGCATAGTTCCGTCTGTAGCGCATGTATGTTGTAGGTTGTAGACCCGCGGTGGCCGCAGACAAACTTTATGTGAACTGGAACCATCACTCAGATGCTATCTTCGAACCTGAACTGAAGGACCAAGTTGAAGTACATTTATATTGTTGTCTTCATCGTCAAATATCGCGTTTTTGAAAACAATAGAGACTGGCACTGGTCCTGAATTCAGCTTCAAATTGGTTTTCAATCTCGTTCCTCGAGCTCGCGATCCTCTAGCGAGGAAACGGAATCTCTGGAAGAAGCCAAACTAGAACTCGAAGCCAGAAATCCTGGCTAATACTAACTGCGCACGTATAGCAAACATTTGATACCTTTCGAAACAAACTTTGATTTGATTGAACGATGTTTTTGTGTTTCAACATTTTTCAGCATTTTCAACAAAAATGTCTCTTGAAAGCATTGCTCACAATTTTTCTTTATTGTATTACATACGGCGTCCAGTCAGAATCATTTCTGATTTCGATCATCCCAGAGCCTTCGAAGAAGATTGCGACCTCCGGAAACGAGATGTATTGGTTTCAAAAATGGCGGATAAATAACCGTCACCGACTCACCGTTTCAGTTTTTGTAGAGCTCAACGAGGAAAGATTCTATCGTGTTTGATCTTTCGTTTATATTTAGTAAAAAGCATAGACAAATTCAGTTATTACTATACAGCTTATGGGTACACTTAGAGTGCATCGCCATATTCGGATGTCTGAAATATCGATATGAATGAACCTAGATTGCAAATCCGGTGCAGCTAGGAATTAGGAGTACCAAGGCAGGCGTAGGTTATTCATGTGATTGTATATACATTAACTGGACTGTGAATAGATTACAGATAGAACACATGTTGCCAACCAGAGTAATGTATCTGGAGTATTAAGCTGGCGACGAGTGCCTTCAATTTTTGACCGGCGTAGTCCAGGTTTATTCATATCGAATAATATCCTACCCTCAGTACCCGAAATCATTAATTGCTGCGACTAAAATCGTAGCGTATTCGCCGTTTTATTTAAGCGCAATTATAACTTGTTTTCAAAGTTTACTGTAGAATTGTATAGGCATTAGTTTATTTTTCATTCATTCACGTATATAGAGTAGTTATTTAAACATACGTTAAATATATGTTATTCTTTATTAATTTATTAAAAAACGTCAGTAAATAGATTTTTAAACGCATCTTGATTTTCTTCGTCATCACTAGAAAAAAGTGAAATTATTTCATGTTACCTGGGGTGCATTTTGGAAAGCTGGATTATGGGAAAATTTGGGCGTCTATCAACCCATCTGTATAAAAAATTTGAGTAATTCATTCATTTTTTAATCGCTATTGCATGCTTCTGCTATACTGTCATGTATATTATAGATATTTGTGCCATACCTTACACCCTCGCAAGCATTGAAAAAACTCGTTGAACTATTAAAGCTAGAAAAAGATTATATCATTAATTAAGAAACAGAACCATAGAAACCCCGGGAAAGCAGTTAATGAAGCTAACCTTTTTAAAAGGACTGGATTTGCAACTGATTTCTCCCATGTACTTGCATTGGCTTCTTCGTCAAGCATGGAATTGAATGGTCTCTCATGGAGAACGCTCCTAGATCCTGGCTTATAAAACGCCCTTGTTATCGCAGTTTCTTCAACGCATGTCGGACCTCGAGCATTAGCTAGTAAGCTTTGGGTATCAGTGTTGGAAGGTATGTATTCTGGACTAGACAGATGCATAGATTGTTCTCCATATCTTTGATTTGGATTCTGTCGCACTTGCGAAACGTCATCTTGATCAATGGTGTTGTTGTATTTCCTCGTGAGATGACCATCTATTTCATTTTTTTCTGAATTCGAATTGCGGTTGAAATATTGATTCCAAGACCATGATTTTTGTACCGGTGTTTGTTTTTGTAGAGATCCAAGGTTGTTTGGAGATACGTTTTTGGCACCATGACCATTGAAACTGAAGCAGTCTTTATAAACTGATCTTCCTGAGTGGCTCATTTCATTCTGTACTTGTTTTCTGGCTTCTGCAACATCACCAGCTGTTACAAACTCCCCGAATCGATCAATTTTATTTGGTGCTGACAGAGATCCCTTCCTTGGACCAGTGCTATTTGGCCAACTGAAATTTGATCTATGTGACGTACAGCTTGGCGCGTGAGAATCACTTTGATTGTCTTGATGGGTTACCGTGAGTGGCTTGCTGAGATTTGGTTTGGAAAGACTTGGTCTGGGGAGTTGATTTTTTTTCTTTGGTGGTTGGTCAGCCATGGTTTGCTTGTTTAGGTTTTGTGTAGTGCACGGGTCGTAGTGTTGGTGGGTAGGGTAGGGTTTAGGAAATGTAGCAGATTTCATCTCTGTCACCTGATTATTGCCCGAACTTGGTCTTAACACTACTTGATTGGACTTGTTAGTTTGAATACTTTGGTATTTCTTTGGATACGTTTGTGGAATTATTCTTGAGTTATGTTCTGTATTTGCATCAAGCAACTGATCGCTTTCTTTTGGTGCTTGTTTGGGTTTATCATCCAAAAAGCTGTATTCAAGATACCAATCATCATCGTCGTTTCCCTCTTTATCGTAATCTTCATCCCAAATGTCATCTGTCAGATCAATCGTATTTGGAAAATCACATCCTGAGAAAAAGTTGGTTGGAAAGTTGGTTGTAAAGAAGACGTATATAATAGTCTAATTACTACCACTTTCCATCATAAAAAACGTCTATATTTACCCTTCTCCTGATGAACATCTGCGTAGAATTCCATATCCTGCCACTCATCGTCATCGAAGTCTTGTATGTCGAAGTCTTCAATGTCGGCATTATTCTGAACATTAGGACGTGGACACTTTTCTTTCCGTTTGTACTCGTACTGTGATAGAATACTTCTGCCTTTTTCAGAACGAGAGCTGTGAGGATCATCTTCATTGGAATGCCCCTGAAATGATCCAATAAATGAGCACATACAATAGAATTTGTATGGGCGCAAAACTTTAAGTTGAACTCTGATTTTCATCATTCAAAATTTGTAATTCAATGTTTATTGTAAAGAAGATGTACTAGTTTATTTACCATAAGTCGTTTTCTCCCTGGTGTTGTCGGAATCGATTGATTTCTTGCGTGCAACTGGTTGACGAACAGGTTCAATTTGGATTCTAAAATGTTTGATCAATAGCGCGTGGGTCATTTTATTTGTGAGGGAGTTTAAAATGTTTATAAACTCACCTCGGGTTCTGCGGGCATTTTCTTTGTTGGGCGTTTTGCTTGCATTCTGATTAACACTCAACACCTGTGACAGAATAGTTATTGGGCTACATTAAGCTAATAGCTGTTTATGTAATCAAGGATATTAATAAACTGTAGACATCATCATATCTCTATTGCTTCTTATATAATATTCTAGTATTTTGTAACTTGTAACTTGAATATTTACCTTTGGTTCAGTTTTCTTAGCAACAGTACCAAATTTACAACATTCATGCGCACATCTTTCCCAAGTTAAGTTAAATGTATTGTAAAAACGAAAAAAGTTCGGAAACCTGGATCAACATTACGTAATGGATGGTACACAAATACTTCTAAGGCAAATCAAATGCGGTTCAAATAAATTTTTGACTTTCATAATTATACATTGTTTTCGTTTGGCCGTGGTAAATAAAATCATTCTTTCTTTTTGCCATTAAGATACAAGTGTTTGTTGATGCAGCGATGATTACATGGGTGTCTTCTTCCTTTTTCCGGTTGTGTTTTTCTTTCAGTATCTAAACACAAAATATTTACGGATATCAATTTTGGCCAATAAAAAATAGACAAATGGGCTGAAGTCCTCTACCTTCAGGCGCCACTTTAATAGGAGTGTTATTTCTTTTATGACTCTAGCGAGGAAATAGTGAAACAAGCAAATTAGCATTTAAAAAAAAGGTATTTTTAATAAAACGAAGATATTCATTTTACCAAGGGAGGATGTCTATGGTCAATGTTAGGCCCAGTGTAGTAAGGAGTAAATTTCTTCTGTAAATCAACCCCAACTATTAGAAAGAACTAACATAAGATATCTCACAAGATATGAAAGTATAACTGAGGCATGAAAGTAGAGCTGTATTTATTGAGATTTGAGAGGAATGTACCTATATCCTGACTTATAACGTTGATCATTAACTCAGAAGATGAATAAGCTCGCTTCACTTCGATCTTTTTGGACCATGTTCCCGTATTGAAAAATATAGCATCCCTAAATTAAATAATTTTCACAGAACAGACTTAATATGGACTGCATGTGTTACTTGTTCTCACTTTTCATTGTACAAGTTTCACATTTAGTTACATATTACTTACGAGAGTCGTTGCTTATGAACAATATGGTTATCGGCATCGGCGATAAGTACAATACAATAGTGAAATCCTGTTGATTTGCCGCTGTCTTGTCGCTTGATATAATTCACCATAGTCACTGATATCACCAGTTCAGCTCTGGACACACTGTAGTTAGACTTCTGAAAGACCAAGTGCAAAATACATATAGTGTAAAGTAATTTAATATGTCTGGAAAACTATAAACCAAGTATACGGTATAATTTAAGATAAATAATGTTTAATCATTATGATCGCTTTATTGAACAACTAGCTTTTCTACCCGACTGGCCTCTTTGGTAGGATTTCCACACAAATGCTAAACCAGTATATACGCTTACATTTTTCAATACAATTGCCTCCGTTGTATGGTCAAACCATAATTCCCCACCCCTCCTATTCTGAGTATTCTCCATTCTTCAATATCTACCGTTAACTAAACTCTCAACTTACACAACAAAGCATAACTAAATACCTGCTCAATATCCACCTCGTATTTCGGCAGCCTTGCAACAGCTTCTTTCACCTGCAAATATTTTGGAAATTATGAAATATTTTAGCGTGCACGACAGACTCATGGCAGAACTGGGATCATTACGATACCTGATTTCCGAATGGAGGATGTCGATTCAGAATCTAAAGAACAGATTAAAAAAAATTGCGATGTGGATTACAATATACTGGATGATATCATTGTGATATTATTATAGTTATGACGTTGCGACTGAAATATTGTTACTAAATAGTTACCAGCTCAATTTTTCGAGGGTTTGTTTCCTCGATTTTCTGAAATGTCGTTAAACCAGCATTGACTAACATCGTTGACAATGTCAATCCTACGTGAGATTGAGGGAAGTTTTAGATTGCAAGTATAAAACAGATAACCAATTTAATTTAGACTGCATAATCGAACGTACCCACTTTCTCTATTTGCTTTGAAACGTATTTCGAATTTTCCCATATCCTGCGGCAAAAAAACCCAACTTTCATATTTGGCATACATCAACTTTCACATTATCACATACACACTATATACATGCAATTTATTTAGTGTCCATGCAAAAGGTTGGACATTTGCATATACCTTGATTTGAAACATTTGCTTAACTGCAACGCGTTCATCAGAAGGTTGTAATTAGTTTGCAACATACAGAATTCATACAGACCTATAGGACATATAGGATATACTAAGCATAACTTAACAAACCCCGCCAGTGACCCCGGACAGGCCGGGCTCATGCATATCTGGAATCATATAACTGTACGGTCTTCATACTTACATTTAGAAACTCGTTGCCCAGATCGGAATATTTTCTAAAATAGGAAGCCTCATTGTGAGACCTTTTTTGAACAGGTTTTGAGAACAGATTTTAAGTGACAAGTACTGTATGACGATTGACGACACAAAAGGTGTAAAACAAAGGGAAGGATGACCAAGCCACCGTTGCAACATTGTTAAAGTTACCGTAACGTCTTGATTCAAAGAGAATTCGTTGATTGGTAAACATCCAAGTGTTGCTTGAAATAAGCTAGAACAAACGATACGGTAGTTAATTTCACACACACTTTAAAATTGTTTGAATTATATAACTACAGCCAGCCGGAGAAATTTCCTTCCACAACTTCTCACCAACTGATCTTCTGTTCCGTTGTCTTTATCCTTCCATTCATGGGAAATCTGTGTGAGGCAAATTGAAGGGGGAATATGGAAGAAATTTACAAGCAACTAAATAAAGTTATATTAATCTCGCCCACATATTTTACCCAATCAGCATTCAGAACGGTTGTCCAAATGGAAATCCATTAGTTATAAAAACTATAGCTCACACATATCAATACGAGTAAGAAATGAACAAGTGATGCATTTACGATGGTATATACCTGATAGTTACTCGGTTTTTGTCTTTATTTAAAGTGTTTAGAACTCTTTTTTCATTAGTTCTCAGCTTCAGATCAACAAATTCTTTACATTGACAGACAACGTTAACCTTGTTACAGGGAAAGTGCAAATATGGATTTTGATATGCATGCTTTCAGCTTTGGGTAGGGGTAAAGAATGGGTGATTAAGATTTCAATATATCAAGTATTACAGGATCTATCTTCAAAAGTGAATATAAAATTACTTTTGTACAGTTCAAAAAGTCTATTCAGCATTAAAATTTGTAAATAGTAATCTGGCTATATTCAAGATATTCTTATCCGGAAAGAAACTAGGCCACGTCTTACCAGATCATTTAAATCCTCGTCTCCTTCTAATGCCAGAAACAGTTTAATCGACTCAAATGCGATGCAGTACCTAGCCATGAGTTTTCCGGTGTCTAAGAAAACAAAATACAATATTTTGTATATATGCATATAAATAATCAACAACTTCGTTTATGGATACCTGTTGGTGTGAGATCAAATCCTTCATCCATATTAACCAGCCCATGATCTCGTAACGTATTTAAACTTTCGACACACATTTCTAAAATTTAGGAACACATGTCTTGTGTGTTGAAAAAGATTCAATGAGTACCGCGATGCTACTCCTAAGCGATTCAACAGGTTTTTGAGAAAACTGAATATAACTGGGCAAAGATATACCTTGTAGTTTTTTTTCTAAGACATCCATGTCAAGGCCTTCAGGAATACCTTTTTCAAAATAGAAATTGCAAATTTGAGAATTCGAGCATTTTGCATTCTTAAATGTTCAATACAATTTCATATTTAGGGCAAGCATTTCCTTCCTTGAGGGACGTAGAATTTAGTTTGTTACCATAGTAAGTGGGGTTCTTCAGTATTCTGATATAGAGAAATGTTGATTTCAACCATTCTAGTGCGATAGAAACATCTGTGATCGTATTTAATACAATTTCGGCGTTCAAATGCTCTATCAAGTTCTTGTGTAAGCTAAAAGAAGAAGAGTGATCTTATTAGTACGCATGATACACATCCAACAGAATTAGAACTGAACGAACGTCTCGTTTGCAAAGTGATGCGAGAAATAAAATTGCAACATCCATAATTAGCTATAGCGTTATTTGAAATTAGAAGGGATCTCTGCTTGTAACTGAGAAAAGCAATTTCCAACTGCCACCACAAATTCTGCAGATGGGTACTTCCGGTGTCCCACCCAGGGTTTGAACAGTCACATCTATCCACAAGATAGAAGTGCATAAAATTTTTGTTTCCAGTACAATCCTTTGCAATAGTCGTTTCCTATATAGAATTTGCGTTAGACAATAAACTTAATTTGGATTTACCTGCTTTCGATATTCTGCGTTCCCCCGATTATTGCTTGGTATTTTATCTAGGTGACGTTTAGTATATATCATATATGCTGCTGATTTCACAACCTTAAACTGAGCTAGTGATTTGAGCACTCAGTCCCTTTGGAGGACGTTGTGAGTCTTTATTGTATCAAATAGTCTTCAAAGCTAAATTTTCATGTTTACGAGTTTGAAGAATCAGAACTAATCTTCCCTTAGGCGGCGCTCAGAGTTGTTGTTGTAGAAGAAGAAGAAGGACTATGCATTATTTAAAGAATGAAACTGCATGCAATATATTTAAAAAGAGACGGTTAAAATCTTTTGAAGGGTATACTTTATTACACTCTTTGGTCATTATCACAGCTGTGGCAGAATCATCAAACTAAAAAAAGAGTTATCGTAAGTGTTTTGACTTTTGAAAGGATAAAGAATAATGATTGCTGCATGCAGTAATCACAATCATGTTTTAATTTTCCTAAGATAAACCTGAGGTCGTCCAGCTCTGCCAGTCATCTGCAAGATCTGTGACTCGGCGTATTCTTCAAACACTCCCTTCACATATTGCATTGTTGATTTAATGATCACTAAATGTGCTGGAAGATTTACCTGAAATATCGGATGTAAAATGTCGGGTCAGTAAAAAGAAAAATTTGGAAACTTTATACTTTTGGGCTTGACCTTATAGTTGCCTTGATTGACTATAGGCATCCATGTCATATGTATATGTATATCATTTAGTGGCTTACCCCCATTGCTAAAGTACTTGTAGCGACTGCAAAGAGATAAAGAACTTTCATTAATATTTCCTAATTTTCATGGGTTGGTTGCGTTGCAATTCCTTGTATATCAGTTGATTGAATAAGTTTTGTTGGTCTGTCTCATACCCCCGAAGTACAGTATCGAGCCACAGTACATGAGATATAGGTAAAATAAACTACAGGCAAGAATTTAGAGCCTTAAACGATAAAATATTTAACTATTTTTGAGCAAGCTTTAAGAAAATTAAAATACATAGAACGGGCAATTCTCCATTTGTGAACATGGCCTCAACAGATTTTCGATCAGATGAGTCCAATCCAGCATGATGGTAAGCCACACCACTCATGACAAGTTCTGTAATAGAAGATTTGCTTGGTTAAGTTGTGTTTGGTTTGTTAAACTAGGAATTAGCCAGGCGATCGTGAAACAACCGGCAATGCGTTTTTAGCAAGTACCTCGTAACTTGGAGTCATGAAGGGAATTGGCACAGCGTTGCAACCTGGAAATTGTTCAACAATAAGATGATCAAGCGGGCATAAACAGTTGGTTGTACTTTAAATGTAATAATGTGAAAAGGCCCCCAGATATTGATAGAAAGAAAGTAGAAAGTAGTAACCTTTGACGATGTTCTGAATTCATGACAAAACGATGGTCCTTTATAAGAGTGCTTGCCGCCTGCTGCGTTCCTTTTCTCGTGGAACAAAACTTTATTAAAAGACATGAAACGGAAAACAGCGAAAAGAGAAAGTCAGATTTCATATAAATTAGTCATAAAGTCATAAAAAAGGACAGTTTTGACCTACTACTAGTGTTGGTTTGTTCTCCGAGTACTTCTGAATTATGCTGCTTAATTTGTAGTTTAGAGAGAGATCAAATCTAAAGTTTGAGGTGCCTTCACTGCAACTGTAGCCTATAACCACTTTATGCAGTTTCACAGGCCGGTAACTATCGTCCATGCTGCAACGAAATGAAGACGATGATATACTGTGGGACAAATACTGCATGTGTGATGCATGGGTATAGACAAGTATAAAAAATTTCGGAGAGAAGCAGCGAAAGACTTCGACCAAAAAATGTAATTTTGCCGCATTCTTGGCTAGAAGTTTTAGAAAACTTGGTTGTTATTGTGGTTGCTATTTCTGCAAAAATTGCCAATGCTAGAGTATAAATATATAACCGTGCAATTCAGTCCAATCTGCATGGGTGTCTGCTTCGTATTATGCTTTTCGTACCTATAGGCCGCAGCTGGATGTTTCTCTGTTTCAAGCCATTTTCCTATCTGAAACGATAAACTTGGGTCAGTCTGTGGACTGTGGGCCTGAGTACCATGCGCAGAAATCGATGCATCTTAATTCTAAATATTTTTACTTACATCCTCGGCATTGGGAATCGTAGCAGATATGGCTAAGAACCTCATATTGGCTCCAAATATTTCCTTTTGATTACTGGCTCTACTTTCAGCAGTTTTGACTGTTTTCATTCTGCTTATGACAGCCTCCATTGTAGGGCCTCGTGATTCATCATTTAGTAGATGAACCTGAATGTATGACGTTTAAACACAACATATAGCAAATTCAGCTTGCCAAATAAGATTTCGTTCAGGAGCATTTAGTTTTACCTCATCAATGAGAAATAACTTCACAGCCTGAACTAAAGATCTGTTGTCTTTCCATTTTCTTGTCATGCTGTCCCACTTTTCCTGGGAGACAGATGAGATGTATATGTACATTAATAATTATTATCATGCAGGTAGTGCTGGTTTGGAGAGATTATGACCAATTTTAGATAACACTTGTTTTTTACTTCTACAGTTCTACTTACAGGAGTAGTCATAACAATATTAGCACTTTGTAGTTCCAAATAATCATCCATTTCACTGTCTCCAGTGAGTTCTTTACATTTCATTCCAACCGTTCCAAATTTCTTCGACCAGTCTTCATATCGCTCACTGCATAGAGCTTTCATTGGTGCCACTGCAATTTACAAGTTGCCTATAAAACTTTTAAAGTTTATAAAATCTTTCTAGTAAAGAGGAGGTAAAATCCAAATACACCTTAGTATCACGAAAACACCTTTTCAACACGTCCATTTCAATGTTTGATGCGTTTTACTAAATGCAGAACTGAATTTTCAGGTGTCACTGTTTGCAGATACATATTTGTAAAATGATCAAGCTTTTTTCCACAAATCGAGTTTTTGTTTGGTGAATCTTGTCTAAAGTATGTTCCAATATAACCGGGAAGCAGCGTGGCAGCGTCTTCAAACAACTTATACTAACGTACCAAACGTCATACTAACTCTCCTGACGGTGGCCCTCAGGTCGAAACGTCGAGAAGTGTTTTTGTCTATTTTAGGCAGTTGTTATACCACATTTGTGGGAACTTTCTATACTCACTATAAACAATCTTGAAATTTTTTCCTCGATCAAGGAAATTCATCATTAGTCTGATAATAGCTAATTCGAAGACAACAGTTTTTCCTGATCCCGTTGGTGAGCACACAACTACTGGTTTATCGGTATATAGCACCTGATGTGAAAAACAAGGAAAGTGGTGTAATTCGGATGTTTCATTTGAGACCCAAGACACACGCGTATGCGTACAAAAGAAATCCGTGGAGCAGAACAAATATATGAATATGCACTCCCTTTCCCCAATGATCGCATCTATTTTCAGCGCAAGCATCGGTTCGCCATCCCGGCCTCGGACCCAAATCAATTTTACGGGCCGTTCCGACTTCCGTCGTGGTTCCAATTAACTCCCTCTCTTAATCCGTTGCACCATAATTTCCTTTACTCCCCCCCCTATAGCCCAAAGCCCCTCTATAGTATATCTACGGGTTGGCCTCTAACCAATTTGTCTTCTTTGCCCGCAGCTCTGGGAGTAAGATGATGCAAGAATATGTTAATTTATGTGCAATTGATGGAACTTTGCAACTTGCAGTGGCATTCCTTACTAGTTTAATTTTAATTCACAGGAATCAAACTTAAATCATTTTCTTCTGTTTTGAATAATTTTATGGTGCCAGCAAGAGGAATTCGTTTCATTTGCGTTTTACTAAATTCGATTATGTTCAGAGGTGACACTTACATCATCCAGAACTTTCGATTGGACAAAGTTGAAGTAAGGAAAAGCAGAAAAGATTGTCCTAAATCGTTCAGCTAATAATTTTTGAGTAAAGTAAAATATTTGATGGACATTGAACAACGTAATTCGTTGTTTAAGATATTTTTACATTGCCTAATATCTATTTGCTATGCAGCCAGCAGCAAATTCAGCACAAAACATGCATGCTATCGGCTATTCTGGGAAGCAGAACTGACCCGTCTACAGACCGAAAACGAATTAAACCAGCTGGTTCGATACTATATCAGTATATTATGTAATTGGACAATATTTAGACCGGATCAAAACCAAAGGATACGTATTTCCGCTACAGATCTTAACTGTTGGCTTCTATATGATCCTCTTGAAGGAACTGAAAAATCACATAGCCATACATATTTGAAAATTAAAAATGATATTTTTGATGTAACGATTTCTATGTTGATATGTTTGCCAGCTTTAGTATGTCAGTCCCACAATAATGCCTGTTATTTCTTGTTGGCGGTTCGCGTTTCACAACTTACGGTTTAATACCATCTGACTAGGTGTTTGAAAATCAGTAAGGTTGGTAGCTGAATGGTAATTATCATCAAACGGATCTTGTTCATCTTCAAACTCCATTTCGTCTGAATGATGAAGAGCACGGTATAAATTACAATCGTACAAAAATTTTATTGGCCGGGTGAAGAAGCTCTTAGTTTTGCATGTTTCATGCCATTGTGTTCAGGAATAGGGGTTGGTGTGGAGGGGTGTGGTGCGCACCCTCCCAGCATAGGCCAGACCGCTAGAGAGGGTACAGGAGGGATACAAATGTTGACACGTTAAATTTTGGAGGAATTATTTTTAAGGAAATTAGTGCCAAGTGGCAAGTATGAATATCATCATCGGAAATCATCGGATGTAGTTAGGAGTTCACAGTCTCTTATGAGGCTTGTTATCATCTCATTTAGTATAGTTCGACGGCAGCTGGCCTTCAATGAGTTCAATCCTACAAGAGCACACTACTCACTAGATTCATTCACTCTTAATTGTATTGAGAAAACAGTACATATACCTTCAATGACATTGTAGCTTTTCATTGGGCTTAAATGCTGGGAGAAAACTGCATCATCAACTGTATCTCGTTGTCCAGTGAGAATTTGGGAACGTTCTCTTGCTGTTGATCTTAAATTGCTAGACAATACTCGCCACGATGCTGAAGGACTTTGCTTTGTTGCATGTGGTTGAACCTTAGCTACGGTTTTACTTTGACTAGCGTAGGTTGGCTTTTGAGTGGCTTGCGAAAAGAGAAGTTGCGAGAAATTTGGAGGAGGGGGGACATCAGTATGTTTGAACTGTTTGAATCTGATAAATTTGAAAAAAGAAAAGGTATTAATAAATTAAAACGTGGTGTATAATTTTTTTGTTTTACTTTTACAAAATATACTAGTAATCTATTAGTGCTGTAGCAGTTTATAGATAAACGTACGAAGAAGTCGTTTTGGGTGTTCTTTTTTGAGAAAACTCGTCTTCTGAGAACAATTTATGAAAAAATAGGTCTTCGTCCGCAGCAAACGGTTCATCAAACAAACTTGGTCTTGACATCTCGAAGTGGCCTGTGAAAATTACAATAGCGGCAGCAATGATTCAGTATAAACTATTTCCAGTAGATATAATTCATATTATATATTTACACTTCAATACAAAAACACAACCACAATAAAAAAATTCCAACATCCATACCTCGCTATGAAGATTTACTGCACGTGATATTATGTTTCCCGTACCATATTTTTTGCCCAAACACCTTTATTTTATGTTTGTTTATAAACGAGATTTTTTATTTGATTTTTTAAAATTTTATTTATATTTTTCCCGCCAAAATATTTCCTCAAGTTGGTCGTCGCGATATTTAAGGAGACTGGTGACGAATGTGACGTTACATTTTCGACCAATCAGGTACTTAACAAATTCGTTCTCAAAAATTCAAAAAATTTTGTACACACGCAGTCGTTTCGACAAAGAGAAATTTCGCATTGGAGTAATTTTTAATCGAGATACGGTGATTCTACGGGTAAGAGGACTTATACATTAGTAAACGTACGCCTAGAAATTCTTTTATATCTTTAAAGCAAAGTTAGAAGGAAAACTAGCATATATAATAGTCAATTGAAGAAATAGAAGAATACTGAGCGATTTCAATGTTCTATTGTATGTACATTTTGTATATACATTATACAACAACCTTTCGTTTCTCTGTATTTAACATATTTTTTAAATGTTTTCTTCTCATTACTGTTTCCTTCAATTTTTGTCATGTAGAGCTGCTTCCCTAAAGATTCATAAAAGCAGTCGATCGACCTGTAAGGAATATGTTGAACAGTACGAATACACAAGACACAAGCATTCGAGTTGCCATTCGGGTTCGACCTCTGATAAAACGGTATGTCATATATATGACGATCGAGTTTTATTAAATTATGTATTTCCCATACTAATGAAGGCATTTGATTTGATTTGATCTTGAGTGGACCTAACAATGCCATTTGCTCTGAAGTTTAGTATATACTGACAGGATTCAATTCGAAATATTCTGTCGTTAGGGAAAATGATTGTAAAGATAATTGGTTAGTGGATGAAAACACTATCTGTCAAATTCACGATGGAAAGAAACTACCCAATACCACATTTACATTTGGTAAGATGATCATCATTTAGCTTCAGGGTTGGCAATCTTAACACAAATGCACCCTAGTAACATAACTTTAATCACAACTGCCAGAGTTGCTACTCTCATGGCATGAAAGGCATGGAATTGTAATCAAGCTTGTCATAGCTAGCCTGCAATGCGACTAATACATGCACTGCATTTGCATTGGTTTTTTTGTAATACAAGCATTTATAAACAAACAAGGTAGTCAATAGGTTCATCAAACTTGCATTGATTCACTAACAAGACCACATTCTTTTATTTCTGCATGCACCCAATGGGAGTAACTAAATGTTAAGACTTATGTATACAATTGCATATATCTAAAGATCGATATGAATTAAATGATGTTATTTATAGGTTATATATATATATATATATATATATATATATATATATATATATATATATATATATATATATATATATATATATACGTCATGATTGATCGACACATATTTATCGACCTTAGGAATGACTAATTTATTTATAATAATTTATATATTTATATTTATTATAATCATTTATAATTTACAGTGCCTGCCCAATTGATGAGTAATTTTACATTTTACACAATATTCCATATATATCTTACTTTAATTCATTTAGATCGTATTTTCAGCAAAGACAAGTCTACAATTGACCTCTATATGGATTTTGCAAAACCAATTGTACTTTCTGTTATGGAAGGAATTAATGGTAAATCTAAGAGTAGCATATTAACTAATTATCCATTCTGGGTTTTAATAGATAAATAATACACAGGGAATATAATATTTATAATCACTTACTTAATGACAAAATTAAAATATTTTCAAAATCTGACAGACCACACAATATTGGGTCATATTGACTCATATGCCAATTAATGGACTGTATAGGAGCTTTTTATTAAATTAATGCAAATAACATGAAACCTGTGACAGTGTCAGTGAGCCAAACGCTTGCTATATATATAGGGCTAAATAATTCTCCCGCTGAAAAATTAGTGACCTAAATGGTCAAAAACCTCAAATATGTAGCTCTTTCCAAGTTGGAAATTGTTATTTGTTTGCGATCGTAAGTGTATAATTATCGTACAACGAATCACGATAGCAACCAAAATTCTGTTTGACAACATTGTCACGGACATATTTTGAAGCCATGCAGCTGCAGAAATTTGCAGAAAAATTAACTTACTCATGTTGTCATGTTTATATTCAATTCAATTTCAACAAAATGCATGATTTTTTACACTTTGAATAACTTCTGAGATACGATCATAATCCATTTGTGAACAAAAAATAAATCTCATAACGTGACGTCACAACAGGGTCAGTGCTATAAATTATATATTCCAGTATTGGTCAACCGCACCCAGCTGGGAGAGTGTGTCCCACTGTCCCTATCCGACCGGCCCCAATATATCATAAACGGTTGCTAGTTTAATTGAACGATCGGCTAGCTTAATTTGGTCGTTTGATTTTATTACAGGCACTTTGTTTGCCTACGGTCAAACCTCGTCAGGCAAAACATACACCATGAGTGGTACCGTTGATTCCCCTGGCATTATTCCCTTTGCTCTTGACGAAGTCTTCAACTGCATCTCAAAAAGTCAGAATCGGGAATTTCTTTTGCGTGTCTCCTACATGGAAATATACAACGAAATCATTACGGATCTTCTGAATCCGAAGTCGACCAATTTAAGAATTCGCGAAAATGTCGACAGAGAAATTTCCGTTGAAAAATTGACGGAAAGGGTCGTGACAAGCGTGGATGAAATTATTGATGTGATGAAAATTGGCGAGAAAAACCGTCATATTGGCGGGACGAATATGAACGAAAGAAGTAGCAGATCTCATACCATATTTAGAATGGTGAGTGCCAAGAGTTGCGTCTACGACTCTATGTAATGGCAGAACGGATGAAAATTTGACCCCTATATATATAGACCTTTCCCATAAGTCGCCTGTTGTTACACAAGGTTTGATTGGCTCTGCAAAACTAACGAGCCAATCAAAATTCGTGTAACTTCAGGCTTTCCGCGTTTGACTTACGTCGTTATGAGAAAGGTTTATTACTGAGATTCCACTATGATTTCCAGGTTGCAGAAAGCAGGGAAACACATTCTCGTAACAGTATTGAAAGCGGCGAGTTTGACGGAGCTGTGAAAGTGTCTCATCTGGTATGATATTCTCTGTTTCCATCGGTATGCACTTGCAACGATCTCGTTACACATACAAAATTTGTGCAATTTTAGAACTTGGTCGATTTGGCTGGTTCTGAACGAGCTTCCGTAACAGGTGCGGAAGGTATCCGGCTGAGAGAAGGTGGCTTTATTAACAAGAGTTTATTTGCCCTGGGCAATGTCATAAATAAACTGAGCGAAGGAGAGAGGTATTAAGCGATTTTTGGTGCATATTATCTTTATAATTTTTTGGGATGTAGATTTTCCACATCCAGTCTTTATAGCAATATCATAGACATGAAGATTAATTTCGATTTGCAAGCATGCAATATGAATTAATCTTCTACATCCCTTAATAATTGAGGAACTAATTAGCTACAAGAGTTGTTATTATTCCAATTCTCGACATTTTATATTTGTTTAGTACTTTCGTTCCATTTCGCGACTCAAAGCTAACCCGTATCTTGCAAAACTCTCTGGGTGGAAATGCGAAAACCTCTATCATTTGTGCCGTGACTCCAGCATCGACGGACGAAACACTCAGTACTCTACAGGTGCGGGAGATTAGATTCAGTCAACTTTATTTTAAAATTGACTCGTATACTAGCTCAGCTAGTTCTCTGGTTTTAGACGTATACTAATATATATGATGTCGTATCTTTTCTTTAATCTTCAGTTTGCAAGTCGAGCCAAAAGGATAAAAAACAGACCTGAAGTAAACGAGGTTTGTGTCCGGTTTCTTTGCAACCGCGCGTTTTCTACCAATAATGGGCGATTGCTGCCCGCGCAAGCGCTTGTGAGTACCACAGTATACCACTATACCACGTACATAAAGGGTGCATATGGCTTAGGGGAGAACATCTGCATATGATAACACGCGAAACAGGGAGAACAACATATGACTACTTTACATTGTCTATCGGCCGTCTTGGATTAATTGGGAAAATTGAGTAGAAGGGTTTTTAAAAGGGCCTTTTTTGATCAACCGTTATTCAATGATGCAAATATACGTTTATACGTCGTATATAATGATAGTTTCAGAAAATGTTTTTATCATGTAATATTTTGTTCCATGACATGGCTACACGTATCGATTTTGTTTCACAGGTGCTTGATGATGGAACAATGTTGAAACGATGTAGAAGAGAGATAAGTGAGCTCAAACGACAACTTGACAAGGTAAACCTTGCATGCGTATATATACATCACAAGAAATCTCGTATTATTAGTCTTGCATTTCGTCGGGAACTTCAACGCCTGAATCATAGAAATTTTCAGGTAGTATGATCCTGCAGGTTTTCAAATCAGCTAGACGTTACACGGCTTTATTAATGTATCAGTCAACACGATACGTCAGCACAGACTCCGCAATTGTTGACGAAAGGTAAACTCGAATATATTTTTTTATATAGTCACATACAAGAGAGGAAGTCCTGAAACGTGAGATGGAACTTCAAATGGAAAAGGATATGGTGGGTATAAATTTGACTATATATTATCTTGAATATATATGCATCCTGGCTTATAAGCCAATCTTAATATTCTTTTGAAAATAAGTTTCATTAGTGTTGACCTATAGTCTGTACTGATTGCGTTACAATATTGTATTGCCTCCTAGCTTTCACGTTTTTTTATTGGTCTTTTTTTAGATTCAGAAGGAACTTGAAAACCAAAGAAAAGTGGCTGTACGTTTTATACTTTTATTTCATATATAGATTAATTTGAGATATGAAATTTCAATACGGGACCAACGTGTTAATTAAACACTTCCGTTTTAGGACGAAACTAAGGCAAAGTTACGAGAACTGGCGAATGTATTTTGTACATCAAAGCCAAAAGAGATCGAATCTAAGCAAGTAAGTGCGAGCTATCTTGACGTATATCAAGAAAACTGTCTAAAACATTGCGATTTGTCGGACACTAGGCGTACTAACGCAACATTTATGATATGTGAAATTTAGGATATATATACCTTCTGAATATTAATACTTCAAGACATATATATGATAAACCCAAGCAAATCTCCAATTATATGATAATTAATTGTTATTTTTCACAGCGAAAACAACGTCGATGGACGGTCTGTCCAATGGGTGCCCGCCGTAAACCTCTGCTGACCTCATCAATCGACAGCGAGTTCAACAGACCTTCCAGGAGACTGGACCTAACGTACGCTGGTAGCCCAAGCCGAGATCTGGACGTTGATATCAGCCGCGCCGAGTTTAGTGTGGATCATCATCAACGATTTCTCGAGCAACTCCAGGAAAAAGAAGAGGAAGCAAATATCGCCGATCAAAGGTAAGTCAGAGTGATGGAGTTCGAGAAGGTAAATTTTGTGTCCACGTCACAAAGTGCATGGTCGGCTAAAACGCGATAATTATAAGCGCGGCTTGCAGTCTCTACTTTTGCGCTGTTAACCAGTGAACTCTATATACAGTTTATATATAGAGTTCACTTTTGGTGAACATGGGTGCCAGAAAGTACTGTAAAAATGAACTGAGTTGTGACCAAAAACATTAAAACTATGAGCTGGTTATCTGCTTTCAGCTCCTTTGCAATTATGACTGCATGATACTGCGGGAATGTAATAAGGCAGAATGACTTATCTATATAGGATCTGAGTACTCGGCCAATATGCTGGGCCTCTGATATGCTGCAAAAAATGGAACTCGCAAAGGGAACAAAAACAAGACATATGTTAATTTATATAAAATTAAGGATTTTAATTAATATAAAATTAAGACAAGGTGGGCATGGGGGAGGGGCTTTTATATGCAATTTGAGAACTTTGGCGAGGGTGCGTGTAAACAAAACCACCCCAAGCACCCTTGCGCGCTAGCTTTTTTCAGCTGACCTCTATGTAATACATCAATGCAACGTTATATATTTTACTCATTGATTTTACTGGCGTTGTGACCAGGATTGGTAAGTTACTGAATAAATAAGCCAAACATTGTTATTGGCGGCCCTTTGATTCCTTTGTTTCAAACAAAGAAAACAAATGTTATGTTAATATATTTGGCTTATTTATTCATAAAATCTACCAACCCTGGTTGTGACTGTCGGTTGAATTGTATCAACCGTCCTAACCTCTGTCCTACTATCGTCATCATCTTAATTAATTATCAGTTTGCCTGATGCCTTTTTATACATGATCATCCAAATGAATTTACGAAGAGTAAATTTCATCTTGTGCATAGCAGGTAAACTACTTGACAAAAAAAAACAAACTGCGCTTAAAAGCGTCAAAGTTCTTTTGTTTTTGGTGTTGCTACGTCGCGTTATACTTGAGGTAGTCCATCCGACTTCCTGTGCAATGTGCACAGATGTTTATCAGTATATATATGGAACAAGCAGTACAGAGTTCCTTACAACGGACTATATATATTTGACCAAGGAGGAATTTTTTTTCCACGATGCAACCAGACTCCCTTGTTAACGCTGTATTTTTGTGTCTTCTGAATGTTTTCTTCATGATTGCTGGAATATTCCTGAATTCTGTCGCTATAACCAGTTTATGGACGTCGTCACAGCTGCTAAAGAAACTATGCTACTTTATGATTTTTGTCTTGTTTTGATCTAGCCGTTGTCTTTATCACTCATCCTCTTCTTATATCATCAACAATTTGTTGGTTGTTTGAAGATTGTAGTGAACTACATGTTAAGATTGGAGGCTTTTCTTGTTCTATGCTTCAAGGATTTTCAGCTCTTGCCCTCTTGACACTTAATATAGAACGATTCCTGAGCTTTACTCACGCCATATTCCATCGAGTATCAGTTACCAAGAAAAGGCTGTTGTATTTTCTGGTATCTTTGATGACTTTCTGGGTAGTTGAATTTGCATTGGCTTTCCTCAACCCTACAACACTTGTCAACTTGGCAGCTGCGACCAATATCTTCATTTTGTTGCTGCTGTTTGTCTACCTAAACTATAAAATGTTTGTTGTCGTGAGATCTGTACGCAGTGACGACGACGAAGTAGCATCAACTACAGCAACGCTGAACGACAGTGAAAGGATTCATAAAGTGAAAAGAGTGAAGTTGAGTCTAAAAACTATTTCGACATGTTTTTTGGCAGTTACCTGCATTTTTGTCTGTATTTGTCCTCACCTTGTGTATTCCGTTTGGCGTTTGATAACGAAAACATCGTTTCATGATAGACAAGTCTTGCAGTATTATTTGTGGTGCAGTACATTAGTGTCCATGAACTCGACACTCAACTGCCTGATATTTTTCTGGAAAAATTCCATTCTTCAACGCCAAGGATTGAAAGCACTTGGTAAAGTACTCCCGAACTGCATAATCTGATAAGCACTGGTGTAGTCATGCACTTGTATTTCTATATGTGGTTATCAAAGAAGGATTTTTAGAATTAGATGTTTTGATTCAAACCTATATACGCCATGCAGGATTGGTAGATATCACTGACCTTCCGATCAGTAGTAGATATTGACCGCGCGATGAAGATAGTCTTTTAGTGACATGCATTTTAGTGAGGTTAGGCCTGTTTCAGACGTCAAACTTTTTATGTGCCGAACCTAGTGTTATTGAGCTAAAGTCTTCGTTTAATAAGCCTATAGGCTATACTAGAACATTTATAGTTTTGTTTTAAATTAATTCGGGTTTTCTATATACAATGACTCCTCGATCTTAAGCCCGCCGCATACGAGAGCTATCAGCTGAGCTAACGACCTCGCGAGGCGCCGAAAACTATCCGCACACGTGAGAAACTTGCCTCTCAATATAGATACTTGCACCTATATATCTACTGTGCAATAATTATCTTTACACTAATTGTTCCTCCTAGCTTTGGGAATTTATTTTAGGGTGAAATATATCGAGTATTGTTGTATAGTGCGTGTGATGTATTAAAAAACATGCGTATACATAACATTGTTTATTATTAATTGTCGTTCTTTTTGTATTATTTGACATGACATGCATTTGTTCATTTGAAGTGAAATTAGTGCTATCGTATGCATTGGGACGAAATTTGCATAGTTCTTACAAGAGCGTGTTCTATACCTTTGTTTCCGGTTGGCTTTTCACAATAATCGGAGTGTAATTGTCCGTTGTACAAAATGCCACATTTTCTTAAGTTACGTATAAGTAATTTGCATGATTATCCATTTGGTAATTGATCTCGCAAAGCTTTTGAATTAACTCTTTTTTTCGGCTTAGTCCTCCACCTGACGTGTTCATTCAAGTCTTTCACCAGCTAGTGTTCAATTTAGGCCGAATATTTCTGCTAAACACGGATAAAAATATCACTAGGCGTTGTTACACGACTATAATAGTAATTTGTTTTTTGCCCTAAATTGGTAAATGGCTGTTAATGATTTTTATAATTAATACAATAACATTGTTAAATTTTTTAGAAACTAGTTTTAAATAGCATGCATGACAAGCAAATATATATGATGAAACAAAACTTCATTAAAAACTAACAGTCGTGAAATTCTGTGCAAAAATTATTATTTTTTTACAATTAGAAATTATGATTACAATTAATATTTGCGTGTCGCTAACAGCTATATTCTGATAAGAGAGCGCCAGACATCAGCCATGAACATCATAGCTATTGTCTAAGACTCGTTCCAGCTGTTTTAATTTATATATACGTGTAGATGAATGCAGATAATTTATATCTGAAAGAAAGGCCAGAGCCAGAGGGTATGATTCTATACTATTTCGAAGTAACGAAGTACGTCACCCTTTGTACGGAGACAATCCATGCTGTTTCTATATCTCATCACAAATTCTCTAGGCTACACGTCAACGCATCGTGATCATCTTACGACGATGATTCTTCAACTGCAGCCGAGCGCATGCAAATTTGCATGAAAACGATTTACCAGTGTTTTGGCTAGTGGGGCGTGGAGCATGCATTTAGTTCGTTAAACCGTTCTTGCTATAACTTTAGCTCGGTGTATAACTCTCGTTATTTATACTTGTAAAAGTGAGCTACATGCATTCACTGTATGGCGAAACAATTTCAATACTGTATTATCTTCATGCCTTCACGTCGTAGAATAGAGTTATTCCAGAAGAATATCAGACAATTAAGTGTCGAATTTATCGAGACAAACGTGCTTGCCCATAAATACAACACGATCCCTTTATATGGTCTGTCGTAATCGGACTCACTCCCTAGCGTTTGAAAAAACACAGAAAGTACAGTTATTGGACAGGAACAAACGAAAAGTGAAACAACCGCCAAGGAACACGTAGAGAAATCCCTTTTAAAAAAGGATTCCGGTTTTCTTCTTTCCTGATCATTCAACTGTATTGCAACTATTTCGTTTCTGCGTTTTGACTTGGCGATTTTAAACATTTCATAGTTCAAGTACGTAAACAATAATAATGTAATAGAAAAAAATGCTGTTGCAAATGGATAGATCAAATTTCTTCTCCCGATAATGCGCGGTAATGTTGATAAAATTACGTAAAATATCAATAAAATCCCCTGAAGAAGGATCATTCTCTTTTTTGTTATTGATACCTGATGAAAGAAAGGATATTTTAAAGCAAAAAATCGTTCGATATTCAAAACGAGGAGAGCCAACATTGACGAGTTTTGTAGCATACTTGAGACGTAGAAACTTAGTCGTAGCGTTTGATTAACTCGGAGCAGAAAGAAGTAAATTGTTGAACCAATGAGAAGAGGATGAGTGATGATAACCACAGCCAGATCAAAACATGATAAAACAAGAATCATAAAATAGCATAGTTTCTTTCGTAGTTGTGACGATCTCCAAAAACTGATTATAACCACAGAATTTAAAAATATTCCTGCAATCATGAATAAAACGTTGAGAAGACAGAGAAATATCACGTTAAAGGAAGTTCCGAGGTTCATATTGTACAGCCGATGCAGGCAAGGTTTATATTTTTTCAGGTTTCCATTATTTCTTCAATATCAGAATAGAATTTTCAACACCTGTGTATACAATTGCACCTTTCCAACTCCATTCTTTTTGAAAGGCTTGCAAATAAGTTGCTCTATAAATAATGAATTTAATTGCCGCTTTGAAAGATGAATACTAAGAATAGAAGTGGATTTGTTGGTTGACTAAAGAGTTGCGTGACTCTGTCTTGTACGCCCTCTCTATGGCTAAGTTCTCAGCTGCATGTTCGTCATTTTTTTATCCTCAAAAATTTTCCACTAATCTGCATGGGTGAGCAATCCATTTCTATTTCATCGTTCGACATGCAAAATTTAAATCGAATTAAGCACGATAGTTATCCGGCGAAATGTTGATGTTACCTTCATATATAGGTTTACTTATTATTTATGCCCAATTTGGTATGAAAACAGCAACCGTATATTATCATATATACAGGGTGTCAAAAAAAAAGTAACGCAACACTTAATATTCATATCTATTGGCTTTTTTTTTTTTCAATATCAAAAGCTGGTAGGCCCTGCATGGGAGTTATATAAACTAGGTGACTAACATTTTTTGTTTTTTCAGTGTACTGAGTTCTGTAGATGAGTACAGGAGTTCCCTCAGTTCCGCAGTAAGTTGTGTTTTTGACACTATATATAAAGAACTTGTTCATCCAAAAATATCGCAGCAACTTAAGTTTTATCTGTCTACATGCAGACACATGCACTTATAGTGTAATATTTTTTATAGAATAATCAAGAGACCAGAATTGCAGAACTAGAGTCCGAAGTGAAAAGGTAGGAGGATGATCTGAAGTGAATTAAAATGTACCCCCCCCCCTGTTGTTTCTGCTTCCGTCTCAGGGCTATATATTGTCTGTGTAAGTGTACATAAACGATAATCTGAGTTTTTAAGGAGATTTTCCATTACATCCAAAGCGCGATTTACCTGCGCGGGCAGAGCGGACGTGATGGATAATCCAACAATATGTCAAGTCGCTATATCTTTAAGAACGGCCATATGTCATGTATATCAAAATCTAATTTCTGTCTACCAAATATTGCCTTTCTATTTTCATTTTTATAGGTCAGAAATATCAAGTTTTATCTGCTGCTATGATGCTATTGCAGTTTTGATTTGATTAATAGATAGATGATATTTTGGTTTGTTTAGGTTGATTGATGAAAGGGATGCCTTGAGCAAAGAACGGGATACAATACAAAACGACTTGTCGGAAAACATCACATCTGTAAGTAGTTTGCTGATGAAATTAATGATTATAAAATGAGGTCAAGACGGGCTAATTTAAAAGCGTAATTGTTGGCAGTATTTTCGGCACCTTTGTTAGGGTAGAATTATAACACATAATGTTCCTAAGCCAAACAAGATAAAAATATCCTCGATAATTTCCGACCTTATGTACTGCCCGCCAAAACATCGTTAAATGCTTCACTAAGTGTTATTTTGTCCGAAGAGTTTCCCTTTTTTTTCACGTTGATTCCTATTTAAATTTCCCGGTTAATTTTGTCGAAAAATGTGACGTGTTCGTGACAATTGAATGTTTTTTAGTCGTGCGAGATGCAGGAAGATTTACTGAGGACGAAAGACAAATTGAAGGAAAAGAAAAAAGAAAACCACGTGTTGGAAGAACGATTACATCAATTCGAGGCTTTGCATGCAAACGAAAGTAATGTTGCTGCTAGCGAGAAAAATCATGTAAGTTGTGTGTATGGTCAAGAGCGAAGGGTATTTATTGGTTTGGGTCGTCGGACCCCTCCACTGCTCACACAGACCAATTTTGTACTTGCTCAAAACTGAAAAAGAGATGTTTTGGGAGGGGGAGGGGGGGTGGCAACCAGCCGGCGTTTGTGTGTATTGGCAGTCATCCCAGGCTGGCCACGTCCCTGATAGTGATAGGAGGGAAATTCCATCAATTGGGGAAAAGTGCATACTAAACTTAGTATGTTGTTCTCTTAAGATATTTGAACGAGAGCTAACAAAGTACAAAACTGAAAATGAGGCCCTGATAAAGGAACTTGAAGCGAAGACAAATGAACTGCTGGAATCGCAAAAACAAGGCAAAGAATTGGAAGAGAAGGTTAGTCTACAATGCTTGATACAAATTTTATATTGCTGATTGAACTTTTTCTTTACGTAAACCAAGAACACTTTATTAGCCGCTTATATTCCCAGTTAAACGCACTCTCCTATTGTTTGCAAAAGCAATAATCATGGTTATTAATTCCGGGCTACTCCGGTTGAAAGCAAGCGAGAACTAAAACAAAATTCTAGATTTGGTAAACATGCAATATGTTGTACAATAGAAGAAATGTTTGCCATTTGATTTCATTGTTAATAATAATTTTTAAGGTCGAGTTACTGAATGTGATTCAAGATGATCTCGCGACTGTCGACGCTCTGCAAGAAGAACTGGTTCAAGAACAAGAAAAAAACAAAACCTTGCTGGAAGAAATACGTCAAAGTCAAGACGATAAAGAAAAACTGCGTGAGGAACTTGAACATCTAGGCAACTTTGCCGGTCATCAGAAAAACTCTGTTGAGTTAGAGCAGAGAATTAAAATGGTAAGTTCTTTCAGGTTATAATTACCTTTCAAATTTTAATAGAGCGACCACACTTAATCTTTTTGAGGTCTGTCTTTACGGTTTTCAATCGCCTTGTGTAGGTCAACGAGGAAAACAACGAACTTCGTAAGAAAATTGATGAACTTGATGTCGTAAATAGTCCAGATGGATTAAATGAAGAAATTGAAGTGTTAAAAACTCGTCTACGGGAGATTGAAGCACACAACGCTGTTTTACGTGGAAATTGCGATGACTTCAAAGAGAAATATCACCGTGTACGTTCTGAATTGGACGAAAAATCATCCTTGACTGTTAAGAAAACGACCGAAGATTCGTCAGAAGAGTTACTGAAGGCGAAGGAGTTCGAGATTGTTGAACTGCAAGAAAAACTCGAGCTGCTAACAGAAAAGTTGTCGCGAAAAAGAAGACGCGCCAGTCATCATTCTTCTGACATATATGTCCCTTCTATTACGCCCGAAACAGAAAGCGAAACAATTTTGTTAAAACTACTTGACGAATTGTCAAAAGTGGACGCTGGTGAAAGTCCTGGTAATGGGAAACTTGATGACGTCATTACGTACGTGAAGAACTATCTCAGTGGACGTGATGCGTCCGGAAGTCAGAATGAGAATAGAGAGAGCTCTTCTTCTCCAAACGAGTCTGAAGACGATGGTGCTTTAGAATCGACTATATGTCGTGAGTTGGTCGAGATTAAGCAACTGCGTCGGGCTTCGTCTACGATGCAAGTTTTTGAACAAAAGGAAACAAACGACAATGACGAATCTGAAACTATCAAAGATCTACAAAACCAATTGGCCGAAGTCTTGTCTAGTAAAGAAACCTTGACGCAACAATACGACGGCTTTGTCGAAGCGTTTTCCAACGAATCCAAAAACGAGTTAGCTGAAAAGGAGTCTGAACTGAAAAGGCAATCTGAGGAGCTGTTGCAATTGCATGAACGGTTAGCTCAAGAGTTAGCCAGAAATACGGAACTCGAAGAAAGGGCAAAAATACTTGAGGCAAAACAAGATCAGAAATCTATTGAGAATGATACCAAACAATGGTATAATTCTGTGCAACTGGTGGAGTCATCACCATCAAATGTAATGTTCGAAGCACGAAATAAAGATTCCCCAGCACGCAAAGATTTCGAAACACAAACCGAACAGAATTCACCGTTGAGTTTGGCCACGAAAGAGGAACTTCTTCAGTCCTACCAAACCAGCGTTAATGATCTGCGAGAAGATTACTTTGCGGAGCTAGCGAAGAGAGAAGAAATGTTTTCAGCATCGGATAAGCAGCGTGAGGAAGAACTGATGCAAAAAGAAACAGCATTGCAAGAGATGTCCAGCGAAATACAGCGGCTGAGGGCAAAACTCGACGAAGTCAGAGAAGATTCGACAATTTGCACGGATTTGAAAGATATTTCTGTGCCTCACAAAGAAATTTGTGCCAATGCATTTTCGGGAAGTGTATGCGAGAATAGAATAACCCCGGAACGAAAGCGAAAATTGACTCCAGATACTGCCGAGCAAAAGCGTTGGAAAAATCCCAAAATTTCTCAGATAAATGATCAGTCTGACGAAATTTCTGATTTCGAGAACCAGTTAGAAACCAAAGATATACTCGAGAGAAGCGTGGCGAAATCACGGCAAGAATTGGAAGAGAAAAATTTGGAACAACAGGACTTGATGCACGAGGTGGAACCAGTAAAAGAGAATTTGGAGGATGATTATAGGGTCTCTGAGATGTCGGTGGATGGAGTTGAGAACAAGCCTAAGATAGAAATGTTGCCAAAAGATATGGAACTACCGAGGGAATCTCTAAAAATCGAAAAACTAGAGGAGTTTGATACTAACAGCATTTTTAAAGGTATAGCAATCACTGAAGAAGCGAGTAGTGAACATGGGATTAAGCATGAAGATGAAATGGGTCAAAAAGGCATAGAACTACAACAAAAGTCGTTAAAAATTGAAGAAAGTCCTAAACAATTAAACGCTAGCAGTGATCTTGTCACTGAAGGATCGATTAATGAACGTAGGAGTGACCTTGAAGAGGAATTATCACAAAAAGAGATAGAACTACAGAGTAATTATTTAAAAATTGAAAACCTACATAAACGGTTAAACGATATGGCGGTCACTGAAGCTTCAATTAGTGAACTTAACGAGAAGCTTGAAGCGGATATGTTGCAAAAAGACATAGAATTGCAAGAGAAATCTTTACAAATCGAAAACTTGCAAAAACAATTAGACACTAGCAGAAAAGATCAGGCGTTTGCCGAAGAGTCGACGAATGAATTTAAGAATGAACTCGAGGCAGAAATTATGCAAAAAGACAAACAACTACAACAAAGATCTTTAGAGATTGAAAACCTCCATAAAAAATTAAACGATATAGTTGGTATCGAGGAATCGATCACTGAGCCTGCAAACCACATGGCAGAACGTATTGAAAACTTGCAAGAGGAATTGTACCAAAGAAATGAACAAGTACAAGAAAAGATCTGCGAAATCGAGCATTTGAAGTTGTTGATTGGCCATCAATCCGAGAATGAATTGAAAGAGGAGCTGCCGCTGGGTGATGGAAATTTGCAGGAGGAGCTTTTAGATGAAGTCACTGAAGAGAATGCGGATAATTTGTGCGGCAGTGGGGAGGAGACAGAACTGGAACCTAAGCTGGCAGAGGCTCGAGAGTCGTATGAAAGACGTCTATTACAAAATGATATCAGTATTGCTGAGTTGAAGAAAAAGTACGAAATCGAACTGACCGAGAAGAGTAGGGAACTTCAAGAGAAGCAGAAAGAAGTCGACCGTCTGAATAGAAAACTAAAATTCGAGATGGCGACGTTGGTTGAAAATACTGATCTCGAAACTCTGGAGGAAGAGCTCAGTATTGTCAGAATGGATTACGATTCTGCTCTTGAGGAAATCAACATCTTGAAAGATGAATTAGAAACTGCTAAGAAGTTAGTATTGGAACATGAAGCTTGCGTTGCCGAAGTAGAGGCACGGTCCCTTGAAGAGGTAAGCTTAATAAAAGAAGAAATGCTAGCCGTTGTTTCACAGAAAGAAAGTTTGGAGAGAGACATGGAAATTCGTTTCCCTGAGGTGGAAGCTCGATTCCTGGAGGAAATGGCTACACTGAAAAGGGAATTGGAAGATGTTCGATGTGTGCAGGAAAGTTTGTTAAAAGAATATAAAGCTCGTCTTGTTCAAGTAAAAAGCCAATACCACGAAGAAATAAGTGTGTTGGAAAGAAAATTGGAAAATTCTGTCTCGGACAATGCAAATATGGTTAAAGAGCACGAATCTCGCATTTCTGAAGTGCAAACGCGGTTGGGCGAAGATTTTGAGAAAATATCTTCAGAAAATGAGAAGATAAGAAAAGAACTGATTGACCTTCAAGGAAAGTATGATGCCGAGGTAGCAAAGAATGAATTGGTAATTATTGATCATCTATCATCCAGTGAGAAACGTGAAACGGAATTACACGAAGTAATGAGAAGCAAAGAGGCTTTAGTTGTAGAGCATGAAGCTACCGTCACCCGAATGAATACAGAATTCACTAATACCTTGGAGCAAATGCGTTCGGATGCCGACAAAGTAATCAGAAGCAAAGAGGCTTTAGTTGTAGAGCATGAAGCTACCGTCATGCGAATGAATACAGAATTCACTAATACCTTGGAGCAAATGCGTTCCGATGCCGATGAAAGTTCAAAAATGATATTAGAGTTAAAAGAGACTTTAAGAAAAACAGAAAACACCAGGGCTGACAGCGAAAAACTTTTATTGCATTTGAATGAAAAAGATGAAATTATTGAAACGAAGACCGCCTTAGTTGCTAAACTTGAAGAAGAAACAAAAGCATTGATTGAAGCCAAAGAAAAAATGCTTGAAGAACATGAAGCCACGACAGAAATGTTAAGGCAGGATTTTGACGATCAAATTGAAAGCATTAGACAAGCCGTTGAGGAAAAGGAACGTGAGTTAGTGCGCGCGCAAGACGAGAACGTGAACACGCTACGTGCAGAATTAGATCACGAACGTGAAAGATTAAAAACAGTTGTTGACGAATGGACTACCCAGGTGCGCGACTTAGAGAGGAAGCTTCTTGATCAGGAAATACAGTACGAAGAAAGCTTGGTAGAGAAGGAGAAACTGAAAGAACAAGTTGGGAGTTTAGTGTCCGAAGCGAAGCTGATAAACCAAGACCTCGAAGATAAGAAGAATCGCGTTACCGAGCTCGAATCTGAATTTTTGGAAGCAAACGAGAACTGTGAAAACTTGATAAGTGTAACCGAACAACGGGATTCCCTTCAGGAAAATTTGAATGCGACTGCCGAAGAGTTAAAAAAGAGCCGAGACGATGTTAAAGAAAAGTATGAAAAAGTCTTAGTTTTAGAAAAGGAACTCAATGAAACCAACCAAGCTATGGAGGGTTTGAGAAAGGAGAACGAGATTAAAATCGAAGATCTTCAACAGCAGAACAAAATCTTGAAAACAGACATAGAAAAAGTCGTCGCAGAAAACCAGAATTTGAAAACAGATTCCGAGAAGCATCAAGCGCAGTTGCGAAAAATGGAAGAACAAATTGAGACTCAGAAGGAAATGAATCTGTCTGGCACAGAAACACAGTTGTCAGAGGTAACTTAGCAATTTATATTTTTTTTTATAAAAATCCTTCACATTTTAAATTGTTCAGTTTGGAATCATGCAAGGGTGTTAGTTAAAGAGGACATGGGTAAAATCGAATCTTGGCTCCTTATTGTAAAACCGATTTTATAACCAAATACAGTTGATACAGCATGATGTGTCTGTTATCGTTTCCTCAAATTAGCTGTATCTCTTTGGAGATACCTTGGCATGACTGCCATGACAAGCTCTTTTTTGTTTGCGATCACATACAATAATGATTTAAACAATGTGCATGCGTAACTTTGCTAAAAGTAGTTGCATGATAACATAATAATTGTTCTTAATCAACAAGCACTTATACTAATTAAAGTTCGTATAGAAAAGGTGGGCCTAATATAAATTTTATATTCCAAAAGTCCCCGTTACCCCTAGTTCGAGTGTAATTCTATCCTTTCATAACTAACCAATCATGTGCGATATGGTGTGCAAAATTAAGAGTAATGTGTCAATAGATATACTGTCAATTCTTGACAAACGTCCATAACTAATATACTAATAAAAAGTTACAATTAATTTATCTAATATTTTAGGCTTCTTGTCAGAACTGTCGCAGACGTAGTGGAACACGACAGGGTAGACGGGAAAGCGAGGTATTCAAGTTGATGCTAATGGACATTAAAGAACAAGTTGGTAGTGAGCACCTCGAACAGGTGAGTGCGCACTGTGTTTAATTAAACGTTAGTTCGACTAGTTGCTAAAATGTTGTGGATTGAACGGCTGAGTTTTAGAGGTCGCCGTAACTTTGTTAACGGGTGTATATCACAGGTTCTTACGCCTTTGATAAAAAATTTCGAAATTTCATAACAAGTGCAAATATGTATAACAAGTCAAAACTTGGTCAGATTTATATTGTGATGGTACTGCTCTTAGTTACAAACATGTTAATTTTTCAACTTGTCCGATTGGTAACTCAAAGTAACACCGTAACAAAAGAAGCCATGTTTTCAAGTTCAACCAATGGCATATAATTGAAAAGCAGTTTACTGTGTATATGCTTCTATCAAAATGGCACATTTATCGTTTTGACCACTGTTTTTTAAAAAGTAAATACTATTTGCTTGATTGCATGCATTAACTTTAGGATAAATTAATTGACGAGCTGAACCACACGCTGGTCACCACGCAAGAAAGACTTGAACAAAAGGAATTCGTTCTCGATGAAAAAGAAATCGAAATTTTGGAAAAGGATGAAATTGTTAAGGAGCTTCAAGAGAAGTTAGTTGCTGCTGAACAGCTCACCGCCTTGCATGAGAATACGAATACTGAACTTTTGACAAAACTGGAACAAGAGACTGCGGAAATGGAGACTTGTCGCGCAAAATTGGAAAGTGCAGGTATTTCGTTAGGAATGTTTATAAAGTTGGCTGTAAGGTCACTGGTATAAGGGTGAGAGTTTAGTCTATTCAGGCGCCGTGATATCCAGTTGGGTAACAACAATGGCCGATAGTACCACCCCGGATAGCACTATCCACTTGATGGTGGTTTTTCGATCGCCTTGGTCGTTTTTAGATTGCTGTTTAGGTATTTGACATGCTGATCGCTAAAATATTCCAATTGCATGGTCTTGCAAGAGATCGAAAAAAAATATAAAGTTCAACCTCTTTATAGTTTTTATTCTTTGTCGTTTCACAGAAGAGGAATTACTTCAAGCTAAGCTGGAGTCTGAAAAATCAATCGAAAAACTGATTCATGAAAGAAACGCTTTGCAGGAAAGAGTGCATGATAATGAAAGCATGTTTAGCGAAGAACAATTGAGAGAGTTGTACAACAGTATGGAAGAGAAATCACAAAGAATAGCTAATCTGGAACAGCAACTGAGTGAGGTTCACAAGAAAGATTCGAAGATCTGTGAACTTGAAATGGAAATTGATATACTACAAGGTGAGATATTTCTCTCTTTATGGGTATTGTATTTCTTTCAGTCTGTGCTCCATGAATGGTTCACTCAAAGGAATTTAAGGAGCCTTGAAGGAACACACGGGAGCAGTTTGTTACCCTTCTTGTGCGGTCGTCTACTTTTTCTGCCTTGAAGCCTCCTAGGTTTCGCGAATATACTGCTTCCTGTGTCGCTCCTTTTCACATCATATCATTTTTACCTCAAATAGTTTTTTAAGAAAGTATATATCTCAATATCTCTTTTTATAATTAAAGGTGAAATCGCATCTTTTAACGGTCGTTGCGACAGCGATCAGGTAAGCATACGTGAACTGCGAGAGGTTATTCGCGAACAAGAAACACGCATCGTCGAGTTGGAGGCGTGCAAGGCCGGTCTCACCTTGGAGCGGGATGAGACGATCGCGGGGGAATTGCGGGATCTACGCGTGGAACTCGAGAGTACTAGATCACGTCTCGTGGAGTTCGAGGAGGAGAAAAAACGTGGAATGAAAGTGTTGCAGGAAAAAATCGAGCAGTTGGCAGAATATAAAATGAATGTTGAAGTGATGGAGGAAAATATCCAGAAAAAGGACGAGGTACGACTAGCTTTCTTAAAGCCCCTTTAAATTTTCCATGCAGCCATGCTTCTCACTTTTTGGATTATGTAGCTGCACATATTTTTCCTTTTTACTGCACTTAATGTTATATTTTGTCGAATAAAACTCTCCTATATATAGCACAACTGCCGACGTGATTGCGAACAAACTATTGAAGTAATAAGGGCGGGATAAAATTCCAAAACGAAACTAATTGTTTTAATACATTTTATATGGTTTTACAGGAATTACGGGAGGTGACTGAGAAGCTTGAAAAAACATCAAATGTTGTCAACGAAAAGGAGGTTGCAGAGAAACAAACCGTACAAGACCTAGACAAGAGCAAAGCTGAACTCAAGGAAATGAAAAACCTGTTCGAAACTATTTCGTGTGAGTTGGAACGTGTCAAGACCGAGGTGGGTAATCGTCGGTATAAATTAATGTACAAATGAGAAAGTTCACTTTGCAAGTGTATTCCTTTCAAGTCAGAGAAACGGTAGTCCTCGTCTATATGGTACATTTGAGAAACATAGAATAGCCCAAAATCTGCTGAGCATGCAGACATCAGTTGTTGTACTCGATACGATATATTACTCAAGGTATTCCATCATTGTATTTTAGCTGCATGATCAACGTACCGATTCGGAGGATATGATTAAAAAATTAAACAGTGACGTGCTGGTTGCCGAGGGAGCATTCAAGAAAGCGATGAGTGACAAATTTGAAGTTGATGCAATTCTTAAAGAAAAACAAGGTATAATTAAAAAGATAATGATAAGCGATAGATATAATAATTGAATGCTGTGAGTTCATTTTTATACTCGACAGTCATAGGTTACTTAGTCTAGGATTTCCCGACCAATGATTCATATTCACACTCTAAAATTTATCCTTGAATTGTTCGTGTTGTAGGTGATTGTGAAGAACAGAAAGAAAAACTCCTATTTCTGGAGGGTCAAATTCAGGAATTAGAGAAGGAAAAATCTAGTAAGTAACCTGCCGTTTTCCGCCAGAACATTACTGCAAGAATATATTGAGGAAAGAAAAGACACAAATAGGAACATTCAATAACCAAAATCTTTTTATTGATAAATTTTCGGCTACCAGAAAAAAATAACACATGGTTTTGTCAAAAGAAGACGTGATATTTCCAATCAACACCAAACCTACTTTTTTGTACGTTGCCACGAGTTTATGTTATTTACCTTTTTAGCTGAACTGGAAGAATACAAATCTAAAATGATGCAGCTGGAAAAGCAGTATAGAGATCATATCACCGAGTTGACTAAGGAGAATGCAGAAAAGGATACATCATCTAGTTGCCATGAAAAAAGTAGCATTGAGTTGGAGGAAAAGGTGAAAGAGGTGGCTGACCTGAATGAACAGGTGCTTAAGGCTTTTAGAATCGTGAAGAAGAAAGAGAAAGAGTGCAGCAAATTGAACAAAGCTTTAAATGAATGTGAAGGTATATTCTTGCTTATTTCGTTCTCTTTAATCTGCAGAAGCAGGAATTAAGAACGTTAATTTTTTAACGCCAGTAAGTTGGTTAACAATTTTTCATACCATCTTTTTCCGCAGAGGAAATAACCGATTTCAAAAATCAAATTGAACGTCTCGAAGATGAGAATGAAGACCTGAAAAATAAGTTACAAGGCAGGGACAATGCAAGCATCAATGTTCAGCAACTACAGGAACAAACCCTCGAAGTCGACACATTAAGATCTCGAGTTTCCTGTCTCCAGGATGAAATAGAACATCTTCGCAAACTATGTAATCTTAATATGGAAGAAGAACTCCAGAAAGCGAAAAATGAACTAAAGACGAAGGAAATGGACTTGTTTCACGTTAATTTCGAGAATACGAAACAAATGGATAGCGCAAAAAGAAAGATACGCGAATTGGAAAAAGATGTCTCGGATTACGCACGAAAGAACAACGAGCTCAAGGCAGAGATAAGAGGTTTAAGGAACCGAGATGAAGAACCGACTATAGATGTGATGAGGAGTAAGCCTAAAAGGTTAGTACTGCTATTCATTTGTTCACATTTTTCAGGTCAAACGAATGAATGTGAACTGAATGGTAAATAATGTACCTTTTTACTGGATGTAGTTAATATTTTTATGCATTCTGATTGAATTACTGAAATTGTAAACAAATTTGCATGCAAATTACTCCTTGTTTGTCGGTGAAAGAAACATACGCATTTTCTGCTAACAACATTAATTTAAAAACTTTTGAACGAAGATAATAATCAACCCTTATCTTACAACGACGATAAAAACACACTTCACCGACGAGAATAAAAGCAGACAGCGTTAATATGTTGAAAAACTGAAATAAATTTGTTTCATTTTGTAAAATCGAGATGTGGAAACTCTTGCTATTCCGATTTCGACCACCAGCTTACAAAGACCTGCATGTTTTTGGTCATATCAACTGTTTATATAAATCCAGCTGATTCTTGTATTGACATTGTTTGTATGATTTTTTAGCTCAAACGGCGAGAATGTTGGAGTTGTGGGTAGCGTAGCATTGTTTTCACTGAACGCTAGGGTTGAGAAACTCAGTGAAGAGAATAAACAGCTGCAGGTCAAGTCGGAAACGTTGCAGAAAGAAGTTGATAAACTTGGTATCATTAATTTAGATCTGAAGTAAGTCAAAAACATTTTTCATTAGGAATTTATGGCGAAATAACTAAGATTTCTCAACCCTCTCTTATTTATATAGGCAAAATTATGGCCAAATTTTGGAGAAGTATAAAAGGCTAAAGGGAAAATTTGTAAATGTTGTCGAAAAACAGCAAGAAATGGAGGGAGATCAGAAAGATGAACACGACAATGTCGACGCTAAACTGCAGAATGGAGAGCAAACTCAAGCAGGGATCAAGGCTGGTCGGCAGAACGATGATTCTTCGATCAGTCAACATGATGTTAGAAGTGAAACAACACTTGGTAAGCAATCAGCATTTAAGGATCGTAAGAATGAAACCAAGGAGCCGATCAACCAGCCTCCTACCAGTAGTGAACATACATTCAGGCATAACACGAGCAACTCCGCTTTCAAACCGAGCAGCGAATCCGCATTCAGAAAGCCGAATGTTTCAGCCGATAATGCATCAAATATGGCAGATAAACCTGTTGGGCCAATTCCAAGTCAACAAGCGACCAAGTTTGCGAGTGTTGGGCTGCCACGCAGAGTTGAACAACGAAAACCGACTGGCCGAAATCCCCCTTCCGAAATAGCGAGTAGACAAAGCGCGGGCGCTATGCAACCAAGTAACATGGTCCCAAGAACTACTAAAGATTCCGCGACAAATGACAAAACTAGAAACGCAGCGGCATTCTCTAGGAAAAATAAAGAAAACAACTTGTACAACTCTGGGGAAAAACCTGACGCGTGCAAATCACAATAACTCGTGATTTTCATCAACTTTTGAACTTTTGAAATTGTGAACTTTCATCACGAGAGTTCCGTCATCTGAAAACAGTCCTAATTGACAAAGTATTTTTATCATCAGTAGAACCCAACGCATTGGTTGCGTTGACATTGTTATATTTTTTCACTTTTTAGATTCATGTTATTTAATTTTCCACATGATTATTGTAAATAGAATATAATACAAAACAATTATTTTTATACGCTAACTACACAAGACAAGACAAAAAGGGGCCAAGGCCGATGGAACGATTTTCGTAGAAGGCACTTCAGTTATTGACGAATATTAGAGCGTTTTTTCACGAGAGCTTAACTGATGTTAGATAATTCAGGCCTCAGTGTTTCTCGCGGGTTAAAAAGCTTTACTACGCAATAGCAAATACTGCTCTGTATTTTTAAGTCTTTTTTTGTAACTTTTACACTACTAACCAGAAAAGTTTACTCCAGAAACTTCAGACATATTTTCGTAATTTTCCTCCTGAAACTAGTTTTTCTTCGGCAAAGATGGCTAACCCTTTTTTGTCAGTACAGTAGAAAAAATTTATTAACCTCTGATTGCATTTCATTCTGTATTCACAAATATGAGCATATATTTATTGAAATTCTATTCCTAATTTATTTTGTAAAAAATTTTGTGTTAGGTTGATTGAACTAGCAGTAGTTGTGTAAATGTTATACATATAAATTATACTAGTGTAAAGTCATATTCCAGTTTATAGGGTTAACATTTAAAAGCTTCCTTTCCAATTCCATGTTGGCTTCTCTTGTTTTTTGCGAACTCTTTTCTTTTTCTTCCATAATCTGTAAAGTGGAACAATGCAGAATGATCAATTGAATGAATTGATTGCCTCTACTAACCATAACCAAACCCAACAATAGATCTGCAAACCAACTAATTATCAAATTGCAAATGAATTTACAGAGCGACTAATGTCAGCTAAACTGTAACCATTTTTTTCACCTTTTTATTTTCATTGCTAAACTGCTTTAGATAGTCTGCTTTCTTTTGTTTCATATTATTATCTTCCTGTTTTGATTTCTGGTCATTGGCAACAGCTGTGTCACTTTCTGCAACCCTGTCAATCAGCTGCCTACGATGTAAATCGTCCTTTTCTTTCACTTGGTCTTTTAATTGTGACCTAATTTGCTGCCTTTAAAAAGGAAGAAATTTTACAGTAGGGGAGCTAAATTTTATGCCAGAGCATTTACAGATTGAACTACAAGGCAAGTTGGTTGCATCAATCTTTCCCTTAACAAAATATTTCATAAATCAATTTTCATGAATGCCATTTTATGCACTTTTTGTAATCTCAGCAGACCTACTTTTTCAGGAATAAAATTAGGCGGGGCTACATAACACACCCAGCTAGGCTAAGGCCTAGCTAGATCAAACGTCGCGTTTCTCATGCACTGAACCTAATGCAAATGAACTCAAACAAAGATCTTAGATGATTTGCATTAGGTTCAGTGCGTGAAAATAGCGACATTTGACCTGGGCCTGAAGCCCCTGTTTCTATAGTTAGGGTTTAGGAATAAAGCTTATACAGAATATTATCGCCATACAAAGGCCCACGGCGATTCAACGACCCATATCGGAATTCATCCAATAAAACTTGTGTTGTACTAAGAAATTGAGGCGTCAGTCGCCACCTTCAAATCTCCCTGATTAAATTTGCCTGATCTTTCTCGAAAAATAAAAGGCACAACAATTGTAAAAATTAGAACAAAAATTAGAAGTCTGTCTCTCACCTATATGCTTCTTTCTGAGAAGGTGTTCCGTAAAATGCTACTCTATAAGACTCGTAACGTTGGTTAGCGACCGTTGTTTTCTTGTTTGACTCGTTAGCTGGACTTACTGTCGCCTGGTTGTCAACATTGCCAGTTTCCCCCGTCCTGTTTAGCGACGAATTACTCGAGCTTTCGCGTGTAGTGCTAGCTTTTGCATTCATATTTACTAACCAGATTCAAAAACCAGGTTTCCGTAAGATAAAAAGAGTTACAAATAACAAACATTCAGTGTTTTGAGATCGAATCCATCATATTGTCATATGTTGTGGTGGGGATTAAGAAAGGGTTAAATAATGTTGTCATGACGACCGGTAGGTTTGCATCACTGAGGTTGCATTTTCTTCACCAGTATTTTTCACAAAGGGTCAGAAGGCCCCCACCGACCCCCTATGAGAAGGCCCGGGGTTCCTGGGTACGAGGTTGTGTTTTTCAGCTTGTTCCGCTGACCTTTCATGAATTTTCGTGGTCTCGTTCATTTACCCCACGTGATCAGTCGAAGTGTTCTTTGATTCTTGACGTGGCTGTTCTAAAAAGAGTGATTGTTAACTTACAATATCTAAATTATTTTTTCAATTCTCAGCGAATTCTTCCTAAATATTGGGAAAGATCAACCATTAGGAGTAAGACATGGGATTAACTTTTTCAAATTTGTTTAACAATTTATTTGGGCAGAAACAGAGCCGAATTCTTATGGGTGAGTATCAAAATTTATTATTTAATTTTGTGACATTCAGTGTCATTCATTGCTTCAAATCCTCACATTTTAGGAGGTTTATCTTAAATCATGAATGGCAATTTACAATTCTATGGGTTTTAACGCGTCATTCACCATGAAATATGTGATCCTCGCTCAAGTGTGAGCCTCTGAGCCAATGTGTATTTTATAATCTTCCTTTAACATCTTCAATATAATTATAAGGGCAGTCGTTTTCATGTAGGGCAGATGACTTTTTGTTGTCTCCGAATTTAAATTGATACATTAGCATACAGTGATTGCATATCACATAAAATATTCAACTTTTGGTGTACAGTTGTTTTAAAGAAACCACTATGCAGTCCATGCTATCATAAAACCCAACAAAACACTTTATATGGCAATAACATTTTCCAAGACTTCATTGCTGATGGGCCATTTATATGGAGTCTTGATCTTGCATAAGATGCAAGTACTCTTATGTGAAACATTCAAATGTCTAGATTCTAAAAGTTCTAAAATATATTGTAAATAAGTTGGAAGCATCAAAATTACATGGTCAATATCTGCTTATTTTCACCACAAACTTTAATCCTAAACCTACCGCATTATGTGGAAAATTTAACAAGTTTAATCTTAATTTCTCTGTATTTTGTGAAAATCTTAGCCATCGTATTGACATTTTCTGTTTTGTATTCATTCTATTAGTTGGTCTTGATGCAGCTGGAAAGACAACAATTTTATATAAACTAAAATTAGGAGAGGTTGTTACCACTATTCCAACTATTGGTAAGATTATAATTCCTGCTTTTGCAGTAATGTAATGGTTTAGTGTGTGGCTAAGCTATAGAAGTACATTCAGACAAAAATAATTCTCAATGTTCAAACTAGACATGCTCATAGCAGACTTAGTATCCATCTTTCTGACAAATATTTTTTTACTTAGGTTTTAATGTAGAGACAGTGGAATATAAAAATATTAGTTTTACAGTCTGGGATGTTGGTGGACAGGACAAAATCCGTCCATTGTGGAGACATTATTTTGCTAATACACAGGTACAACTACAGTATGACATACACTACATGTTTGGTTTAATTATTTCATGTTGGCATGTTTGTTTGTCTTCCTTCATGTCACCATCCTTAAGCATAGAATTTCTCTATTAATGTTAAAAAAAACAAAGAGATTATTTAGCAGCACTTAAATAACTACTTCTTGCTCATATTTAGTTCAAAATACGGAACAATATTTTTTAAGTACAATATATAGTTGAAGTGGTTGTCAAGTCTGTAAATAAGACTGACAGACTGTCTGTGAGTTACTCAATTGGAAGATGTTTTTATTTCTTTCAGGGCCTTATATTTGTTGTTGATAGCAATGACCGTGAAAGAATAAATGAAGCTGCAGATGAGCTAAGCAGAATGGTATTGATGTCTCTCTGTAATACGACACATTTCTATGTCCAATTGTCTGACAACTTTTAAATTTTTTTAGTTAGAGGAGGAGGAACTAAAAGATGCAGTTCTGTTGGTTTTTGCCAACAAACAAGATTTACCAAATGCTTTTAGTGCATCAGAACTGACAGAGAGATTAAAACTCAATCAAGTGAAGAGGAATGTAAGTGCTTTATCACATTCATAATTTTCAGTACAAATATAGGTTCAGAAATAGCTAGAGAGAAGCATGTGAATGACTTCTCATCAGTTGTGGTATGACAACTACCGTACTTAAAATAGGAGAGTTAGTAGTTATCCACGTAGGTAGCAACACGTAAGTGGACAGTTATATTAGCCACTATTTACCACTAATGAGTGAGATGACTAAAATGTTAGTTTTACAGTCACAACAAATATCGGGTAATTCATCAGTTGGCTTACACAGTTCATCAAATATTTGAAAAAACTCTTTGAAAAACTCATAACTTCCATTTTCACCTAATCATCTTGCCTCCATATTATAAGCCAAGCCGGTACAGTTAAATGAAATTTCTATTACTGTATGGTAAACTAAATGTTTTGAATTTTTAGTGGTATATCCAAACATGTGTTGCAACAGAAGGAACTGGTCTATATGAAGGACTAGACTGGCTTTCACAAAAACTATCATCAGTATAAATAGACTGGCAATGATCAGAATGTAAAGTGTTAACATGGATGTTTGTTTCTAAGAATATATATACATACTAATTAATTTTATACAAAAAGCAAGTAGAGATCTGGACACAACAGTAATTTTGAACAAACTCAGTAGGGCATTGACACAAAACATGTAAAGGTTGTGACATGTTTAACACTGGTCAGATGAATGGTCAAACATATGGGTATCACATTTGAAACCATCTTATGCCAGGTCATTTTCTGTACAAGTTGTTGGTATAAATTTCCTTTTATGTTGCCTTTTTCCAGGAATTGTATTTTTGAGCCGACTATGGCACTGGCCAGGGTACTAATTTCTCTTGGAGATTAGGAATTATGCCCTGGTATTTTGACAGAACATAGCGGAATCGGATGAATTAATATTCTCAGCGGTCTCACATGCGCCTGTTAATTGAGAATTTTCTGTTCTCTTTTCTAAAAATTCTTTTTAAAAATTTTGACATACACAAACATTTTAAAAATTTTTGAATTCAATTTTTTTATTTTGTTCAACATAACCTACACTAAACCCAACTATTTTTAAAATTTTAAAGCTTTATTGTAATAATTTTTTAATTTAATTATAAAATTATAAAGAAATTATATCAAAATTTGAAAAAATTTCAAAAATTTTTAAAAACACTTGCATGTGTGTCAAATATTTTTAAAAATTGCTTCAAATATTTACAAAGACAATTTTCTTTCGTTTTTGAGCATAATTGCTAGGTATTTGTGGTGGTACCTTCTTTTGGAATTAACGAATTTTATAATTTTCCAAAAACAAACCAAATATGCTCAAAAACAAAAAAAATTTGTCTTACTAAAAATATTTCAAGCGATTTTCAGGACAGTAAGACATTTTTTAAAATTTTCGAAAATTGTACGGGACCGGTACCTGGCCGAAATTAATGAATTTTTCAATTTTCCAAAAACCTACCAAATATGCTCTAAAAGGAGAGAAATTTCTCTTTTGTAAACACTTGAAGCCATTTTCATAACATTAAGACAATTTTAAAAAAAAAATTCGAAAATCCTCAATTTTGGGCCAACCATTTTTGCCTGCCAAATTTTTCAATTTTCTAAAAACCAACCAAATATGCTCTAAAACGAAAGAAATTCTACTTAGTAAATATTTGAAGCCATTTTCAGCATATAAAAACATTTTTCAAAATTTTCGAAGTCGTCAGTTTTGGCCAAAATGGTATGCCTTCACCATATTTCCAGTCGCAGTTGAGGAATTTTTCAATTTTCCGGAAACCAACTAAATATGCTCTAAAACGTAAGAAACTTGTCTTAGTAGATATTTGAAGCCATTTTCAGCATATTAAGACATTTTTTAAAAATTTATAAAAATGGTCAATTTTGGCCAAAATGGTAATTGTTACACCGTTTGTATATTGGCTAAATTTGACGCATTTTTAGATTTTTCGAAAACCAACAAAATATGCTCAGGAACGAAAGAAATTCTACTTAGTAAATATTTGAAGCCATTTCCAGCATATAAAGACATTTTTGAACATTTTCGAAAATCGTCAATTTTCGCCAAAATGGTATGCGCTTACCATTTTCAGTCAAATTGACGAATTTTTTAATTTTCCAAAAACCAACTAAATATGGTCTAAAACGAAATAACTTGGTCTTAGTAGATATTTGAAGCCATTTTCAGCATAAAGAACTTTTTTGAAAATTTTCAAAAATCGTCAATTTTGGCCAAAATGGTAACGGTACCCTTTGGCTTTACCATTTTGGCCGATTTTAATGAATTTTTCAATTTTAAAAAAACCAACCAGATATGCTCCAATACAACATAAATTGGTCTTAGTAAATATTTTAAGCCATTTTGAGCATGTTAAGATATTTTTGAAGATTTTCGAAATATTTTTGAAGATTTTCGAAAAACTGTCAATTTTGGCCAAAATGGTAAGGGTACCCTTTCGCCCTCTACCATATTTTGGCCGATTTTGATGAATTTTTCAAGTTTCGAAGAACCAACCAGATATGCTCAAATAAATTTGTTTTACTAAGTATTTGAAACCATTTCGAGCATATTAAACTTTTTTTTAATCTTCAAATTTTTCTTCCTGTCAAAAAAATCTTGGGCAACTGTGTTAGGCTTGGGCTCCTGTATTGCCGACACAGTAGCCCAAGACAAATAATTTTTTCTTGTGTCCAAATTTTTTATGTCAAATTTTTTTTACTTCCAGCCCAAATTTTTTTCTTGTGTCTGTGTCTGGTAGCCCAAAACAAATCATTTCTTCTCGTATTAATTTTTTTCTCTTGTGTCCAATTTTTTCTCGTGTCCAATTTTTTTTCTTGTGTCCAAATCTTTTTTCTTGTCAATTTGTTTTGTTCTGTTAAAATTGTTTTCTGTTAAATTTTTTTCTAATCTTCAAATTTTTCTTCCTGTCAAAAAAATCTTGGGCAACTGTGTTAGGCTTGGGCTACCCTGTATTGCCGACACAGTAGCCCAAGACAAATAATTTTTTCTTGTGTCCAATGGGTAAGCCTTACCATTTTGGTCAATTTTGACGACTTTTTCAACTTTTCAAAAAGTGTCTCAAAATGCTAAGACTTCCTTCCTAAGACAAATATCTTTCATTTTAGAGCATATTTGGTTGGTTTTTGTAACATTGGAAAACTCGTTAAAATTGACCAAATTGGTAATGCTTACCATTACCATTTTGGTCACTTTTGACGACTTTTTGAACTGTTCAAAAACTGTCTTAAAATGCTAAAAATGGCTTCCTAAGACTAATATCATTCATGCTAGAGCATATTTGGTTCGTTTTTAACACATTGAAAAAGTCGTCAAAATTGACCAAAATCGTAATGCTTGCCCATTACCATTTTGGTCAATTTTGACGACTTTTTGAACTGTTCAAAAATTGTTTTAAAATGCTAAAAATCGCTTCCTAAGACTAATATCATTCAATTTAGAGCATATTTTGTTGGTTTTTGGAACATTGAAAAACTCTTTAAAATTGACCAAAATGGTAAGGCTTACCCTTTACCATTTTGGTCAATTTTGACGACTTTTTGAACTGTTCAAAAATTGTCCTAAAATATTAAAAATGGCTTCCTAAGACTAATATCATTCATTTTACAGCATATTTGGTTGGTTTTTGGAACATTGAAAAACTCCTTAAAATTGACCAAAATGGTAAGGCTTACCCTTTACCATTTTGGTCAATTTTGACAACTTTTTGAACTGTTCAAAAACTGTCTTAAAATGCTAAAAATGGCTTCTAAAGACTAATATAATTCATTTTAGAGCATATTTTGTTGGTTTTTGGAACATTAAAACACTCGTCAAAATTGACCAAAAATGGTAAGGCTTACCCTTTACCATTTTGGTCAATTTTGACGACTTTTTGAACTGTTCAAAAATTGTCTTAAAATGCTAAGATTGGCTTCCTAAGCCTAATATCATTCATTTTAGGGTATATTTAGTTGGTTTTTAGAAGATTGAAAAACTCGTCAAAATTGACCAAAATGGTAAGGCTTACCCCTTACCATTTTGATCAATTTTGATGACTTTTTGAACTCTTCAAAAACTGTTTTATAATGCTAAAAATGGCTTCCTAAGACTAATATAATTCATTTTAGAGAATATTTAGTTGGTTTTTGGAACATTGAAAAACTTGTAAAAATTGACCAAAATGGTAAGGCTTACCTCTTACCATTTTAGTCAATTTTAACGACATTTTGAATTGTTCAAAAACTGTCTTAAAATGCTAAAAATGGCTCCCTAAGACTAATATAATTTATTTTAGAGCATATTTGGTTGGTTTTTGGAACATCGAAAAACTCGTTAAAATTGACCAAAATGGTAAAGCATTACCATTTTGGTCAATTTTGACGAGTTTTTCAATGTTCCAAACACCAACCAAATATACTCTAACATGAATAATATTAGTTTTAGGAAGCCATTTCTAGCATTTTAAGACAGTTTTTGAACAGTTCAAAAAGTCGTCAAAATTGAGCAAAATGGTAAGGGGTAAGCCTTACCATTTTGGTCAATTTTAACGAGTTTTTCAATGTTGTAAAAACCAACCAAATATGCTCTAAAATGAATGATAGTAGTCTTAGGAAGCCATTTTTAGCATTTTAAAACAGTTTTTGAACAATTCAAAAAGTCGTCAAAATAGACCAAAATGGTTACGAGTAAGCCTTACCATTTTGGTCAATTTTGACGAGTTTTTCAATGTTCCAAAAACCAACCAAATATACCCTAACATTAATGATATTAGCCTTAGGAAGCCATTTTTAGCATTTTTTAAGACAATTTTTGAACAATTCAAAAAGTCGTCAAAATTGACCAAAATGGTTAGGGGTAAGCCTTGCCATTTGGTCAATTTTCACGAGTTTTTCAATGTTCCAAAAACCAACCAAATATACTCTAAAATGAATAATATTAGTCTTAGGAAGCCATTTTTAGCATTTTAAGACAATTTTTGAACAAATCAAAAAGTCGTCAAAATTGACCAAAATGGTTAGAGGTAAGCCTTACCATTTTGGTCAATTTTGACTAGTTTTTCAATGTTCCAAAAACCAACCAAATATGCTTTAAAATGAATGATATTAGTCTTAGGAAGCCATTTTTATCATTTTAAGACAGTTTTTGAACAATTCAAAAAGTCGTCAAAATAGACCAAAATGGTAATGGGTAAGCATTACCATTTAGGTCAATTTTGACGACTTTTTTCAATGTTCCAAAAACCAAAAAAATTCGCTCTAAAATGAAAGATATTAATCTTAGGAAGCATTTTTTATCATTTTAAGACAGTTTTAGAACGGTTCAAAAAGTCGTCAAAATAGACCAAAATGGTAAGGGGTAAGCCTTGCCATTTTGGTCAATTTTGACGAGTTTTTCAATGTTCCAAAAACCAACCAAATATACCCTAACATTAATGATATTAGTCTTAGGAAGCCATTTTTAGCATTTTAAAACAGTTTTTGAACAATTCAAAAAGTCGTCAAAATAGACCAAAATGGTAAGGGGTAAGCCTTACCATTTTGGTCAATTTTGACGAGTTTTTCAATGCTCCAAAAACCAATCAAATATGCTCTAAAATGAATGATATTAGCCTTAGGAAGCTATTTTTAGCATTTTTTAAGACAATTTTTGAACAATTCAAAAAGTCGTCAAAATTGACCAAAATGGTTAGGGGTAAGCCTTACCTTTTTGGTCAATTTTGACGAGTTTTTCAATGTTCCAAAAACCAACCAAATATGCTCTAAAATGAATGATATTAGTCTTAGGA